ACCAATATTCCGGCACAATGAATAACTCCTAAAAACATCTACTCAAGCGCGAGGAAGAAGATTATAGCGTAGATTTGAATTGAAATTGTGGTCTATTTTGGAAGGGAAGAACTTGAAGTTTTGACACCCTTTTTCGGGCGATTCAACGCCGTTTCAGGCAAGCCTAGGCTCAAGGTGAGTACCAAATGGAACTCTCTCTTCTTCCTCTTTCATTTGAATGGCTTCTCTCGTCCGACTGTAAATGGCAGGAATCGGAAAAGCCCAAAATGGGTATCCAAAATGGGTATCACCGAACCTTTCCGATCAATTTCCGGCCAAATAGTTCGTACCCACCTTGATTTGAATACATATTAATGATCCTCTCATCGAAACAAATAAAATGATAGATTGTTTGTTAATTTTGGTGATGATTTGAATTTCCGACCACCGTGCATGGCGGTCGGCGGCGGCGGTCCGGTGACCGGACGGCGGCACTCCGGCGAGGCCCCGAGAGACAGAATCCTCTTCTCTTCGCGCTGATCATGGAATTGTCGCCCGATTCCCAATGGGTATGTTCTAAGATTAAATTCTTAATTTTTATATATATAAAGAATTAATTGACTAATGAATTTAATCGAGTTATTAAATAGACTAAATTGAATAACAAGATACATTTAAATTTATGGGACATTTTAGTTAAATTCGAATAGGTATTTAATCGAAGGACTTTGATATATTAGGTTGGAAGCTTGTGAATTTAATTGGGAAATTCATAAGAGAATTGGAACTTAGGATTTATTTGTTAGAAATTGTGATTATATTAAGTACATAATTTAAAAATCACTATTCAACCTAATTAATATATTTAATGTTGAACTTCTAGGACATAAGTCATTGTGGAATAATTGTCGTAAGTCGAAACGTGAAGGACAAATTGGAAGTAATTAGTCAGATAATTAGATGATCGAAATTAAATAAACAGTAGTTACAAATAGTTATTTTTATTGTTAAAAGTGAGTTTTAACGAACAGTTAACAATTTAATTATCATAAGTTATTAGTTTTTGGTTTTTAGCTTATGATTTAACAATAATCTTGGTATGAGTTATTGTTGCGAACAGGTTTGAAATTCGTTAAATTTATCAAAAAGCCCTGTGGTTGAGATAGTGGGGAGGCCTGTTAATGTTGATCGTTTAAAAGGAGGAAGGGGGAAATTCAACAAGCTGGTTTGATCGGCCACTGATACGAGAAATGGCGCCCCACTAGGTGGCATGAAATGATAAAATATTACATAAAATAATTGTGATTAATTTGAGCAGTGTAGATAGTCAATTTTTTTAGGGAGAGGAATGGGCCTGCCCACCCAACAACAAGAACTTTAATCGATAAAAACTTAGCACTAGTTTAATTAAACTGATCCATTATAAATTTTTTTTTAGATTAATTCTATAACTTAAGTTCATAATAAATACAGTGCTCTAAAATTATTATTAGTTATCATCATTATTTATTTAAACAATTAATAATACAAAATTAACTTAATTTATTGTTGGTTATTACTCTAGATTTATTAATTATTTATTTATTATTATTATATAAAATTCATTATTAATAAATATTAAATATTCTATATTCTGATAAAAATATCCCGTATGCAACGTTTATATGTTAATTTTACCTTTTTTATTTAATTAATTGCACTCTGCATTTTAAGTAAATTGAATTGCTCTAATCATGCATTGCAATCTCCCATATGTAACATGATATCATGGTCTGCATTGATTGCAATGATTTGATTAGATGACATGTTGTGATAATGTTATGCTGTTTGTTTGTGTTGAGAAGTTTGGGAATGAAAGGAGGTGGGTCACACTAATGGGTATATTTAAGTGGAGACCAAAGTTAACCGTTATGTGATCCTGATTTACCAAAGCTCATACCCAAACCAAAAACAAAAAAAAAACAAAAAAGAAAAAAAAACAAGTCTATATTATACGTTTAACGACACCCCACAAACAACACAAGTTTCATCGGATGCCATTATTACAGTTATGCCGGAGTAATGGGAAAGATCGGCAGCGCAACAGCCGTGTGCACCCTACAAAGAGACCATCGAACAAGACAACACCAAAAAAAACCGATGCCAGTCCCCGTTACCAAAACAACAAAGTTAACGCACAGGTTGGCTTCTCGTGTTGACGAAACGCGGAACAGTCCTAAGTTTGATCGCTGCCCGCAGGGTGGCTCCTGTTGTGAGCGATTGATGATCTACGATTGGATGGAGAACCACCGGGTTGCTTCCTGTTGGTATGAAAAAGAAAAGAGAGGATAGAAAACAACACTGAGAAACGCACAGCTGGTTCAACCCCATTAGTCGAGAGACCATTAGATCACCAAGGCCTCCCCAAAACACAAGCAGAAAAGAAGAACCCCCAAAAAACAACGACCAAAGAAACTAACATGGGGGATCGGCTTCACCAACCTGGTAGGCAACAACAACAACAAAAACCCAAAAAACAACAACACAACAAACCAAACAAAAACCATACACCACGTTAGAGAGAAAATAAGACTAACTCAACCCAAAGAACTAAAGATGGGAGGCCACCACCCCCAGACAGTAACCATACCGGGGGTCAACAAGAATTCCTCAACGGAATAGAACCTACCCAATCCAATAGAAAAAAAACTTTCCACGTGAATAAGAATGATTAAGCAACAAAATCAAGTGAAAAAGATGTCTAAATAACAAAAAAAATAATGAAAGTCGACGATAAGCTGGTGCCCACTATAACCACATTGTGTACTACGACGCTGGTGTGGAACATATAACTCTAGTCGCCCACCAACAACCCACAAAACAAGAACCCAACCCATAGCAACTAGCTTAGAAATAATACTATTATCACTCCCAAATTCACATAATAAAAAATGAACTGTGAAAAAAATACAAGCGATAAGAAAAAGAATGTCAGAACTCAATAAAAGGTAGCAAAAATAATATAAAAACGTTATTACATTTCCCTAATTAAACAAACTACATTTTTATTTAGTTTACAAATTTTTCAAGGAAGTAAGCCTCAAACTTAAATATCTAAATCCCCAACACCCACAAGACATAACAATACCAAGATCTAAATCTCCTACTCTTTCACTGTTAGAAAAAGTCTCATAATTTTTAGTAATGCGCATCTATTAAATAGATCAATGTGCTCACCGAAGCAAATATTATCTGTATTCATGTTGTTAGTGACTAACCGCAGATTATAAGGATTTGTATATTTTTTTTAGTCGTATATTTTAATAGAATGAAATCATTCTGTGAGCATCATATTATAAATATTGTATTGTAAGCAAGGGTAATTTGTTAATGTTTTAAGATGTTTTTAAATAAATTTTTTGGGCCGAAGGGTTTAATAGAATCTTGCGGTTTAATTTTCAAATCAGTATGGAGACTGAATGTTTAACAAAAATTATACTAAATTGAGAATAGTAAAATTTTTTTAGTGTTTCAGCTTACTACGTGCCTCCGGGGCGCCTTAAGGTTACCTGGGCACCTAGTGCCAACGGTCCCGGGCCGGCATGGATTCGGGTTCGTGACAATTATCAGGACCACCAAGACTTGACCAAATAGAAGATTTTGTGTGGAAGTCTTAACCCCCGGTGCATTCAATGTAAGTTGGCTTATAAAGAAAATTTGGAAATTGAGTTTTTTGTATATATATAGATATATAAAGTTTTTTTTTTTTTTTTTTTTTTTTTTGGAGGAAGTACACTTTGTTTATTTTTTTTTTTTTTTTTTTGAGAAGTACAACTTGTTTAACATGGATCATCATCGTATCACAGACTAGATCTTCAAAGAAAAAAAAAAAAACACTTTTGTTATGAATTTTCATTTTGTAAGACCATGGATTAATCATACAATTAAAGTGAATAAATAAAATATTTCACTAACTATAATATTGCTGTTGAAATATTGGAAAAGTAATTGTCATTGACAAAAATTTTAGTAATAAAATTATAATTTCAATTAATCAAAGTAAATTCAATCGAAGCTATCAACAAAAGCCCAATGAAATTAAATATATAGTTAGAAACCAATAATAAAATTAATTATCCAACATCAACAGTTCTGTCAGTAAAAATCATCTCACAATTTAGTTAATCAAACCATTACATAACATATGTATGATCATAATCTTAGTTGTCTAGTCTAAATTGATCATGATACGATGATATTAATACTATTATTATTATTATTATTATACTATGCTAATCACACTTACTGACCCAAAAGTATCCTTCTCTTAAGTCTTTTGATGCTTTATTAATGGTCAAACTTTAGGTGACAAGATTCATGGTCAAGTTAGCTTAACCCAAAAACAGAAGGGGGGAATATTATATATATATATATATATATATATATATATATATATAATTAAGAGGAAAAGTTGGAACCAATATATAATTTAAGAGGAAAAGTTGACAATGCCACATGGCATCTCGCATGTCATGTCATGAACCAAATCAAACTCAAAATGGGACCCATTGATCTAAAAACCCACATGGCCATGCTATTCCAATCAACGACATCCACGTGGGATCTCCTGGGTCACATGGGATGTCCCCATCCAACATCGTGATCCAACGCTCTTGATTTCACTTGTAATAAGATCACATCAAAAACGTTGATCCCTGGTCCACAGTCTTCAATACCATCGGCTGTGCTTGTCTCTCCTTTGTCCCCCTCGTATAGAGCACCAAACTCTATGGTGTTCCTCGGTGACAGGCAACCAGATCTGTTGCTATCCCAAACATAAATGATTTCACTACCCACGCGCAATCCAACGCGCGTCTCTCTGGACCCCATTTGTAAGAACCCAGCTTGTATAGTGTCGAAAGCGCGAGCGGGGAAAACACGTGGGGGTTTATGACTTCTCATACATGCACGAAGAGAATAACTCACCTACGTATTGTCCCATACTAATCACTCCCTATAAAAACAATACATTACAAACTCTCTCATCAACACAGTTTATAGTTTTTCTTTCCAAACAAACAAAAACTTCCCCGGAAAAATCATCTTCTCTAGTCACAAAAACAAAAGTTTCCCTTAAGTTCATTTATAATTATTCATCAATGGCATATGAAGGAGATCTGCATCTAAAAGCAACAGAGCTAAGATTAGGGTTACCAGGGAGCGATGAGTCTGATAAGAAGCAATCGATTCCCTGCGTAAGAAGCAACAAAAGAGCTTCACCAGAAATATCAGAAGAATCAAGAACCAGAAGCAATGGTTCTAGTGTCTCTAATTGTGAAAGTGGCAGTGATGACAGAGATTGTGGACCTCCAGCCAAGTAAGTCTAATAAAAGAAAACAGCTAGGGTTGATAATATTAATTTCTCGGCATCTAAATCAATGTTTATTAAGTATTAACTTTGGATTAATTTATAATCGCAGAGCACAAGTAGTAGGGTGGCCACCAATCAGATCTTATAGGAAAAATTGTTTCCAAGCAAAGCGAAATGAAGGTGAAGGTGGTTGCATGTATGTTAAAGTGAGCGTGGATGGAGCTCCTTATTTGAGAAAGATTGATCTTAAGATGTACAAAAGCTACCCAGAACTCCTCAAGGCATTGGAGAATATGTTCAAGCTAACTATTGGTAAGAATATATCTAACTAGGGTTTTTTTTTCCTTTTTTAGATCTTTTTCTTTGGGGTGGTGATTAGTCAATTAATTGAACTTTGTTTATGGTTTCTTAGGTGAGTATTCAGAGAGAGAAGGGTACAATGGATCTAACTATGCTCCTACTTATGAAGACAAAGATGGTGATTGGATGCTTGTTGGAGATGTTCCATGGGAGTAAGTATTAATTCTCTATTTTCCTTTGCTTAACAATATTTTTTCTTTTAAATAATTATTATTTGTTAATATTCATATACTTACAAGGATTTGGGTTGTTATTTTGCAGAATGTTTATTTGCTCTTGCAAGAGGCTGAGAATTATGAGGGGATCAGAAGCTACAGGATTGAGCTGTTTATGAAAAAAGAGAGAGACGGCGAGAGGGAGAAGAGAATTATAATATTGGCCAAAGGTAAAGCTAAAGAAAAATGGCTGGCTTGTGTTCTCCAAGAAGCTAGGTTTCGATCTTGGATTGCAGGAAAGGAGATGAAAGATATTGATCGCATCTTTTTAAGATTTTGGGTTTTGTTTCCATGGCGTCATACCTTAAAATACTTATTTTTATGTATGCATATATATACTTGGGAAAATAATAAAAAAATATAAAATATCATGGAGATTCAACTGTACAAAGCAAAAAAAAAGAAAAGAAAGAAAACCTTACTTTCCCTCTAGACTTCAAGATATATGTACGTACGTATAATTTAGGATTATAAAGAAAGACAAAGCAATATACCGATTTTTGTGGAGAAGTATGTTCTATGTATGTATTACAATTATCAAAACTCAAAAGTAATAACATATCGAAATACAAGTTATTTTATCCAAGAACATGCTTTTGTATCGTTGAACATATAGTTCTAATGAAGTCAATATCCCCAAAAAGGGATGTAATTAACAAGGAAAAGCTATAGTTTGTTCTGTTACATAGTTCAAAGGAATTGAATTCTAGATTTCTACTTGTAAATTAAGGATAATTCATACCAAATCCATGCCTGCAGGACCACAAGAAGTCTCCATCTGTGGGTTCTGTTCTTACCATAAGTAATAATTTCATTAGCTCAATCCTGAATAAATTAACTTTCAAGTAAATAAATTAGCTTTCTTTGAGATATTGTTGCTTTTGAAGCTCTTAAAAGCTGGGATCTTGCCCTCAGAAATAACCAAAATTGATGCAAAGCAGTAAGATGAGTACTGTACACATAAAGGGCATTAAATACGAGAAATGGGCTCTTCCCAATAGATTGCAGGTAGAGAACAACAATTCGTATCTGAGAGGGAAGATCGTATATAATTTTTTTTTTTTTTTTTTTTTTTTTTTTTTCAGGTAGAGAACCAACAATCGTATCTGAGGAGGGAAGATCGTATATTAATTTTTTTTTTTTTTTTTTTTTTTTTTTTGTAAAGATAACGACAGTTAGAATTTTTCAATTATATTTAATGATTTATAATATGAAATTATATGCATAAAACCTTAATAGTTACTTATATAAGCCAATTTTTTAGGGTTTTAGTATATCTATATCCTGTCAAAATTTGACCCAATAATTGACACCATATATTAAAGGTCATGCCACAGCAACCAACAAAAATTAATGCATTATAAATTGGAAAATTGGTCCAATAATTTCTTGGAACTTTAGTCCATAAACCTAAATAATAGCAAAGAAAGGCAGGCACATAACTAGATGGAGCCTTCTGCTAAAGAAGAGTGGGTAGCAAAAATCTAGCTTTTTTTTTTTTTTTTTTTTTTTTTTTTTGTAAGAGATAACACAGTTAGATTTTCAATTATATTTAATGATTTATAATATGAATTATATGCATAACCTTTAATAGTATATATAAGCAATTTTAGGGTTTTAGTATATCTATATCCTGTCAAATTTGACAATAATTGACACCATATATTAAAGGTCATGCCACACAACCAACAAAAATTAATGCATTATAATTGAAAATTGGTCCAATAATTTGGAACTTCTAGTCATAAACCTAATAATAGAAAGAAAGGCAGGCACATGCTAGATGGAGCTTCTGCTAAAGAAGAGTGGGTAGCAAAATCTAGCTAGATGAGCTGGTCAGAAAACATGTTTCATGCTTATGTCCAGGAGTTATCCATGACAAATAGAGACGAAAAACACAGGAGAATAAAGTTGCTCTAATGCACTCCCATATAAAAATATTAGGTTAGGAGACAAAGTGGAATTGCTGCCAGCTTTGCAATTTCTATAATGATAAAAGGCACCCCCTACTATTGTAACCACGAAAAGTGCATTTCAAGAAACTTTGTAAATATTTCCAGTTTATTTCTGATTTGAAAAAGTGACATATCTGAAAAAAAACATGGTTTGGGGCTTCAAATTTCTTTTATTGAACAATGAGGAACAAACACTTTTATCCATATAGAAGTTACTATAGTTAAATACAGTTGGAAGACATGCATGTGTTTAGTCTTTGAGAAAGAACTACAGCTTGAAGAACAAACAAAACTGTAAGCTATAAAATATGAATGATAATGGAAGAAAGGTAGTTTCTAAGAAGCTCATTAATATCAGACAAGAACCCCAAACATGGCCAACCCAAACCAAACCCGATTAATATCAATTATTCAGAATCCAAAATTTATGTCAAAATTCTATGATACTTGTAATTGTGGCTCTTACGCGAGCTGATTTACAATTAACTCCTAATGGAGCCAGATAACAAATAAGAGATAACATTTGGTCTCCACAAAATTAGGTCCAACTAAACATTCAGCCCAGACCAAATTCTAAAATACAATATAATATGCTATATCATTATAAGCAAGTTTTGCAGCAATACAGAACTGTGGTATATGCAGCCCAAAACAAGAATTTAGAATGACAAAGATATTTTATCATATTTGGAAAGGCTCAAAAACTACAAAGAAAATTACAACTTGCACACTGTGTAGACACCACATTTCAGAGTATACAAACAAAACAATTTGACGCCTTCCAGAAAAGTGAATTGTTAGCAAAGATACTGCACAATTGGCCCCATTATTAGACAAACAGCACCAGGAACTACTGCATGGGCATGAAATCCTCACCAGCAAATGAATTTAGATTCATCCTACCGTCCTGCTCACGAAGGGAGCCCATTCTTTCATCCAATATGGCCAACTGGGACTTGACCCAGCGTGGATTATTCCTGCCTTCAACCCATAAAGCTTCTCCAGTATCTTTATGTTTAAAATCAGGATATTTAGGGTTTCTCTGTAAATCAAAGAAATAACAATGGATTAGCATCCAATAATTAAGCCGAAGCAAACGCACAGGTTCAATAATCAAGCTTAAACAGGGAGGAGCACCTTGTTTTTCCTATTATCCCACCACTCCAAAGGATTAGCAAAAAAGGCTTGCCATAGTTCTTCTATGGAACCTGTGCTATTTCCAGCATTATTCCCAAGCTTTCTACCTGCTAAAATTAGATATCAAATAACATTAGATCCCTATCGCAATTTTATGATGTTCAATTTGAGACCACATTTTCAATACATAGACATATGACTTACTAGCTACCATGCCATTAGAATCACGATCATATAATGCTGCTGAAACAGAGCTCCTCTCAACAAAATTCAGTTGCTGGACCACTACCTGTAGGAGATTGAGAAAATGGCAACCCTTTTATGAAAACTAATATAAAAGAACATCAATGTGTGTAATATCATGAATAATAGAACCTTATAGTAGGTCTGCTGCTTTCCATCATCATTTTCAACTACATCTGAAATTAATCGGCCAGAAACATAGATTTGGTGCCCTTTCTCCACATGCTCAAAAGCAACTTGTGCCAGCTCATCCCAGAATGTCAAATTGATCCTATAAAACATCGATTGTCATTTTCCAGATACTTGTAAAGATTCAATGTGATACCATTGTATTCTATCAACACATTAGAATGTCATGAAACAATTACTTGTAAATATCATTGTGAAATAGTGGAGGAAATATGTAACATACATACACAATGAGAAAGGAATAAGCTGTTCGCATATATATCCTTCATGAGTCACAACCTACACTATGGTTATACCACTGGTGAAATTTTCCTTTATGAAAGAACAGCACTGTTATAGATACAAGAAATATGTGAGATGTCAGCCACAGTAGAAAGAAGTTGACTGAGAAACGAGTGATTTTGATACAGCCTTATCATCACATTTTCTTAGTTCAGAAGTTTTATTACTAAGAAGTTATTTAGTAGTCTTTCTATTTTAACAAAAGTCCTAATTACATATCCCTAATTTGGAGGTTGAGACCAAATGATGTAGTCTCAATTTAACGATCAATTTTTTAATAAAACAAATATAGCAGATTATTATTAAAATTTGTCTAAGAGGCTTTAAGAGCTCCCTCAAAGCAGGAATAAAAACAAAGCAAACATCATTCGTCCTAAGGAAGATTGTCCTATTCAACGACCTGTGACGCAATCCTAAGCAAGGGCCCTTAACAAGCGCATGCGCAGACATTTGATGCATCAATGGTGAGGAAGGAAGCAGGGACCATAGATTCATTGTATGGAACTAATGTAGGATGCTGGAAGAGATAACAATCAAAAGAGAAAGAAAAGACCAGGAGTGCATTGTTTAAATCCCGACCAAACCACATCAAGCGATGGAAAGAAGACTTCTAATATTTATTGGAGGCAACATATATACCAATATTGAATCAGTCATTACAACTCTAGATTCCAAGCCTCAAATCCTACTTTGCTCTCTACACTCTTTTCTTTTTACCCTCTTTTCTTTTTTGTTTGTTTGGATTTGAAATTCAACCTTATTTTGCATGTACCCATCCATACCCCATATCCTATCCTATGTCTAGAAAATACTATGTCAACTACGAGTAAAATATTCCGTACTGTGCGTTTGGAATCTGGAGGGAAGGGAATTTGATATGGTTATCCTCACCTTGTTTCCACTTCTCCTCTATAATTGGTGCCAAAAATGAGTTACAGGTAAGCTACTCCCTAAATTTCAAAACAGGAAGCTCAAACAAAATCTTATCTAAAGTTTTCTTCTTTTGAACCCGTTAATCAAATCATAATCAAAGGACAAATTAATAAAACCATAATTATCCCAATAACCAAAGACGCTAAATTTCAAAAGCACAGTTCAAGAAATGCACATTTACCATGAGGTCTCCGTGGCGGATTTCTTAAAACCGAGTCGTGTCCAAGCAAGAACCTTGCCAGAAGGGAGGTGCTTGATTTCGACGGTGGTGCCAACAGTGCCGATAAGCTGCACCGTGTTACAGAGCTCCTTATTCCATGGAATTGCAGCCGGTTTTACATACTCGACTACCTGATTGTACTGGTTGTCTCCATAATTAAGCGAGCATTTCAAGCTGCGATTAACTCGCAATCGTTTAAAATCTGCTCTACGCACGTGGCTCAAAGATAAAAAAGGGTTTAGGTTGTTTGAGATAGGATTCCACGGAACAGGGATGAATATGTTCCTGGAAGAACATAAAAGCGTTCGTACCACCGCCATCGTTGATTGTAAGGGTTTTGGGTTTTGCGGGAAATAAATGTGAATGTATTTATTTGTATTCCATCTATCAATAATATATAATTTAAAATTAAAATATAATACGAAAAAGATAAATATTAAAATAGGCAAAAAAAAAGTTATATGTTTAAATGTAATGGATTATCATTTAATTTTGATTTAAAATCTTAAAATATTTTAATTTAATTGATTATATTGATTTTATTTAAACAATTCATTATCTAATAATAGTAATAATAATTTATTATTCCGAATATTAAAAAAGGAAAAATGCTAACATAATTTTAAATATTAGTAGTTAATTCCTAAATATAATTTTTAGTTAATAAATATTTATTAAGGCTCCGTTTATTTTAGTAAAATAACTTGCAATAAAATATTTTTTACAATTTTCCATTGTCTGAAGCATTCAAAAAAATAAATCAATGGAAAATATTTTCTTAGTCAAAGAAAAATTAAATCATTTTTAAGAAAAATGACTTTTTATATTTAAGAGCGTAAGACATTTTCCAAAATTTAACAAACTTATTATAACTTTATAAATTCATATTTTGTTAATTTATTAATCATCGGTAGCCACTACTACCAGCCACTATTGACCACCACCAACCGCTGTCGATTGCCACCACCGGCCACCGCTAACCACCACCACTGGTCACCGATGACTTTTATAATTTTTTTTTTTTGCATTATTCTCATATTTAACGATAAAATTTTTAAAATACAAAATTTATATTATTAATATTTTTATTTTATTGTCTTATGAGTTAAAAATTTAAATATTTTAAACTGATTTTTAAATTGCAACTAAACAATGAAAAATAAGTAATATTTTCTAAAAAATATTTTTCTTGAAAAATATTTTCCAAATATAAGTAATTTTTCAGAAATAAACGTATTCTAAATATATATCGTACGTTAGGAGGATAATTTCAATAAAGTTTCAAGCTGAATTTAGTTAGAATACATAGTAAATATATCAAGTTTCATGCAAGACGTAAGAGACCAAAATTTTTTATTTTTAATTTTTTTAAAAAATATATTTTATACTTAACTAGTTATAAAAAAAAAATACAAATGTGTGATTAAATTTATAAAAATTGTTATTTCATTCTTATAAAATGCTAAAATTAATTATTTTATCATTGTACTTCCGAAGATATAGTAATTTAACCATAAGTTTTATTTTTGTCATATTCTTATGCTCTTCTATCCATTTTCTCCTTCTTCAAATACATAATTAAGTATAAATATATTTTAAATTTAATTAATAAATACATAAATAAGTGTAAACCACATATAATATATATATTCAAAATACTGTTTTAAACAAGAAGCATATGTACCTTCTCCGATAGTTAACAGTATTCAAATAGTTATATTTATAACACAATATAAATTAACCATTGTAATTTTTTAAATTTTAAAATGAAATTATACTCCAACATCAAAAAGATGCATATTATATAAAAGAAAATTACAATTAATATTTAATTTTATATAAAATAGGATAAAGTGGATATAAAAAACAAGCATCAAAAGAGATGGAACTCAAGTTATAAATAAACTAATTATTGGAAAGGGATGAATAAAAAAAAAATTGTTGAAAAGGGATGAAAGGATAAACTTTTTTTCTTTAAAAAAAAAAAAGATAAACTTTTATGGGCCTGGGCCCAGAATTGAGGAAAAGTTTAATGGGCCTAATTGATCTTGCCATCATACGCTGGGATGTGTTATTTGCAACGCCGACGTTGCGACTAAGAAAGTGAGAGAAGCGATTTCAGTTCAGTTCTCGGTTTTCTGGTATCAGAATCGGTGTCTTCTAGTTTCTAGCTTGGTCACTGAGCTAAGAGTCGTTGAAAATGCTAGCTCGTCTCGCCGTCACGCGTCTTCGGGAGATCCGTCAAGTTTTCCGACAAGTTCCTCAGGTTTCCCCTTTTAATTTTCTCTCGTTTTCTCTGCATCCAATAATTCTTTTTGATCTAATCACTTTGTTTCTCTCTTTTCTGTAGACCTCTAGATCCTTCTCCACTGCTCTAAACTACGTGAGTCCGATTGGCAGCGCCTGCAAATTCTTTATTTACATAGATAATAATCATCAGATTATTATATATAATTTTTTTTTTCAAAATTATGTGCTGAAATTGATTTTTTTTCCCAGCACATTGATACTCCGGATAATAATCCGAATGTTCCATGGGAGTTCACTGCTGCGAACAGGGAGAAGGTACAGTGAAAAATGCTAATAAATTTTGACTAAGAATAGTGTTTATGAGTGTAATGTGTATTAATTTTTAATTGGATGGGATTTTCTTGTAGTTATATATTTCATATTTGTTTATTTTCAAAAAGCAGTATTGGTTCTATTGATTACTATCATGTTTATTCAACTTGCTAATTGAGGTAAGGCTTGAAGAAACTATTGAAAGTTATTATATATGAGATAGTAATGCTAGTTGTGTTAGGCTTGAATGAACGTGTAGGTTCATGAGAATGTAAATTGGGGGAAGTTTAACTATGTTGGTTGATTGATGTGCTAGTCTGAACCAAAAACATTTCTTTTGGTCAGTGACTGAAGTCTTCAGGTTGTATTTATTTTCAACTTTAGATAAATAAGCCGACGTAGGGGTTTTCAAGCTTTGTCTTGGCCTTATCTGAAACTTCCATTGAAAAGGTGGAAGCTTATAGCAAACTCAAGTGGTTACTCAAAGCTAGAGCATTTTCTAGGACTTAACCTTCTAAAGTAGCTGAATCAATTATCATATTTGCAGTCATTAGACAATTACATTTGCTTAGCTAAAATTTATTCACTTCTTGTTATTAGAACAATGATATGAATTTGGTGTGTGGAAGTAACTGTTAGGCTCAAAGTTGAATATAATCTGTTGCAAATCAGCATATCTAGAAGGGACTTTGTCAATTTAGCTGGTTATAATAAGCATGTTTCCACAGCAAATAATTTCTTCTTCTTGGTTCTTTTGATAGAAAATCATAATGTATGCATATGGGTCTTGGCATGCCAAGTGAAATTCTCTGTAGCTGTAACATTTTCTCTTTTCTAGGTGCAAGTGTAACCTCTTTTCCTTTGAAATTAAGATCTCTTTCATGTGTATTACATTCTAATTTTATACTTATACATGCATATTTTCACTGCTCATTCAAGTTATGGGGGTGCTTTAGTTCATGTCACTCATTTACTTCAAGGAATATAAATTAATCTGTCACCATCTAAGAGATTCCATAGCAGGCACTGGTATTTTTTAGTTTTTTCCTCTCTTATGTGGCTGAGATGATTTGATAGCCTCATAGTGGTTATAATTGATCTGATTCTTATAAAATTTTCAACCGAAGCATTGGTATTTTTCTTGCCACGTTCTTTAATGATGTTGCTTTCCTTTTTTTTTTAAACTTGTTGTTAGGTTAAAGAAATACTGTCTCACTATCCATCCAACTACAAGCAATCAGCTGTTATTCCTCTGCTAGATCTTGCACAACAGCAGCATGGAGGATGGCTTCCTGTTTCGGCAATGGATGCTGTAAGTTGACAAAAACATATGAAATATCTGACATCAATAACTTCTACTGCTATTTTTGAGCTATTCCTATTACATATCATACATGATGATTTTGTGCCAAAAGAATCCAAAATGATTGGAGTTGAATAGAGGTTTCAACATACCATGATATATATTTACCAGAAATTAAAGAATAAGATTTTATTGCTTGGTTGTCCTCTTATTGGTAATACACGAATGATTTTGCTGCTAATTGAAACTAAAAAACCATCTGGGATGCATTTGGCTCAAAATATGGTGAAGCTTGTTCTTTTGCTTATGCTTACTGTCTACATGAAACTATAGCACTATAATGTATTTGTGTGAAAAGAATTTATTAGGCTTACTTGCAAGCTTAAGAAACCTGGAGGAACAGCATGGTCATTGCATTTGGCACTTAGTTTCATTGTAGTCAAGAATTTGCAATTTGTATCACCAATCTATAAAGAAAGAAAGCTATTCATTATGATCAACTTACTTTTCTAGAATTTGTAGAAAGAGCAAATGGGAAGCTGATTTGGAAAATCAACACTTTGACATAAAATATGATCTCACAGTAAAGTGAAAAGGGAGAAAAAAGTTGCCTAATTGTGCATCTTCTCTACAAACCTCTTTTTCTCTCTCTTGATTTCCTTCAGTTCTCACTTCTCACCGATCCTAAAACCTTTATCCAGAATCATTGTTGCCACTCCATGTCTCCCTTCATTGAAAGCTTTTACGTGCCTAGTGCCTATGTCCCCTAACTTGTAAAACTCCACACTATAAACGAACCATGTCCAACCATCTGAATAACTACCTTTGCTAACACCCAATTGTGCCTTAAGCAAACACTATTAGCACCTAAAATCAATTCATAGCAATATTTAGGAAAATCATAGCAGTGAGTTATGGCATTTTGTTAACATTTTGAGGAGCAGTCAGTGTATCTAGAATTTTGAGAGACTTTTGTGGGTCTGGGAGGAGTGACTTTGGTGTGCAGGTAGGATGCCAAAATCTTTGGGATTGTATGACAAATCAATCTTTCATGGTTACTATAAAAATTCAATGCCAACGGCTATTGTTCATCCAAGAAGAAATAAAACAAGCGATCTTTTAGGATAGCTTTTTTTTTGAGTTTCTGATACAGAAGATGATTCCTTGGTTAACTTAGGATTTTCAGTATAATCAAGATAAATAAAAGTAAGCTCAAGATCATTTGGCATATTCTTTAGATTCTGTTTATCATTTAGTAACAGCTTACTAGAACTTAAGTTGATGGAGAGAACTCAAAAATTGATTTCTCAAATCTTTGAGGCATTTGAATGACTACATTACATCTGACAAAAGGTGCAAGTAGCATACATTGGGAACAAAATAAATAAATGACGTCTTAGATGGTTTGGTGGTCCTATGTAGACCTCCATGTGTCCCAATTCGTAAATGTGATATATCTATGTTGGAGGGTGTTAAGAGAGGAAGAATTAGACCTATGAACACATAGAGGGAAGTTGTCTCAACTCTCAAAAGACCTACTAATTATTGGCATTAATGCAGTTTCAATTATGAACAGAGTGAAATAAAAACAAAGGATCCACATATTCAACCCTAACTAGTTTGGATCAAGGCTTAGTTGTTTTTATTGTTGTTGTTTCAGGCATTTAAGTACCACTGGACCTAGAGTTATCCTAGAATCCTTTGGCATTTACAAGTTATGAGCCATTTCTCGTATTAGTAAAAGTCTTGTATTTTATATAGACAGTCGTTTGTGTTTTCATTGGTTGTAACTTGTTTGTTAACTTGTTTATAACAACATTAGAAATTCCAGAAAACTTTCACATGCATTCTTCAGGAATGCGGAATGATATATGAATAACTTTTTAGTTGGATGTTTATGAATGCTCCAGGTAGCTAAGGTTATTGAAGTTGCTCCTATCCGTGTATATGAAGTTGCAACATTTTATTCAATGTTCAACCGTCAACCAGTAAGAAAATACATCTCTTACAACAATCTGAATTTGATGCTTCTACATATACTAATTCCAGCACGATTGCAGCTTACCCTGATCAACATCTTTCTTTGGATTTTCAGGTTGGCAAGTACCACCTATTGGTTTGTGGCACAACTCCTTGTATGATTCGTGGTTCACGAGAAATAGAAGATGCATTATTGAAACACTTAGGAGTGAAGCGCAATGGTAAGCTATAGAAGACAAATATTTTTCCATATTACATTTGAGTACTTGTTAAAGATTTCAGATTTGAAAAATAAACCTTGTGAATTTTTAAATGCAGAAGTAACAAAAGATGGTCTTTTCTCTGTTGGCGAAATGGAATGCATGGTGAGTCTTTAACTCTGTTTAATAGTATGAATTTCAGAGTTTTTCAATCAAGTTTAGTGTTTGTTTTTGCTTGGTTTTAATTGGGGATTAAGATGTAGATGTTGGAAATTAATCCATACTTGATGTGCAATGAATATTTGGAACATGCACTTTAAGTAACAATTTTGATAAGCATACAGAAATTCTATTTGTAAGTTTGAAGTGTTGGTCTGTATTCATGGAAATTATAGGTATATCAGCATAGGTTTCATTTTACATTCTTTTTTTAACCATTCTGACCGTTTTAGTTCACTTCTGTATGATCTAATATATAATTGTTTTCTGCAGGGATGCTGTGTAAATGCTCCCATGATTACTGTTGCTGATTATTCCAATGGATCTGAAGGATATACTTACAATTATTATGTGCGTCCATGATAATTCTGCAGTTGTTGACAAGCAGTGATTTTTAAGCTTTAAAAATTTCATGATGATTTTTATGCTAATTGCAGGAAGATGTTACTCCAAAGCGAGTTGTTGAGATAGTTGAGATGTTAAGAAGGGGAGAGAAGCTACCGGTAAGGCAACTAGAGAGGTTTATGGGTTTTTTTCTTTTTTTTTTTCCCAATTTTTGATTAATGATATTATTACTGTGTACTTAAACTCTGTCCTTTATTTCAGCCTGGCACACAAAACCCAAAACGCATCAAGTGTGGGCCTGAAGGAGGCAATACTACACTGCATGGTGAGCCAAAACCACCTCCATGCCGGGATCTCGATGCCTGTTAATGTTATGGTAAATGTTGTTACCAATAATGCAAAGCTTGGATTTTTTTCAGGCTTTCCTGAGTCATCTTTGTTTTTTAAGCTCAACCATTTTTTGTATTTGCCTGCCAGCATGGTTTCTGGCAGATACTCAGTTCCATGCATCTTCGTATTCAAGAAATGGCTTACTAGTTCCTTGGTGCACATGAATTCATATGTTGAATGCACTCCTTCATATTGTGGCATTGAAAAGCACATGTACTACTAATATCAGGCATGTCGTGATTCAGAAACAATCACAAAGATTATCAAAATTTTTTTATTTCTTCAATCCAAATATGAAATAGATCAAGAACAATTATTCTTTTATGAAGTTACTGCTGTTCTTAGGGCCATCTTCTATTTGTCAGTACATCTGGATGCCAAAAATATCGTAAGCTTCTCTTTCTTTTCCGAGTTTCCAAATTATTGTGCTTTCCAATCATATCAGTTCTTGCAACCAATGGAATAACATTCTGTTCATATTGACTAGTTGACCTTTGCACATGATATATTGGCAGCTGGAATAAGAAATTTGTTAAATAGTGTACATGAGTTTGTCAGATTAGTAGTATAAAAGGGTACTTGTTTGTTATAACATTAGCTTTACTTTGCCGGCAAATAGGATTTCATCGTGGTAGTTAACATGTATTTATTACCCTTTTTTCCTCTGATGGATGATGATGAGTTTGATTGCCATGTTAGTAGTAGCAGTGGCATGAGTTGTGTGACTGATTGAAAAGAGTTGGAAATGATGATAGATATGAACACACTTGTAGCGGTTGGAGACAGCGTAGGAGTTTAGAAGAGTTGCTTATTGGCCAGCCAATTCAATGAGGATATGATTTGAGAACTGAAACCCAACTGTTTAGAAGAAATAGTCCCCAGATATTTCACACTTCAACGTGCTGCACGCGCACTTGCTATTTTCAACTGCTAATTTCAGAAAAAGACTACCATTTTCACTTTCTTATCTTGCCATCATTTAGCATCTCTCCTTACTCTCAAGCCATTAAATTTCTGTTTATTGACTAAACTTTTGGGTGTTTTGTCATGCATTTGAGTTTCTATTCTCTGAAGTTGACTAACAAAAGTTAGTAAAATTCAGTGGAGTCTACATTGGCGGTATACACTCATGCCAATATGTATATTTTAATTATAGTATGAACTCTATAATTTATTGATATTTATCATTCAATGAAAATATATTTAATTAACTAAAATTCATTTTATCTTACCAATCTGATTAATTGAATATGAACTAATCCATCAATTATACAATACATTCATTCTACTTATGTACTTGAATAATATTTGTTATATAATTTATAATTGCATTACTTTAATTAAACGCACTTAAGGAAAAAAATTTTGAATATAAATTAATTGCATTAAATATAGTCACTGCATACGTAACATAAAAAACTAGAGATACTAAATTGAATTTCAAAAAAAAAAAAGAAAAAAAAAAAGAATAAAACCATATTTTAATAAAATATCATAATAATTATATTTGTAATTTTTACAAATCATTAATTTATAACATGAATGGAACAACAAAATTGTTTACAAATTTTTTTCAAAAAAGTAGATCTTATTAATTTAACTAATTAACACAGGTCGAAACTGTAAAAATTTATGATATAATAAAGACTATTAATTATCAAATAATAATTGAATAAACGGTTGGATTAAGAGCCTGTTTAGAGTTTACTATACAAGTCAAATGGGGATAGATCCATAAAAAACGGAATCCGACCACCCATGACCCATCAGAATCTCTCTTTCTTTCTCCCCAATGATTTAACTTCTAATAATGATTAAGAAGAAAAAGAAGTCAAAATTACTTTAGGAAACACAAGAAGCACCCCCCAAAATAAAGTAGCACTATAATTTTCTCTTGGACTATCAACACTCACATTGAAACAACCAACCATAATCTATTCTACCTTTTCCATTTCCTTTTAAATAAACTATTACAACAATATTTATAAATTACATAGATATATATATACCCTTCCTCTATCCCTTTTACAAGGTCCCACAACCACTAGCAAAAATTAGAGCCCCCACTAGAAAAGTGCCATCATCATTTCCCACTAACCCCACCAAAAAGAAAAAAAAAATAGCATATCAAGTGAGCTTTGACAATTTTCCTCCTCCACTTGAGCTTGGCAAGACATCAAGGGCCTGCCTGCATTTTTTTTAGGCATTGACATCTTAACCTGTTTTGAGAGGAGAAAAAAAAAAACAACAAAAAAAGCTGGAAAGGAAAGGCAAAAGCAAGAACTATGGCATCTGACTTTGATTGCAATTTGAAATTAGCCAACATCCATTTGGTGGAGTTGGAATGGGACAAACAAAATATGGGACCCCAAACATTTGGTGACTTTAAATGGGACCATGGGATGCTTACCCATTTCGAAGGTCTATGATGGAGGATTTGTTTCTGGCTTCACAATAGTAGATGTATCTGGTGGTTGTGTATGGTAAATTGCAGTGGCCAGTGAGATGGGCATGATGCAAAGTGCCTTTGATTGAAGAAACTGCATGGCAGCACCAACATTTTCTTCCATCAGCTTTGCTACCTGTCGCTCCGTTCCATCGTTCGACCACTTCTCCCACGCTGGTTGGTTTCTTCCATCTTCGCCGGTTTCATCCTATATATCAGGAAGAGCTAACTTAGCCCAAGTGTGAAAAGGAAAGAATGAAATATGTTATATTATCCTCCATAAATATCATGTTTTCTTTATTACCTCAACTGAAGATAGTGGGATATCCGTTACAAGTGGTGCAACCGCACCAGCTCCGCCCAATCTACTCATGCTTAAAACCTGTTAATGATAAAAAAATATTGGTCAATAAAAAGGGCCAAAAGCAATAATAAAATTTCAACCATCATAACATCCATTTTTGTGGACACTCCATTTCAGAATGAGCGAGGAATGCACTACTAAATAAGCCAATGAATATTCTAACTTCTATTGCATGATTCACATCTTTTTGTTATATTCAATTTATAATTTGTCATCCATAGTGGAGGCAACAATATATGTAAATTTATGAGCACACAAAACCGACCTATGAAGTGGGAAACGAGACCCAATCCCCTCATTTCACTGGCACAATAGTATTCACCTAAAGTACCAATAAAATTTGTTGCAGAATTCAGACACCCAATTCAAGAGATCAGCTAAGAAACACACGCACTATCATACAGGTACAGAAGTGGCTCTAAGAATAACTTGTGCATGGAAATTCATAAGTGGTGTGAAAGGCCAGAATCAATTATTCTAATCAAGAACTGCCAATAATACTTTGGTTTTGAAGTCTGCTGATAATGGATGAGAGAATGATTCTTACCAACATCAAGCATTAGTTGACTGACATAGGCAATAATGCACAAACATACAGTATACTTGGAAAAGGGGAACATAAATTACATGGTCCATGCAGTGAGATATATCCAGATGAAATCTTTTCAACTATGAAATAATGGGGCTTTATCATAAAAAGAACAGCACAGTAGGATTTTTGCAATTAATAGGGACACAGAGCTATATTTTGCAATACCTTTACTTGGAGCCTTAAAAACTTCACGTAATCCACAATTTCATCAAGCATGGCAGCTCTATCTGTCTGCACAAACAGTATAAACATCAATATCAACATGATGTAGGCAGTATGCTTAGAGAAACTTTCTCATGGATAACCTCAAAAGTTCTTCCTTTAATCAACCAAAATACTCATTCTACAGATATACTCCAAGAAGAAAACTTATTAAATCTCAAAAATATAAAATTGAGATAAAACTGCTTCTGTTCCAAGGTAATACATGCCATAAGCATAGAATTATACTTTTTCACCTCCTATGGTTGAGTTTTTTGTCTTCTCTCCTCTTCTCTTCTTTCAGTAACCTCATTTTAGACATTCTATCACTTGCATGTTCCATTTATGATACTAAGCTACACTTTTCATTCTAAAACAAGGCACTCTAAGCTGTTATATATGCTGTAAGTCAAAAGTACCAGAGTACATGCTATGATACATTCTCTATCAGACTACAAAAATTTTTTGCATCTTTCAACTAAGATCGCAGTCAGTACATAATCAATGTGCATGCATCAGAGAAAGTCAAGATGCAATGTCTTTTCCTGTGTATATTAACAATAAAGTTATCTCATCTATATGTGTTGTTAAGAAAACCTCACGTGCCACCATTACATCACATCTGTGAGAAAGAAAAAGACTGACCTTGTTGACGCTAGGAACCAGCTCCTGCAATGCCCTGATTCTTTCCGCTATTCTTTCTCTTCGCAACTGTGCCAAATTGAAAAGAATCAAGAGTGTTTATAGCATTACTTCGTAGCTGTCTTTTTTCTTAGTACAGTAGATTTACCCGCTCAGCAATGCTGTGTGGATCTGTGGCCTGTCCTCGTCTAGCTCGCACCCTAGGGCGCATTGTGGGAGGATGTGGGGCTGCAGCTACAGTTGTGGGCATGGGTTGACCATGGAAGACCTGCAAAAAGATGATAATCACAATATGAGGGGCAACGAAGATAGATCTTTTCACCAACAAAACTAAATAGTCTGACTTGCAGAGTCCAACAAATTAAAGGCAGAAAAAGGAAAGCAAGTAACTAAATAAATAAACTGTATATGGATGGTCAATTTGTGTAAGAAAAGATAACATCGAGTTATGAATCAATAGTTCATTAAAGGACAGAATGAGGGCAACACTAGAAAACACCATCTAAACTGTTGAACCATTTTCATCTTTAATTAAAGTTTGATGAATTCTTAACAATAGAGTTAACAATTAAGATTTCCAACCAAACTATTGAATTATATATTATAAGTCTGCCATTACATATGGTGTTTGTTGGCATAGATAGGCAATGTGCTGAACAAACACAAGGCTGCGCATGGCATAGCACTGAATTCTTCCAGTGTTAGGGTCAGACGACTACAAGTTGAAATTAGGCCTCTTGCACTCAACAGGTGTATCCTAAAAACAACCATTAATAATTTTGCACAGGTGATCTTAGAACTGGTTAATTTGATGTACTGCATGGCTTGCTGAGAGAGGAAAAAGCAGTATCTACAACATTAACCAAACACTAGAACGGATTTTATGAAGTGCCTGAAGTTTCACTCTCTTGCAATGACATCAAAAAACCAAGACATCTAGCATTCTCTTTCTATATTCATTTGCTTAAATTTGGTGGTTTAGGAAGTTCTAAATCGTTCAAGATAAATTCACAAAGCCAACAGGCAAATACCCAACCATCACAAATTTCCCAATAAGAAAAATTTTCTCTTGGTTAATTCGATTATCAATTATTCTATATTCTCTTACCAACCAGCTACAAAGCCAAACCAGGAAACATTAGCAAGTTTTCTGCTGTTGACCCCTAAGTATACTTCCACATGAATTGTCCTCAATGCAATATTTTTTGTCTTATTCGAATGATTATAACCTGAGCATACAAACTTTTCCCGTAAGAGGAAGAAAGCTATGTATGAATCATTTGAATGTTTAGCCAACCAATCTTAACCAAACACTAGAACGGATTTTATGAAGTGCCTGAAGTTTCACTCTCTTGCAATGACATCAAAAAACCAAGACATCTAGCATTCTCTTTCTATATTCATTTGCTTAAATTTGGTGGTTTAGGAAGTTCTAAATCGTTCAAGATAAATTCACAAAGCCAACAGGCAAATACCCAACCATCACAAATTTCCCAATAAGAAAAATTTTCTCTTGGTTAATTCGATTATCAATTATTCTATATTCTCTTACCAACCAGCTACAAAGCCAAACCAGGAAACATTAGCAAGTTTTCTGCTGTTGACCCCTAAGTATACTTCCACATGAATTGTCCTCAATGCAATATTTTTTGTCTTATTCGAATGATTATAACCTGAGCATACAAACTTTTCCCGTAAGAGGAAGAAAGCTATGTATGAATCATTTGAATGTTTAGCCAACCAATCTTCCTAACAACCCAAAAAGCCAGCAGAGACTTCTTGAGCTGTTTCATTCGTCAAATGTAATAATGACGCTCTCTCTTTCGTTCCCTCATCTAACTCAAGAAACATATCCAATTCCTAAAAATTTCAAGTTTAAGACAACAATTGCTCCTCCTCATCCCTAAGATCACAAACTGACAAATCTGTGCTGCGTTTCCCTATAACCCATTTTCCTTACCGTCATTGCATTTTTGTCCAACTAATCAATCCCTATCACAAATCATTTCAAAGGAAGAAAAGAAGTTTGAAAAAAGAAAACTTAGGCTTACATTTTTCATTGCTGTAGCTCTGCCATCAACGACCTCATCACGAAACCTCTTACTGCTCCCTGATGCCTCCTCAGGCTTCAAAAACCCTCCTTTTCCCTGGTCCAAGCTCAGCCCTAATGGAAACCCATGAAAACCAGCACCTCCTCCTCCAGCAGCGCCAAGGGTAGCTATGTGACTGGAGCCATCACCTGAGCTGAGCTGCAGCATCATCGGAGCTTGAGCAGTTGCGGCACCAGCCAAACCGTCGGCACCAACCAAGCCACCCTCAGCGGAAGCGAAGTTGGGGAGGCCAAGGATTTCCTGAAGGAAGTCGTCAGCAGGAGGCTCCGTGGGATTATTTGCCATGAGTTGGGCGAATTAAAGTGAGTCGAGATAGCAAGTCAGAGCTCCAAAAGAGAATCTACATGAAAAAAATTTGTGAGAGAGAGGAAAATAGCAGAAAGATAGTTTTTTTTTATTTGTTTTTTTAACAAAAAAATTTTTGTAAGCACTTCGAGGTTTTGAAAGTTTCAGCTTTTTGCGTTTGCTTAACTTTGCTTTCTCACTGTGTAAGCATGAGAGCGAAGAGACAAATCGAGGACGAAAAGGGTGCCTTTATCCTGGTTAAAAATGTTGTGCTTTACGTAAAAGGGTTCATTGTGTGACTAATTTACGTCTCTGCCATTTCCTTGTCTTTAATTATTTTAATTAAGGATGGAAATAGAGAGAAATGGGAAATCATCTAATATCTTAGAATATAAATATTTACAATTTTATACTTAATTACAATTGGAGATGTTATTACTATAAAACATCCAAATTAAAATAAAATTTATAAAAAGATCAAGATCGAGTGAAATTGCAAAATTCAATAAAATTCTAACCCTTTAATTTATGTTTTGTGTTGTATTGAATTGAATATTTGATATCCACCCTAAGCTTTCTTAAAAGATTTAATTACTAGCTAAACTAAAAAAAAATTAATTTAAATTAAAAAAATAATTAATTTTATTTACATATGTTTTTAGTATTTTAAAAAGTTAAATAAAAAATTGAATATAATAGACCATATTAATAAAGTAGCTCTTATAACTTGTAAGTAGCATCGGTTTCCTTTTTTCAAAAAAAAAAAAAAGAAAAGAAAAATGTAGTATTAGTTGTACTAGTTTTATATACTTTCTATATGTGAATAGTGAGTACTATCTACAAATAATTTTCTATGTGAATTCACATATATTATGATGACAATTAGTTACTGGATACATAATTAATTTTCGGCGAATAGTGGATTTTTTTTAGAAATAAAAGTATATATTGATAACTCAGGGGCAATAATGGATATAAAATATTAATTGGGTATGAAATTAACTTTAGCAAATAATTTAATAAATAGCACTGATTTGTTGCTTTATATTGTGAAGAGAAGGATATATAAATAAAGATTTTCGTGAAACTTTTGAGATCTAAACATACTAATTCGGTAATTAAGGAAAATTTACCAAAAGAAATGTTGAAATGTTAATAATTAATTTTTGAAATGATTTTAATAAAATGAAAACATTCAAAAATCAATCTGCGTCGCCTGAGAGATTCGAACTCTCGCGGGGAAACCCCATGTACTTAGCAGGCACACGCCTTAACCACTCGGCCAAAGCGACATTAGTGCTAACCGAGAATTTTAAATTTATTGGTAACATCTTAATAAGAAACTAATCAATTTGCTTATAACAAACTTTTCTCTTAGCAAGGCACAAAACACTATCAATTTGGAAATTCACTTGCTCAGACCGGATCTACGATCCACCTATTGAATAAATCAATGAAAATAATAATTTCTTATTAAAACAAATGATATTTTTTATCATACATTATAAAAAAATAAAGTATGAACAATTTTTAAAAAATTTATGTTATTATTGATTTAATTTATAGGTGAAACCATGGACTCAGTTTAGACAATTATGATTCATCAAGTCCAATGATGATTCCTCTAGGATTAAGAGATTCTTAAACTTAGTTACTTCAAATTTGTTAATTAAAAATCCATATCCGCTCTCAGAAATTTTAAGGCAAATATGGCATGTTATTATGATATACAGTAGAAAAATTTCACATCTGTTAACTTCTCCAGTTTGACATCATTTGCCGGCAAGGGTTCCTGTTGGGCATCAGATATGTACGTTTTCACCATTTTTTCTTTTTCTTTTGATACATCATGACTATTTAAATACTGACCTTATCTTCCGCCATCATGCTTCTTATTGACTATGGAATTTAACAATCAAGACTCGATATTCAGATGTTTATTAGGGACAATAAAACAACCGTTCCTCAAATTCATTGCTCGAGGCTTAAAGCAAGAAAATAATAGTCCGAGACTCACGTTTTGCAGAGTTCCAAGTCTCTGGGAATCACTCAAAATTAAACAACCACAGGCTTATATATTTCTTTTCTTTTCTTTTCCCGTTAGGCAATTGGACTTCTTGATGACAATTGAAACCTTAGCCCCGTAAAATAAATAAAAGCATCAACATAGCTATGGTAAATCTGGTGATCAGCCAGAATTAACAATGATTTAAGAGTAATTTTATTTACAACTAATATTAAAAGGAGGTTGTTAGTTTTCCTTCCACTGCCAAAACTCCCTTGATAGCACTTTCTGCAGTTCCATCAGAAATAGCAAAAATCTGCAGGAGCAAAAAGAAAAAAAAATCAAAAAGCAAAAAGCACAACATCTAACTTGCTAAAGTAAAAAAAAAAAAAAAAAAAGGACAAAAAATGCAAAAAGCACATCATCTAACTTGTCAAAGTAAATTTTGATTTACAATAATGAAAAATTACCAAATCTAAGGCCACTATAAAAAATTTCATCCTATTTTTCAGAATGCTGGTTAGAAATGCTTACCTTACTTAGAACAGAATATTAACTCATTCATATTTTATTTGGTTTTGGGGCTGTGCAAAAAATTCTTTGGCATTGTGAGCCACCTCAGCCTCCAATACAGCTTCCAACACAATGTCAGATCCTTTTACATCATCTGTCACCACATCAATATGCATCCTTTAAAAATATAAGCTATGGCAAGAATTTTTTCATACTTTCTTTTTTATTTATTTATTAAAGATCCATCCACAGTTCAAGAGAATCAACAGTGGCCATGTACGTGAGAAATGACTGTAATGTAATTGTGCATTGATTTAGGATGCAATCACTAATGAAAATGCTCATAATGTAATGCAAAAAATTCTTTGGCATTGTGAGCCACCTCAGCCTCCAATACAGCTTCCAACACAATGTCAGATCCTTTTACATCATCTGTCACCACATCAATATGCATCCTTTAAAAATATAAGCTATGGCAAGAATTTTTTCATACTTTCTTTTTTATTTATTTATTAAAGATCCATCCACAGTTCAAGAGAATCAACAGTGGCCATGTACGTGAGAAATGACTGTAATGTAATTGTGCATTGATTTAGGATGCAATCACTAATGAAAATGCTCATAATGTAAATATGAAGCAGAGGCACATGCAACTTTTAATACTATTAATAATATGCCACTGTGACACTGTCTACCAAAGGAAGACAAGAACATGAGGTCAACAAAAACTGGAAGGTTGAAAGACATCGATAAAACTAGAATCAGAATTTAGCATGTGACTAGGAAAATGTACATATATAGTTTAAATATATAACTTATATTTCAAGCCACAATGTTGTGCAAGATCACGAATCTACTAAATCAAGTTCATAGCTAAAATGCAGAAGTTAGCAAGCAAAACAATTTGGTTTTTGTTTACCAGGATTGACATTTTAGCATTCCACCTACAAACAATGATAAATTTAGTAGTTTTAGTTTTCTCAACTTTCCAAAACAACATCAAGTCCAAAAGTAACAGATTTAACTTCGTACTAATCAAAGGGTTCTTTAACAAGCCTTCACGAGACAACCCTTTTGGCCCCACCTTTGAAAGGTAACATTGTTGTTACTTGTATATATGGTTAAATGGGTATCTGCCACAACGCAAAATGCTCACACAAAACCAAGTGGGAACTGAGAAGTTATCTAATAAAGTTCTATTTGAATTCTATGGAAATTTGGGGAAATGACTTGAAGGAAAATTTGGATGCACGTCTTGTTTTCTTCTTCTCCATGTATCCTCTGATTCTGTTTTATTATAGGAAACAGAAACATGAAGATGCTGGAGAAAAGGTCAAGAAAACCATAATGATCTTCTTCTTTTCTTCTGTTATTTTGAGATATGAACACACTGACAGCAAGAGAGAGGAAGGAACAAGTAAATTCTTATATCTACATCATCTCATAGTTTAACTTGGGTTTAATAGGAGAAGGATGTTAATATGAGATATGCTATATGTTCTCTGTTTTAGCCTCCTCAGGCTACAACTAAAGAAGGCACCAAGAACTAAAAGAGGCCTGCTTTCAAAATTTTAGCTCATTTCTCACTGCTTTACTTTTGACAAAGGGTTTCACTGCAGCTATGATGATTTTATCGTCTATGTTATTGCAGATGGAATTGGGATGATCAGGACACGGAAAATGAACAGAAATACCTCATTAATCTACAGCAGAGGAATAAAACATTAGAATACACATAGTTCTGTAGCCCTTTTATTATATAAATAATTCATCACATGTCACGTTGATAAACTTTTAACGAAAAAAATTCCTATCAGTCTATGCATGCAAGCATAATAGAACAAACAAGTCGGAATAGGTGCAATATAAGAGACCATGAGTTAAAGCTAACAAATGGAAGAGTTATAACGATACATCATCCACGAAAACACATGCTCACGCACACACATAAAGAGCCACAATCCTATTTCACTTGCTTCAGTAGCACCAGGACTAATAATGCACCAGACAACAAATGGCATCATTTGTAGATGTAAAGAGAACATAGTAATTGCATCTGATTAAAGATTATTACCTGAGCGTTTTGGTAACATCCCAGCACTTTCAGCAGATACAGGTAGAACATTTGGAAGCCCAGCATCATCAATCAACTTTTCTGCATCTGCACCACTGTCCAACAAGCTAGTCTTCTGGGCAGCAGCTTCAGCCAATCTTGCATAAACGGTTGCTTGGCTGTGCATAGAACATGAATCCGAGGCCTTTGAACCAAAGAGGAAAAAATAAGCGGGATAAAAAATATATATAACAGCAACATAGTGGTAATACAAACACCGCTGCTTCAAGTGAAAAATACGGAGCAAGGAACATAAGTTTGCTTAATAAACAACCTTGGAAAAGGCAGATGTTGCTATACTCCCTCCAATTCTCTGCTCACTGCTTGGCTGGGAAATGGTAACTTTCAGAGTGTTCTCTACATCTTGATTTTCACAAATGCCATTGGCTAAATCCATAACAAAAACAGCTAAAAGTAATTAGAAAATCCCATACTACAGAAAGAATAAACTTGAAAAATTATCAACGAGGAAGACAATACCATTAGAACCAGATGTATTATCAACATTGTCAACAAGCCTCCGAGTTAATGGACCAGGACTCAAGATAGATATGCTTCGAATCTCATGACGTATGGCTTCAAGTTGAGCCATTGTGTCCTGAAGTTCCTTGTGAACCTAAAACAAAAACCATATATCTCAAGAAGCATCAATCAACTTTGCAATAACACCATAACTCCCGCTTCAAAGTGGAATAATAGAAACATGTTCAAAGAAAGTTCTATCTCTTGTTATTTGTTTTTATGCTCTTGAGAAAACAGATAGGCCGTGTTATCTTATTAATCCAAAAATGAATATTATGAGATTATACGTTTTCTGCTCGAGGCATTGCACTGAAAAAATATATATATTAGAAAAAGAAAAAGGAGAAGAATAGCAGGAAATGTAACCTGGCGAGCTTGAGATTGCTGCATAACACTCTCGAATTGGCCACGAGCTAACTGGACATAGCCAATAGCTCGACCGGCTAATCTCCCAGCTGTTCTTGCTATTACTGGTAGATCCTTGGGTCCTAATAATTCAAATGCATTGAACAAACTTCAAAACTTCATTTACATAATTACATTTGTTTTCTCGTTTGAGACGGAGGAAGAGATGGAGGAGTAACCGATTAGTGCAGCGGTGGCTCCAAGCAAAAGAAAGATTTCGCCATAAGACATTCCAAACATTATCGTTAGTAGTTGATTGTGGTTTTGCGCGAAATTTAACCAAATGGTTGAAGATTCAAATCACTATTTTGGATCCGCTCCAGCCATAGCGACAACTTGTGGAAGTTGAAGAATCAAATGCCGCCTTCGATTGGGACCTCGCTCTCGTGAGGGTAAAGATTAGCTGTGACTTATGAGTTGCGACGGTGCTCTCTGTCATTGGCCTCCCGTCGAGACTCGAGATTGTCGTCTTCCCAGGTAGCAGTACCTGAGCTTTGTGTGTTGGGCTGTTTCAAACGAACGAACCTGAAGAAGCCCAACACAAATTTGAATGTACAATTTGGCGTTGGGCCGTAAAATTGGTGCTAATAGATTGGACCCAAACGTCGAATTAAATTAGTTATTCGAATACCCTTTTTAAATTCATTTAAATATCTAAATTCAAATCCGTTTGAAATTTAAAATTATAAAAGAATTAACGGTTATGGATAGACTTAAAATCATACTCTATATCGTTGTGATTCACTGTTAATATTCGTTTCATACAGAAGTCAAATCGAAACTGAAAAAAAGAGAAAAAAAAAATTAACCACATTATATTATTGTTTCAAAAATCACCTGTACAGCTCATTTGTATACTATTATCCATGCATGTTTGCCAAATATGACAAGTGACGGCAAATATAGCAGGATAGCCAAATATGACAAGTGACGGCAGAGCGATAGAGCAGAAATGAATCAAATCAATCCACATCATTAAAATCTGTTATAACAGGACCTCTAAGGAACATTTCCCATCCCATTCACATAGGACGACAAGGTTTCCGTTCAAGTCTATAAGTTACGACAGTTTCATTATCAAAAGAGTAGAAACAAATTGACGACATCAAAACGCTCCGTTTCTGCTTCAAAAACTCAAAAACCCTTCCCTAAATTTGAAAACCCTCTCGTTAACAACTACTCGCACCAAACCTTTATCAAAACCTCTCTTTTGTGTAATGGCTATTGCCGTGAAACCAACAGCTAGCTTCCTCCACCTAAGGAAACCGGAGACGCATCTCTTCATTCGCTTTCCCCCTTACAAATCCGCCGTCGTTTCAACTAGAAGAATCGCTGAAATGGCTGCTCTCACAGTAACCCCGAGCCTTGGTCTGGCTGAAACGTTTTCCAATCTTAAAAAAGAAGGCAAAGTAAGCATCTAAGTGTTTTTATTTTTGTTTTTTCATTCTCTCTTCTCTTTGTTTGAATGGTAATTATCAGAATATTTTATTTAATTCAGTGGATAGCCCAGTAAATTAACCTGCGGGGCATAGTTTAGTGTGTGCATTTCTGCTATGTTTTAGTATATAGCAAGGTTGTCAGCTGCAATCTCTCCTTTCTATGATTTGAGCCAGCTGTTTCCTTTTAGTTATCAATGGAAAGAGGTTTAGTAATCTAGTTATCCTTTGATGCTAATATTTTAAGCCAAATTTTGAAATAGAATCTGCCAAATTTTGAAATAGAATCTGCCAAATTTTGGAGTATTTATCTGACAACAGCAAATTTGGATGTCTAAGGGAAACAATTTTTTTGGGTATTTCGTCAACAAGGAAGGGAAGAGAGTTGGGATTAGAATTAGGGGAATTCATTTGGTTGGGGAAATCAAAGGGGATTTTTGTTCTATTTCATAATCTTGCTTTAAAGAGTATGTCTTTCTGTGAAGGTGGCATTCATTCCGTACATCACCGCTGGCGACCCTGATCTTTCAACCACAGCAGAAGCCTTGAAAGTGCTGGACTCGTGTGGATCTGACATTATTGAATTGGGTGTTCCATATTCTGATCCTTTGGCAGATGGTCCAGTGATTCAGGTTTGATTAATACTTTGTTATCACTGACTTTTTTTTTTTTTTTTTTGTGCTGGACTCGTGTGGATCTGACATTATTGAATTTGGGGTTCCATATTACTGATCCTTTGGCAGATGGTCCCATGATTTACAGGTTTAGATTAATACATTATGATTATCACTGACTTTTTTTTTTTTTTTTTTGAAATTTCACTTACAAGTGTCTCTGAATCTGACTTTTTTTTTTTTTTTTTTGAAATTTCCTTACAAGTGTCTCTGATTTGTTTAGGCGGCAGCGACCCGTTCCTTGGCAAAAGGGACCAATTTTGATGCAGTCATATCAATGTTGAAGGAGGTACTAACATTGTATTATACTGTGCCACTTATCTTCTGCAGTAAGACTGAGATGGATTGGTTATGTTTATAGCTATTCAAACCTTGGCACATATTATTTTGGGCATAATGCCTACATCAATTGTCGAGTAATTACATTAGTTGATTCACAACTGAGATACATTAGTTATATTGGCATGTTATTGATATTAAGTCTATATATCTTCATTTTGAGTTATGGTGGATGGTTTACCTATTGTTTTCTTTCCACACAAGAGGCCTGATGCCTTTTATAGATCAAACACTAGTACAAGGAAGTCTTGAAATACATGTTTCCTTCGCAACCCTCCACTGAACCTCTCGAAGCGGGGAGCATTGTGCACTGGGGACATGATGCTATTATGATCTTGAGAGTACCATACCTCGAAAGCTAGCCGTTGAGGTTGGAAAGCCAAGTTCATATGAACCCTGCATTGAAATCCCACATTTCCAACATGGGATCAAAGACAAGTCCCACCCTTGGTCTTGCAACTAGAATCTTAACATTCCACCATGCTCTCTAATGTCGTGTCCACGACGGGTTGGCTTTGTGCTGGGTGGTTGTGCTAGGTTTCCTAACCCTAGGTGAACAATGCAATTCTGGCATCACCACTCACGTTGCTGATAGTTGGTTTTGATACCAATTGTTATGATCTTGGGAGATCATACCTCAAAACTTGCCATTGATGCTGGAGGGCTCAAGTTTATATAAACCCACATTAAAATTTCATACTTACAATATGGGATCTAAGACAAGTCCCATGACTTGTCTTGCAACTAGGTTTCTAACAGGTGCTTTCTATTATGATACTGGTTGCCATTTCAATTATCGCTATACACCCAAAAATGTTCACCAAAAAACATTGGCTCACTCATGCACTTCTTTATCTGCTATTTTATTACATTTAAGTGAATAAATACTAAATAAGAGGCACACAATTTCCCTAGTTACTGCTTTGCTTTGTTGGCTATTGACATCAATGTCCTTATACTACTTCCATTTTTCACATTGCAGGTAATTCCACAATTATCATCTCCAGTTGCATTATTTACATATTACAACCCAATATTAAAGCGCGGAATTGAGAAGTTTATGTCCACTGTAAAAGATGTTGGTGTACATGGTAATGGTCAAGTCTTGTCTGCTTAAGCTTTCAAACTTCTAGTGTCAAGGGTGTCTAGCCTACGTGGTAAACTCTTTAACTAGACCAATGCTATTAAATGGTAAGGTAAGGTGGCTTTTTCTCCTACTTTACCTTAATTGTCAGGCTTTGTAAGATATCAGTTCACTCACACACACCAAAAAAAAAAAAAAAAAAGACCCCTTCAATTGTCAGGCCTTTGGTAATGAAATAGTATCAATCACCACACCAAAAAAAAAAAAAAAGCGAAGAAGAAGAAGAATAGTTTGTAAAGTGGTAACTCAAAATTAACTGCGTTAAAATTCGCTATCATGATCAAAAAAAAAAAAAAAAAAAGAAGAAGAAGAAGAATAGTTCGTAAAAAGTGGTACTCAAAACATTAACTGGTTAAAATTCGCTATCATGATTTGGCTATTCCTAATCCATAACAAAGACGTGATGGGATTGCTTTTATATTACCTTAGTTCAATGTCTTGTTTTAGTATGTTTGATGGCATCTTCATGGAGGAAGTGAGAAGAATTGGAATTTTCTTTTTTATATAATTGTATTTGTTAAATCTGATTGATGTGGCGACAATAATTGCTTATGTGCAATATAGTTTGCACTATTCTCTTTTTAACTCATTTTCCATGTGAATGTGGGTATTGTTTGATGATGATGTTTTTGTTAAATGCTTCCGGACTTGTTTGCAGGACTTGTTGTCCCAGACGTACCTCTGGAGGAAACTGAACTTTTGAGAAAGGAGGCTGTGAAGAATAATATTGAATTGGTTTGTCTTCCACTTATATCTATTAAAATTAGTTATCATACCATTTGGGGTATATTGCATTTGGTATTACAGTAGATTGAAAATTCGGGATTGGGGGGAGGGGGTTTCACAATCTTATGGAGTGATTAGAAAGTCTTTTCCTTCTCTTTTTCCCCTTGCTTGAAGAAAAAATGTAATGAATTGTTTGGATAATTACAACTTAACTGCAGTAATTTTGAATCCTGCAGAGACTAATTAATCCAATTTCTATATGGAGTTCTCTATTTTCTAGATCAGGTGTTGCCCGATTATTATAGTGTTGATGGTTTAATCATCCTATCCTTTTTTTTTTTTTTTTTTTTCGAACAAGATGGTTTACTTTAATAGCTGTGATTTAGTTGATTCTTTTATGTTGCTTATTTAGTCTTTTATATTAAGTTAATTCTGCAAGTTTCAATTGTTAAGCGCATGTGTGAAATCAATGATGAAAAATCAAACTCTCTCTCCTTTCATGCTGCTCAATATTCTATAAATGCATCTAATTGATATTACATTCCAAATTAATGGTTGTCAGGTACTTCTCACCACACCAACTACTCCAAAAGGAAGAATGAAAGCCATTGTGAAAGCATCAGAGGGATTTGTGTATCTTGTGAGTCTTTAGAGATAACCCTTTTTCATAGTTGAGTTACTATATGAACAAAGATTGTGTGCTTCAGGATTTAAGAGTCTCTATGACATCTTCATTTCTTCTGGATTCACAGGTAAGCTCAGTTGGTGTTACTGGTGCCCGTGCATCTGTAAGTGATCGAGTTCAAACCCTTCTACAGGAGATAAAAGAGGTCTGTCTTTATAATCATTACTTTGATAGATGATATTAGTAGTGCAATTTCTAAACTTCAGTAAAATATTCCCTTCAATATATAGCATATTTTATAATTTTCTGGACTAATCCCTTAAGATAAAATTGGTAGGTGAATTCTTCATTTAGTCTTTGCTGAAAAGTGGTTGAGAGAATTTGTTCTTCAGTCTCATCTTTCTGCAAGGGCAATATTCTCAACTTAGCATCCTACTAGACTACTAGTAAATGGTCATGGAACAATTAATCGGTCCAGTACATAGCTTAAGTTTGCCATCTATTGGTATTCATAGTAATATGGGATAAACCTGACCTGCTAATCGAAGAGTTGTATTCATATTCATAAAATAACTGACATTTTGAACTAAATTTCAGGATGCTTTTAAAGTTAAAAAATATGTTCCATCAATAGTAATCATTAAAGGATATTTTATTCAATTTTATCTGACTTGCGCTTCCATTTTTACTGTGACAGGAAACAACTAAGCCTGTAGCAGTTGGCTTTGGCATATCAAAACCTGAGCATGTGAAACAGGTTAGTCCCCTGACATGGATACAACTTCGTCCACAGGTTACTCTTATGCGTCAATGCATATATTTATTACTCTTTCTCTCTCTCTCTCTTTTACAGGTGGCGGGGTGGGGTGCTGATGGTGTCATTGTAGGTAGTGCAATTGTGAAGGTGTTGGGTGATGCAAAATCTCCAGAGGAAGGGTTGAAGGAACTAGAAAATTTAACCAAATCTTTGAAGTCTGCGCTTCTTTGAATACAGTTTTATGTGATCAAATTGAAGATTGTTACTCTTCTTTGCAACTGTGGCACAATTGAAATTGAATAAGAACACATTTTTCTTGTTGTTAGCTTCAAAAATTATGCATTGAGGAAAATTCATGAGCTTTGCTATCATTATCAATGGAGAAACCAACTCCATGGAGTTGTTATATTACTGTAATCAAATAACTTTATCTTACTTTATGAATACTAAGGTTGATCCAAGCATATTTTAGGACAAAATAATCACTCAAAAAATGATTTAGCTTTTGGGCAGGATAATTTCATAACAAAAGTAAGAATAAAAATGAGTAAATTATTATTTTTTTATTAAAAATTCAGTAAACAAAAAAAAAAGGTAAAATTTAAGTTTATATTTTTAGGGTCAGCCTATGCAGACCATGTGAAATGAATTGATTGTTATATTAATTATAATAAAATAATAATTTCTATACTTGTTCTCCATTAGGAAAAAATAATTTTTTCCTCAAATGAAGAAAATATGAGAACACTGGAATAGTTCATAATTTTCTTACAAGTCGTTGAATGGTAAAAGCAATTAGAGACAATAAAGGTAAAAAGTAATAATTTTCATTTTTGTAGAGATAATCACCGTTGACTATTGTCTTATACAGTAAATTCAGCATAAATTGGGTAATGTTTTATAATTTATTCCTTTATTAAATTTTAAAAGTATTAATAATAACGCTAAACCACTACTACTAAATATTGTAATAATAAATATTTTACATAAAAAATTGTTACAAAATAGGATGAAACGTCGGCCGTCGGGTATATGCAATAAGCTGATAGTATTTTAAAAGTAGATATTTCTTACTGGCAGACGAGGTGACATATTATTATATAGTTTTATTATTTTTTAGTATGATAGGTAAATTTGCAAAAATTCTAGAAAGAAAAATGTTTATCAGACATAAGATTTATCCGCAAACCCAGACAAATCGGAAAAACAAAAAAGAAAAGCAAAAATTTCGTTTTGATTTGCTTTGGAATCCACTTGCCAACTGGGAAATAAATTATGGTCCACGGAACCACCGTACCCCACCGATTCCCCTGTCCAATGCGTGACGCGTCATGAAAATCAAGCTTTCAAATATTTTTTTTGTCATTTTGGTATACGTGGCAGTTAACAAGTCTAAAATCACCGTGTAACGTAAAGCATGCGATATTTTCTCATTCTGAAATTAGGCGACGAAGCAAAGCAAATTAAGAAAACAGAACCATTCGATTCGAGGACACAGAAAAGCAAAATCAGTGAAAAAGGAAATAAAACTCATGAATAGTATATTTTCAGTGGATGATTTCTCTGACCTGATATGGCAGAATCCGGTGGCGGCTCATATGCCGGCGATGAGTAGGAGCGCATCGGAGTGGGAGCTTGAAAAATTTTTAGAAGAATTTCCGCCCCCCGCACATGCCCCCGCTTCCTCACCCGCTAGCGGTAACGCTGCCGCTCCTTCCTCCGTCTCATCGCAGTCGACGACGTTATCTAAGCCTCGTAATGTTAACGATGACGTAGTGGAGATCGAAAAGGCTGAAACTCCTGCTCTTCCTCTTCCTCGGAATCGTCCGCCTCAGCTATCGGATCGCTCCTCATCGGCTGCGACTGATTCGGAGGCGTACCGCGCTTCACTCAAGTCACAACTTGATCTGGCCTGTGCTGCTGCGGCAAAGTCTCGGGTATATTTGAACTTTTTAGATATTCAGCTCTGTACATTTAATCACCTCTAAGTTTGGAGACTCATGTTTGATTGATGGAATTTTGTGAATGTAAACGAAGGAGTCGAGTGTAAAACCTGAAGGTCTTTCTTCCTTAGCTGAGGATCAAAGGGTGGCTGCCAAGAATATTCACTCAGGATCACAAGTTTCTGGTAAGAGTTTGCTTCTTAATTATATAAATATATGTACGCAACAACTTTAGTGTTGCAGTTTTGCTTCTGATGTTTACTGTTTGAGATTGTTGATGATCAGAGTTATGAATGAAATGTATGTTCCATAGAGTTGAAAACACATGACAATGAAATAGTTAAAATTGGCAGCAGGAGGGGAAAAATCTTGCATAAACTTGAGATTGAACTAATGATCTTAGTTTCGAGAGCAGTGGCATGCATGTTCGGGGGAAGGTTCGTTTTATAAATTAAAACCCCTAAAGTTTGAGCTTCATGAGCATAGATTTGCATTTCATCTTATTAATTGTTTTATAGATGGACTTTATAAAGAATACAACATTTACTTGAATGGTAATTAACACATTGAATTTGAAGGCAAAATAATTGAAATCAGTTTCTTGATTTCTTCTTGAAGTATGTTGATTTATTAATACATGATGTGCTTATGAGCACCCTGAGTTTCAGTTGATAAACAGCTTAAAAATGCTTAGAAGCGACCTTTTATTGAATCTGCCATTCTCAACTGGCCTAATATATTAGGTAATGGTCATGGCATCCCAAAGGCACAGGTTGAGGCTGATGGTGGATCGCTTCGCCTCCCAGCATTAACCTCTGTTCAGAGAAAACAAGAGGTACCAATGAGGCAAACGACCAGTGGGTCTTCAAGAGAAGATTCAGATGACGATGAACTTGATGGGGATACAGAAACCAATGAACATTTGGATCCTGCTGATGAAAAACGTGCAAGGAGGTGAGCATAATTTCTTGTCTTATTGCTTTGTTTTAGTGATTTTTAGAAGTGTATTGGCAACTTTTTATTTTCTGTTTGTCCTTGCTCGTATGCCTCTTCTCTTTCCATTGTTCCTGTAATTAATAGCAAAAGTATCTGCAAATGATATCTTCTGCCTTACATAATCATCATCATTTTGAGATTATATGATGTCAAGTGGATCGCTTTGTACTTGTAAAACTGGATACTGCCTTGAAAATCTTGCCTAAATGCTTCCTTTGAAAAGTCGCAACCTTGCCTTGAGTAACTAAGTGAATTTCTTCCTTTATTTTGATTTCTTTTTGTTTTGGGGGGCTGTTGTTGTTTTTTTTTGTTTGGGTTTTTGGGTTTTGGTGGGGGGAGGAAAGGGCGGGGAAGGGCATGGAGGAATCTATTAGTTTCATGGATCAGTGAATCCCAATCTAGATTTACATGATATATGTTAGTTTTTACATAAGAAAGGATGACCTTTATAAACTGAAATATTGATGTCTTGATGGTGATTTAGGATGCAGTCAAATCGAGAGTCTGCTAGACGTTCAAGAAGAAGAAAACAAGCGCAGCTGAATGAACTTGAAGCACAGGTCAACCCCAATTCTTTTCTTCAGCACTTGTTTTGCTACTTTTTCAAATCTTAAGAAATGAGTTTATACTTGTGGTATCTAATAGGTCGGTCAATTGAGGGATGAACGCACAACATTGCTAACGCGCTTAACAGACATAAATAAAAAGTGCGACGATGCTTCTGTTGACAACAGAATTTTGAATGCTAATATTGAAACATTAAGGACAAAGGTAAATTCTTGATACCTTTATATTTTTATTTGGCCAATTACTTTATGGTTTCATTTGGGTGTTTGGAATTACTTAAGACTTTATTTTCAGACTTCGTTCCGTAAAGCTGTGATTCCTGTGAAAAGTGGACTATTAATTATGAAATCATGAAAAACCAAATGAATCTTAGGATATCCTATGGGAACTGATTGTATGTGCACACATGTGCTTGCCCATGTGTGTTTATAGCAGAAGGAAACTTCCGTTTCAGTGAAGAGCATCACAAATTCTTGTATGTGTTGCATTAGCGCATTGGAAAAACATCTGCTCCAAGTTGATCCCTCCTAAATAGTTGGACCCAAGAAAGCCAATGCCATATGCATTTGAGGTTGGTTTGCTTGACATCAGGCGTTTATGTTAGCCACAACAACACATTGCTGGTCTGTCAAAAATTGAATGTATTCATATCTAGTCCAGAAACTTCTCAATTTATCTCATTCCTCATCATGAACCGCCACTAGTTATTTTGTTGATCAATTATTTATTTTATTGACGAAATATATGAACCTTCCAGGTCAAAATGGCTGAAGATCAAGTTAAACGAGTGACAGGTTTGAACCCCATGCTTCTAGCAAGGTCCAACATTCCTAGCCTTGGAATGCAGTTTGTTGCTGGCCAAACAGATACGTCTACAAATGTTGCTGGACCAATGCAAACAAACAATAACCATTTCTTTCACCATTCAGTTCCTAATATTACTTCAGGTGCTCATCTCCCCGGAATAAACAGTAGCGTTCCGGTCCCTAACCACAATCTAACACCTCTTGCTGCAAATCCTCAAGGTGATAAAGGAACAAACAACGTTGGTGGAATGGCTTCCATGCAGCAGTTAACAGTTAGTGGGCGTAGCATGGCTGATGCGCCTCCATTGCGGCACACGCAAAAGCAGACTGGTCCTACGGCCAGTCCAGCTGTAGCTTCACCAGCAAGCAACAAAGGGATATCTATGCCAGTTGCAAAGGATAATAAAATGAAATGATTCAGATGCTTCCTCTCCCATTGGTAGGTGGTCAAATTAGGAATTGGAAAAAGCCATTTCGTGGTACAATTATCGGTTCAAATAATGATAGGACTTTTCAACTTGTATTAGGTCTTTTTATTTATGTCTAGTTTTTTAAAAATAAGTAATTTAACCTAATGGATCGTCGGAAACATCTTTGATCAGATCCAGGCTTCCAAGACATTTCTTCTCTGTATCGGTTATTTGAGACATTAAGTAGAAAACAAAAGAGATGAAAATGAATGCACTTGCTGCAGTTTCTAAACATAAAAGGAAAACTAGATGAAAAATTAAAAAAAAAAAAAATTCTTCACGGGCAGGCAGCCCCATAAGATATACAGCGTACAATGTTTCTTCCTTTCTTCTTTCTTTTTATTTTTATTTTTTTTTCTTTTCCAAATTTGGTACAAGGGTGGAAAACCCAACTAAGTCCTGGTGGCTCCAACAACAAACATGTCTTAGCAACCCAAGAGGCATAAATTACAACCTAAGTCACACACCAGAGCATAATGAAGATAACCTTAGAATTAGGCATGTACATTTGTTGAATTCATTACTACTGAATTTTGGCAGCGGATTGGAAACCTGACTGAACTTTGCTTTCGAAGTGGGCTTCCAGCCTGCAGAATGCACATAAATGCAAGTTTGAACAAAATGTGTACAAAAGTACAAGACAGAAAAGCACAAGGAATGGAATCAACATGCCTGGTTGCACATTTATAATAAATGGTATCAGGCGAGTTATACGTGCGAGCATTGGCAAACATTCTCTTGACATCCGCAACAAACATATCAAAGGTTACATAGTATTGCTCTGATTCTACCCTTTTAGACATTGTCTTCAGGTCTGCATCATGAAAGACAAATGTGTCATGTTTGAGGAGAAAAAGTAAAAATGATAAATCTCCATGGATATTTTCAATAGTTAGGGTCATCATTTTGTTGGGAGCGGCTCGCCCATAGATAGGAAATTTTATTCGAAGGTTTGGGTTGTAGGTAAAAGCTGACAAGGCCAGATACGAATACCAGTTTCATTATTTAACAATATACATAGGTGGTTAATGCAATGTGAATATAATAGTTTGCAAATATAAATAGATCACTAAATGAGCAAGTGTGTTTGATATCTTACCCATGGGATCTTTAATGATATCATAGTAATCAGGGACATCACGAGCATCAACCGGCTCCTTAAATGGCCAAGCATCAGCGTGATCATGCATTGACTATTAAAAATGAAAAACATATTTCATAATTGTTAAATGTTTATGTTGATTTAAAATAAGATGTGGAAAAATATTATTTTCAGGCTTACCTTCAAAAGTGAGCGCATGAATGCAGTCCAATGCTTTTGATTTGTGGCACTGTCTGTAGAAGTATTAAATGCATTGAAACGCGAGTAGCCCCACTGATCAGGAGTCCATCCAGCCTCCCCTATTACAACATTCAAAAAAAAGTTCATATCAATCCTTGAAGCTTTTCCAGTAATAATACCTGATTTACCAATATATCAAAAGCTAAAATAAATCAGCTGTTAAAAAGTAGAAGTTAATATGACAAGTTTAGGTACTTACTCAAGCCAGGAATATCCTCAACCTTGATTATCTTTTTAGGAATACCAACCTCTTTCTGGATTAAAAGAGTTGATAATCAGAAATAAGTAGCAAATCATGTGCTCACTGTGCAATCAGAATCCAATCTGAACATATAAACTACACTGCTAAAAAGGTATGTCATGCCATATTGAAAAAATAAACAAGGAATAAATAGATACAAAAATACTGCATGAGTTGACGAAGGAGAACTTGAATAACTGTTGCCGTTGTTATACCTTCTGAAAATCAATTCCAGGATAAACAATGTGACAATTAGACAGCTCTCTTATCTTTTCATCAATTGCCTATCATTAACAAGCATAACACACATTAGTGTAAATATCTACTAAAACAAAGCTAAAAAATGCAGGAAAGTTTTAGGAAAAAAGAAGTTCCAAAAGCCATATATTGACAAAGCAAATCAAGGAGCTGAATACACTTCTATTGACTCTGGAAAGACATTTGTAATGCATTTCATTGTGTTGATCAAATGGGACGCAATAATATGCAATTGAAACTAATTTCTGCTTGATCCAGAAACTGAAGTTCCATATCTGACATTCAAAAAGAAAAAAATGATTTCTGGAGACTTGTAACTCACTCAGGGGTATTTCAAGGAATGAAAAGTGGCCTTACCCTATAAAAATCCCCAGAACTATATGATCCAACATGTCAAGCATTTGATAAAGGAAGATACATTAACCATGCAGACTCTTTGATCTTCATCATGATTCACGGTTCCAAAAGCATTGAAATCAAATACAATGATTGACATTTGGTACAGAAAGAAGAAATCACATGGACAACGGACTTTTTTATCCTACCTGTCTTTGACGACGAATCATAGTTGATAAATCCGTGTAAGGAAGTTTTGGGTCAATTTTGCATTCCATAAGAATGCCTCCATCATAATCTTTAATATATCTGGGCCAAAAATGGATGGCAAAGGGAAAGTTAAAGAAATGCAATGGATGTTAGCCGAAAGCTCCCCACAAGATTGAACAACCACCCCCTCCAGTTGAAATTAAAGTCAGTCACCAAGCAATTATAATTATAATAAATTGAAAAATTAAGCAGTATTACTTCCCTTCTAAGCTTCACCTCTCACAATTTCCCACTCCCCTAAAAAGAAAAATCATATTCGTAGTAACACCAAGACCCTCATTAAATCTCAAGAATACAGATGTAAATTGAACAATTTAATAGTCAAAGTTATTGATGATGTTCGTAAATTAACAATACCCTTGCCATCGATCTTTGTCCAAGTAAATCTCTTTGGTAAAACCCTACAGGTCAAAAGAGAATGAATTATTAAGATTTGAGACCCCTCATATTTCAAGAGAATGATATATAAAGAACAATATCAGAAGTATCACTTGCAAGAAATATGCCAAAATATCAGCAATAAGATTAACCCTTGATGATCTCAAAAGCACACCATGTCCCACAGATTAATGTCACCACCAACGAATAATGTACTAACATGAAAAAAAAAATTCAAATAAATGAATGAAAGACCAAAATTAACCAGCAAACCGTCATAATTTTCAGTGATAAGCATAATCATATAATCTTGCGTCTCTATCTATATTTTGAAGAGAACTGAAATCAGCTACCATTTAAACAATCACATTACATATTCTATTGGTTATTAAACACTCATTTTTTACTTTCCCAAAATCAGAATCAAAATCAGATTATTGATACACCATTTTCTATACGAACCATACACAACTCATAATAGTGCAAGCTTGTAAGTTTCCAAAGAAGAACAATGTGAAAGTTAACCTGTTTGATGAAATAACCAACAGCATTATTGTCAGCATATGTCAGAAAATGTGTTAGCCCATCCACATCACGTGCATGTTGCTTCAAATGATTCATCAATCTTGTACCATAACCTTTTACTTGTTCATCTGCTGTGATTGCGCAAAAAGCAATCTCTCCAAACTTTTGGCTGTGGTTGCAGGGAAATTTGTCAGTTACCAAACCAAATGAATTTTCAATACACAAATGAAATCATAACAAAAATGTATACTAATACTTTATAGTTCTAGCTAGACAATTACAACATGGATCTTAAATCCCGACGGAATGATTTTATAGCTAAAATACCTATATGACTAAAAAAACCACCAGATTGTGGTTGATTATATCAAGATTAGATTGTTCACTCATATTTATACGAAAATAAAATGAAAAGCTAATTGGAATGATTTTATAGCCAAAAAACCTATATGACTAAAAAAACTCTAGATTGTCGTTGATTATATCAAGATTTGATTGTGCACTCATATTTATAGGAAAACAAAATGAAAAGCTAATTGGAATGATTTTATAGCTAAAACACCTATATGACTAAAAAAACCTCCAGATTGTCGTTGATTATATCAAGATTAGATTGTCCACTCATATTTATAGGAAAACAAAATGAAAAAACTCTAGATTGTCGTTGATTATATCAAGATTTGATTGTGCACTCATATTTATAGGAAAACAAAATGAAAAGCTAATTGGAATGATTTTATAGCTAAAACACCTATATGACTAAAAAAACCTCCAGATTGTCGTTGATTATATCAAGATTAGATTGTCCACTCATATTTATAGGAAAACAAAATGAAAAGCTAATAGATGGCCCTTTTGCTTTCTCCCCAGCCTGTGCACTCAAATATAGCATAGCATGTGAATAATATGAATCTTTATCCAACCTGACATACGGACGATACGTGATGCCACCAACAACATGATTATGCCTGATAACCATGACGGATTTATGGCTTCTGTAAATCAAACAAAACATGAGTACATAAATAGTATGATGCGTAGAAAATATGTTACATAACTAGAAAGACATGATATGTGACCTCATCCAAATGTATAACGACCTCATCTCCTGCATGAGATGATGGCCAAATTCCAACCTACAAACTCAGCTTTTGTGAAATGAAAAGATGAAAGAAGGAAGAATGTGATGGTCCCTTCCCACAACCTGACAAGGCCATATGCATGCTCACCTTCCATGATAACATTTTGAAAATTTCTGATTCAAGAACATGAAAATAACTTCATTCCTATCACACAAGGATCAGGTATCAATGGCTACTCTCTAAAATCTGGCTGCAAGGGAAGTAAAATTACTTGTGGGCAACTTTCTGAAGTTGTGCAACTTGTGGATTGTAAAATAAGTTTCCATTTCTGCAAGTTTATCTTAATAAAAACAGTTGTGATGCTTATATCTATTGCTAAAGTTGTAGAATCGCACTTGACTAGGACCTTTTTCCTCTTTAAAGTTAAACCAGAAGAAGATACGGGACAATCTTCTTTATCTTATCCTTGCTCTATTTGGTTTTTTTTAAAAAAAAAAATCACTTGCAGAAGATGTTATGGAATCACCTATCCATCACAAGGCGGACAATATACTCCTTGGGCATGTTGGGCAATTGCCTTGCAAATATATTCTTCAATCCTATCAGCCTGAGGAAAACATAACAGGTGGATTCATAATTTTCCAAAATAATCAAAGATAGCAAATAGATGTTCATATAAGGAAAAAGATGGACGCAACTAAAAATTTTGAAGAAAAGAGAACAAGATACCAAACCATATGCTCATCAATACCATCATTTGAAAGACATACAAACTTGAGTCTTCCTGCTTCCTCCTGAAACATTCCAAATTGTTGAACTCGTCAAAGTTTACAGTTTACATAATACATATAAAAGGCAACTGCCACAATTTTTTTAAAAAGCCATAAAAATTAAAAATTTGGTTAACAGTTATCAAACTTGGTTAACCTCTTTTCATAAGCTGTTGAACATGATACAATACAATTACTTCACTTTTTTTTTTTTTTTTGAAAATCCTCTAACAGAAAGGGCTGAACTTTAAGAGAAAATACCGAAATTTATAAACCAAAAATCATACCTCTCTCTTCAGATTTTCTTCTCTAGCGCTATAAGCTCCACTAGTTTGCAAATTCTCCGTAAATATCTTTACTGCATCCTCCTTGGACAGGGATGGTACAGAACCAGCCGTGGTACAACCCATGGCACCTGTTCCCGCGGGTCCACCATCCTTCCCGCCATCCGACTTTTCTATCTTCACCGTCGAATTTTCCGCCTTCAACTTCGTATTACGAGCTGAAGACCCTCCGCCTCCACCGGAGCCAGCTCCGGTGGCCGACGCTCCGGCATTAGTCTGCAGACGGGCGGCGGTGAATGTGCGCATGGAGGAGTCATTGTCGAATTCATCCTCATCATCGTCAACCACGGCGTCTGAATCGTCAGCGTCAGAGTCGGAGTCAGCACCACGGGCCGATATACTCTCCAGGTCGTCGTTGGATGTGAGCGCGCCGTCCCGCGTGTCTGCAGAAAAAGAAGAGGGAGCAAATGGCGGCGCGTGGTCTTCAGACGCCGCAGAGGCAGCTGCCGCTAGCTTGCGCTTATGAATAGACGAAGTGGCGGAAGCAGAAGCAGAGTGGGAAGGGGACGGAGACTGGGAGCTTCGAGAGCGATTGGGTACAGTTAAATGAGAGTGACTGTCCATGGAATCGAATTGAGTGACTCGGTTGGGAATTTGAAAATTGGCGAATTAGGGTTTGCAGAAAGATTGGAAAGTGGAAAGGACGACGATGAAGAAAGACCAGTAAGGCAACTGATGTCGTTATTACAGTTGGCCCACGTGTTCGTTTTACTTAAACGGCGACGTTTATTAAATTCAAAATCTAGTGAGCTATTGGGCTTTCCATAGCACGTTTGATTTTGAAGCTAGAGAGTGGCCCGCATTTTTCATGCATGCCCAAAAAATTCTGGACACGAATTTATTGGCTTAATCTCACTACTACGAGGGTTCATCACCATGGCACATAATTTTTCATAATAAAAGATAATTGTCCTTAATTAATTAATTAATTAATTAATTTTCCTCAAACAATTATTTTTTTAAGAAAAACCTTTTTTGAAAGAGAAATAATTTCTCTAATCCTTCACCTTAAATCACTTATGGAACGTATATAAAAATTAGAATAATTTATCATGTTTTTTATAAAGGGTGCATCTATCCCTATTTTGTATGTGTTTAGTATTCTTTTCAACATAATATAATTTCTCAAATTTGTTTAGTTTTTTCTTTCAAAAAGAAAAAAAAGTTTCTCTAAAAGATAATAAATCTACACGATATTCGGATTATATAATAATAATAATATAACAACAATAATAATCTAGTAGCAAAATATTCAATATAAGGGGATGTTGGTATTCACATTTTGTATTGGGTGATTTCTTTTCCTCTTGTAACCATTTTCCATTTGCTTTGCTTTTCTGGGAAATCAGCCATAGAAGAGAAAAGGTAATGAAAAAGAAGAACTCATTTAAAGCAATAGGTTTATAAACGGCATTGAAGAATTGTGCTTTGCCCTTTTTATATTGTAGGAGCAAAGGTCATTAAATAAAATGTAGGATGAAGCAGCAGGAATATTAATGTTGATCTTGTAGGAATTATAGTAGACAAGACTGCAGATCTGGTTCCAAAGAAGGGTGGAATCAAAATCTGTTTCAAGTGATTTTCAAGGTGGTTCTGGAATTATTAATTTGGGTTCGGTTTTAGTTTTTTTTTTTCAATTTTATAGGATGTGCGTGGACATTTTTTTTTTTATGTTTAGTCTAGAATTGTGATTAGATAACGCTCTCCAATTTGTTTTTAATTTATTTTTTCAAATTTTTTTAGTTTTGTATTTTTTTTATCAGCAAATAAATTTCTTAATATTATTAGAAAAGAGAAAACTGAGAAAAAATTTAACTAATTCATGAATATAATCCAAGTGAATAGACTTTCCCGATATATCCAAACTAAGACCTGAATCAGTTAAACAAAACCCAAAAAATAACTGAAAACAATTATGATAAGCTTAAATTCTTCATTCTTAGAATTTTTTGCTGTTTCAAATTTAAAACATAAATGACTAAAACCAGCGGTCATAGTTTGAAATTAAAAATCGTTAACCACAACTACTAGAAATGCTTTATATAGCAATCCCAACAAAATTTAACAACATATATAATAGCATTCAAGTTATAAAAGCACAATCCCCATGAATTAAAACAAAAAACATATCATAACTGGACAAGTTCATCATGGGATTATTACATTCATAATTAAAGCCCCCAGCAAGGCAAAAGTAAAGGGAGTAATTGACCAAAGCAGTTGGTATAATTATGAGAGATATAATGTTTATATTGAATTGAATTCCAATAACACTAATTTTGAAGCTTTCGGATTCAATTTTCCATTGTCACTCTTATTAGGGTTCTTCTGTTTCCATGCAGGAACCTGACGTAAAATCAAAACCAAGAATTGTAGTTAATAGTTAAATCTTGAAAGTTGAAACAAATAGGACAGAAGATGAAAGAAATATATTAAAATTGAACTAACCCATACATGAACTAGTAGAACTGACCTATTAGTACCAATAATAGGCATCCCTCTTTTTCTCGTTGTACAGAGCGACAAAGTTAGTTGGATTCTTGTTTTTCTTGGGTTTCTTAGTCTTTGGCTCCTGGCTTCCAGAACCAGAAGGTCCATTTTCCATAGAGGTTTGTTCTCTCTTTGCAGCAACCCTTCTGAATTATAAATTAGGTAATTTCAGAATTTAATTTATACCTCATATATGTATGTACGTACGTTTATGTTTATATATACACATGCATACATATAAGTAAAATCTTGCCTTTCTTCTAACTCAACATAATAGGCTTTAACCATATGAGGAGGGATTTCAATTTCTTCCAGTTCAGCTCTAGTAATATTCTCGAAGCAACTGTTTTCATACAGCACCTGTATAAAGAAATATCAATAATTATACACCCAAAATAATTATAAAAAAAATAACCATGAAAATGGAAATTCCTTATACAATGAACGAGTCCATTTCACAGAAGAAAAATATAGATTAACTAAGTTGTAGCTTAAATACGTATGAGCTATGAATTAAAGAATTCAACCCTGAACTTAGCAGCTTGATAATTTATAACATGTCCCATGTATGTCCTCCCATTGAATGTTTTAGCAACCGCAGCTCCAATCTTTGATCTTCCATCAAAAACCCAATTACGCTGATACTGAGATAGTGCAAATTAAAAGAAAAAGATTAACAGAAAGAGTAATACATAAAAATATAATGAAAACGAGAGAATATTAATTCTTGTACCTTGGAATCTTCTTTCATTACAACATACATTGTATCAACAACACCGGAGGGCTTTTGTTCTTCCATATTCTCAGTCTTGATTATAAATTTTGATTTGTTTTGAGCACCAAACCTAGGCATGCGCACTTGATTCGAGTACATAACTGGTTCTTCTGTTCCACATGTATTTTAACCATTAGTACTAAATTAACTATTAGAATGATAATGGTCAGTTTGAAGGGTTGGGAGTTGGTGATTTGGTTAATGCTATGGCTTTGAGGGCATGTCTGCAATGACTGGAGCACCGGTTTTTAGGAGCAGGTTGTGCATTCACTGATTCACGACTTGTTTTCCATGCTTTGTGCTCTAGTATGTTAGATTGATTGGAGTTTTGTTCAGTTGTTTTAGCTAACAGGTCAAATATTTCTATTAGATAAGTGTGTTGACAAGCAAATATAAATACTTATATTTTAGCTAAAACCTCCTATCAATATGCTAGTCTCATATATAGAATTTAATTCCAAATGTTGTCAATGATTTCTATTAATAATATTTTATTTTGGTTTCCCAAAAAAAAAAAAAAATGATAATGACAACAAAGTATTAATGTACACTCCATAAATGCACATTAGGGTTTTGAAGCAACCGTTACCCTATAGATATAGGATACATTAATTAGAATGCTATATACATAGGTAATAGTTTGTATATATGCTCATATCCTAATTTTTACATTACTATAAAATACTTACATGTGGAAAAAAAATATTAAAGTCAAAGAAAATAATTATAGTATGCGCAATTGTATATAAAATCAACGTGAAAAAAAGAAAAAAATTACGAGTATTGTAATTCTAATATATATACATACACATACTTATACATATATTATAAAATTTCTTTCAAATTTTATGTGATAAAAAAAACTGAATTAATTATATAATCAAATTTAGTTAATTAAAGAAGGAAAAATTTTATTTACTAAATAAATCAAAGAAAAATATCATAATAGAGTTTTTCATACTTGGTTTTCATGATAAAATATATCTTATTGTTATATGGTTTTATGAGATTTCCTTTCTTGTAAGAGAAGTCTATATAGATCTAACCTAAATAAGAAAAACATATAAAAATCAGTAAAGAATAAATTTAAAATTATTACACTAGTCTTTATGTATAAATTTTTTTATAATATTTCTGTATATCACTAAAATAGTTTTTTGAAAATTTTATGTGCGATCTTCTCAAAAAAAATTATGCACGAAAAAAACTAAATCCATATATGCATTAAAATAATTTTTTAAACTATTTTACGCGCAAAAGAAACTAACAATAAATCTATATGTGCATTAAAATACTTTAAAAAGAAATTTACGCGCGAAAAGATACTAAATCTATATATGCATTAAAATAACTTTTAAAATTTTACGCGCCTAAAAAACTGAATCCATGTGCACATTAAAATAATTTTTAAAAGTTTTACGCGCGAAAGAAACTAATCCATATATGTATTAAAATAATTTTTGAAAAATTTTACTTGCGAAAAAAACTAAATTAATTATGCAATTGAATTTAATTAATAATGTGCAAGAGAAGAAACTTAGGCAAATTATAGATTTGCATTCCATTACATGATTCTGAATTTTGACATAAATTATGATTTATTTTTATGTAAGAGAAGCCTATACATGTAGATCTAGCTTAAGTAAAAATATGAATTCATACAATAATCACTGAAAAAAAAATATTAAAAAGTATACATTAATGGTACTGCATTGATTAACTATGTACGAATTTTTTTAAAAGATTCAAGTTTTTCATAGAAGTATTAAAGTAATTTTAAAAATTTTATGCGAGAAAGATTATATGAAAAAGATTAACTATTTAATTGAATTTAACGATCTGGGAGAAATGCAATCTATAAATTTAAATTGCAATACATGATTTTGAATTTTGATATATAATTTTCTCTCTAAATTGAGATCTTCTGTTTGATTTTTTTTTTTTTTTTTTTTTTTTTTTTAAAAAAAAAATATGGAAAAAGAATTAACTATTTTTTAATTGATTTAACGATCTGGGAGGAAATGCAATCTGATAAATTTAAAATGTGCAATTACATGATTGAAATTTTTGATATATTAATTTCTTCTCTAAATTGAGATCTTTCTGTTTGATTATTTTTTTTTTTTTTTTTTTTTTGTTTTAAAAAAGAACCAATTTTTTTTTTTTTTTTTTTTTTTTGTTTAAAAAAGAACCAAGAGAGAAAAAAAACATCTAAACATCATAAGTTTTGAAATAAAATTATTTAATTTGAAAACTGCATGTGGGATTAGAGCTATGATAAATGGACATGCAAGATGGTTTCTTGAATGATCAAAACAATCCCTTTACCTGATCAAAAAACAAAATCATCAGCAAAAAAATTATGTGTATATATATGTGTGTGTAGGTGCACTAAGATGATCACCTTTCACTTTCACTTTTCCTTTGAGATCAATTTCCAGAGGTGATTTGCTCATTTTCAGATCTGCAAGGAAACTCTAAGAATTCTACTGAATAAATCCAGTAAAATCAAATCAAGTAAATAATTAAGTGAACAACCATATGTATAAACGACAATAAGAGCAAGATAGGAAGCCTAGCTAGAACATACCAGCTGATTTAACACAGGAAATGGAAAAGTAAGGTGCATTTGAGAAGATGATGGTTAAATAGGGAGAGTTAGGGGTGGTTTTAAAGAGTCATTAATGGAGGACACCTGCATTTAGATTCTTTGAGGGTGAGGGCAGGGGCCATTCAAGCAAACGACAACAGTCTTCTTTGTAAATATGCTGCCCATATGGAAATATTTAACTGGGTTGCCTTTTACAGCTTAGTATACATCCAAAAGTTATCACCCTTTTTTTGTATTCAGACTTGGACTAAGCTATTTACAAATAAGTCCAATTATTATGAGAAAATTGTTGAAATTAAGCTATTTTTATTTTTTTTTTTAATTTTATCAAATAATACCTTGTATTTTTACTTTTTGATTCCATATAATATAATCAACAGAAAAGAAACTCAGCCCCATTTTTTGTTTTCCTTTTATAGTCAATTTTAAAACCGGTAGAAATGAACTTCGGACAATATTAATAATAAAGGCCATAATATTACTATAAAAAAATGTAAATTATTACGTAGTCATACTAATAGAAATGAACTGTATTTTCAAATTATCAATTAAATATAATTAATTTAAAATAATCAATTATAAGTATTTATCTTTTATTGTAGACTTTTTTATAAGATTGAAAAATCCGACCTTTATTTCCATATATGCACACACCAAAAGTCTCTAATGCTTCATTTGATATAAATGAATTGAAAATGTGAAATTCATTTGTTTTTATTTTTTTAAATACTCTTGGTATAATAATTTTAAAAGGTTAGAATAATAGATAATTTTATTATAAAGTTTTTAACTATTTAAGTTGATTCATGAAATTTATTTGGAAATTACATCTTTTTTATAGAGTTTGATTTAATTATATTTAAATCCATATTTTTCATTTTTTTGTATCAAATCCAAAAATTTACATTTATAAAAGAATTCCATAAAATTTTACAAAATTCAAGGGTAAATTTTCAAAAATAGTTGATTCATTCAATTTTTTTTTTCCAATCGTAGCCATTTTTTCACCCATACACATATATAACCCTGATTATTTCTGATCCATGAAAATGTCGGGAATGCATTTCGCTTACTAAGAAAGGAAAATTTTCGAAACACCATAAATCAACTCGTGCAAGAAAAATTGCAAATGAGGTGGCTGCTCAATCATTTTAATTAATGGGCTAATCACAGAAAAGAAAAATTTTTAATTTAATAATCTATTACTAAGATTTAATTGATGAGATTAGATTTGAGGTGGAGATACACATGGAAGCATCACTTCACTTGTTGCGATATGATACTATTAGATTTAATTTATGAGAAAAAAAGTTGGTTAATATGAAAAAACAAACTTTTCTAGTTAAACTCATTGAATTATCGAAATCCTTATAATTAAGAGAATTTAAATTTGAAGTCCTTTAATTTTATATTTTTAGAGAAAGTGAGAAAAACAATTAAATTACACGTGATTCTAGTTGAAATTGAAAATAAATTTCAATATTTAAAAAATAAGACATTTGGCAAAGAAGCAAAGTTTGGATGATTACAAAGTCTTATTATTTATTTATTTCCTTATATGAAAATCTCAACTAGTTGCAATTAATATACCATAATAAGACCTAAGCGTTTTTTTTTTTTTTTTTTTTTTTATCTCAAACTGTGCCAATTAATATACCATAATAAGACCTAAGCGTTTTTTTTTTTTTTTTTTTTTTGGGGCTTTTCCGCAATTTCAAACACCACAGGGACAAACCAAAGGACTTGGGTTTAACTTCGTTAGGAATGCAGGAAGGAGCAAGGCCATTCCACTTGCAGTAACCAACTTTTCCATCTTAACACATCCATGCAGACTCCACCACTTCTCCGCCAGCAACCTTCACATTGCCTTCATTCCATGGCTGCTTTGCACATTTCTTCCCCTGTTCAACACAAAATTTTTTTTTTTTTTTTTTTTTTTGGCTTTTTCCGCAATTTCAAAACACCACAGACAAACCAAGGACATTGGTTAACTCCGTTAGGAAGGCAGGAAGAGAAGGCCATCCACTTGCAGTAACCAACTTTCCATCCTTCACACATCCATCAGACTCCACCACTTCTCCGCCAGCAACCTTCACAATTGCCTTCATTCCATGGCTGCTTGCACATTTCTTCCCCTGTTCAAACACAAACTCATTAATCACCACAATTTTTTAATTTTGCTTTATACAATAGTGACTTTTTCTTTTTTTTTTTTTTAATTTTTAATTTAATTTTTTTTTTTAGCTTTCTTGTTTTGGGGTTGATTCTGCTAAATTTATCTTTTTAATATGGTCAAAGGTAGTTGAGGAAACTCAATAACTTGGTTGTATTACCAAAATTTATTTTATTCAAAGTTACTCATTATGGATGATAGTTAGTAATTATAATTTTAAATTAAAATTTCGAAAAACTTGCGTTTAACATGTATCTAATGACCCTAAATCACTGATTAGAGTGATGATTAATTACCTTTAGAGCACCAGCAGCAGCCAAAAGCCACTTTCCTTGTCCAATAGCAGCAATGATCTTGTCTTTGCTAGAAAACTCTTTGATAAGAGAAACAACCTTCTCATTAACCACCAGCAATTCAGGGGACCTTCCTCCAGGCAAAACCAAGCAATCATAGTCATCGACAGAAATCTCACTCCAATTCGCATTTACAACAAAGTTATGGCCACGCTTTTCACTGCAAATTTGAGCTCCCTCATCGTCGTGGATTGCAGTCACACAGCTCTCCCCTTTCCTCTTGCTCGGGCAAACTGCATCAACTTTCACACCCAGACCTTGTAGTGCCCTGAATGGCACATTTACTTCGTAATCTTCTACATAATCCTATACATAGATAGAAGAATATTTCAGCAGCAGCCCATTGGAGGGTTCTTATTACTGAGCATTAAACTTGTACAGTTGATTTAATGGCTTACCGCTAACAGAACCAGTACAGAGTTTTTCTGAGAACCAGAAATTTTGGCTCCCATGGACTCCAATAGAACTTTCAGGTATGCAGCATGACCAGGCCAGCCGATGGAGCTAACAAGATTACCATCTTTAAGACAAGCAGTAATATCAAGAACCGACTCTACGCCAGGCTGCTCCCACCAGATGCCGCCTGCAAGCTCAATAAGGGGTTTCAAGCTTGTAAAGGCAGTGCATTTCTTGCCTTGAAGAAGTCCTGCGGCCACCAACATTATTTGGCTGTGGCAGCTTGTGATTAAAGGTTTTCCGGTTTCTGCAAATTTTTTTACCAGGCTCACTACTTTTTCATCCGCACTCAGTAGCTCAGTGAACCTGCCACCTGGTATAATAAGGGTGTCGTATGATTCGAATTTTACTTCTTCGAAGTTTGCGTTCAGTTTGAAGAAATGGCCTTGCAGTTCTGTGTATAGCTGCATACAAAATGGCTACCTGTAGTTTTACATTCTCATTTACAGCAAACAGTGCATTAGAGACGAAGAAGAACAACATTACCTCAAAGCCCAAGAAATCATGAATGGCGGTAAAGCACTTATCGCCGGATCGCTTGCCGGGAGAGGCACAATCAACCCTTACCCCTAAGGACTGAAGCACGAAGAAAGGTACAATCACTTCATAATCCTCCATGTAGTCACCGCATATTATTAGAGCTGATTTTTGAGTAATGGAACCCATGTCGTTTAACCCTTAATTCGCCAGAAACAATCAAAACGCAAAAGAGAAATTAAATCAAGATGAGTTAGCAGGTTGAGCAGGAAGTTATTTTTTGATTATCAATAGTAATTGGAAAGTCATTTTTGATAATTTTTATTTGCAATTGCTGGTGGAAGATTGTTTTCACGTTTAAATTGCACTCATCTACTTCTTTGTCTTATTAGATTTTTGCGTGGTGCACATTTTTTGTCAATAACTTGTTCATTGAAGATAGACAGATCATTACAAACTTGGTGCAAGACACGTAATAAAGACAAACCTTAGTGAGTCCTTACGAGTCTTTAACTTCATAATATAACACATGTTGGTTAAATCTGTTTTTTTGATTTTTCAATATAATCATTGGATTTCAGTTCAAGCGAACTGAATAAATAATAAAATATAATCAATTTGATTTCCTCAATTTTTCTTCTAGGTTATCAAAAAAGTAAAATTCAGTTTTCAGTTTTCACCCCTCTAGGTGTTTGTGAAACAAAATAAGAAGCATTCTTCAACAATTTGGTTGTGATTTGTAGTGAACATACCATGATAAATAGACACGTAATTATCTACGGTGAAAATCCAATTGGTAAACGATGGTTATACCTTCCTGCTCATTTTCTGTAATTAATCCATTAAGCATGTATCTGAACACATCTCCATTACAATTAGAGGCTCTTACATGACTTTTTATCAGCCAAACATGCCTGCTAAGCTCTTTTTTCATTCAACACGAAAGAGAAGGAACAGCTGAAAAGAATGAAATACAAATAAAAGAAGCTATTTCTTCTTTTGAAGAGCAGCCATTATTTTAATGGCTGTAATACAATTGAAATGCTAGTTTTATGGGCAGAGTCCGAATGAATAACCGTGATTTATAAAACTATAGTTATTAACATCTTTAATAGAACATCTAAACCTGTGAAATGACAGAAATTTTAGGTAATCGACAGATTAAGTTTCTATAAACAATCGAGAAATGCTACTGTTACAAATGATTTATCCGTTGCCAGGCAAATAATCTCATCCCTTCACCTCTTCTCCCATGTTGGACTAAATATATCTATGGAGGAAGCAAAATAGAACGGCGGGCTTCATATATGAAAAAAAATGGAAAGCTCACCAAGAATAGTTGAACCAAAGAATGCCGAATGTTTAAGGCTCTTTCAGTCAGATCTTGGTCTGTTAGAAACACCTTTATGATTGCTATATAGTGGTAACAGCCACCGTGATCCATGTTTCCTTTTGCCATAACAACGCCAATAAATTATCAAAATTGCTGCTACAAAGACAATTGGAATCGCCCATCTGCATTTCAAGAAGAAAAAAGTTCAAATAAGAAACAGAAAAACAGTCATAAATACAAGACTCAAGGGCATTATAAGAGTCCTCTTAGCATGTGTGGATTGAAACTTACAAAAAAAATGTAAATGGTAATGCTTTATCACCTGTCCAAATCAAGGATAGGGCTATAAACAATTGTTTCCCAAGTTGCTACAATAACATGCCAGACAGGATTGTAATAGAGAGATTCTGAAGACCAAAACATTCTCGTGTACGTCTCCAAGAAGATAAAAAGAACCCATGCAGCCATTTCTATCAAAAAGAACTTTATAATAAAGCGGCCCACTACCACCATGACAAGGGAGAAGGCCACCAGCCAGTTGAAGAGCCTCTGGTTGTACTCTTTTATAAATAGAGATCTTGACTTCCCTAGCATCTGCAAGCTTGCAGAATACACAATTCAGCACATCAAACTACTAATCAAGCAACATTTTGACACATCAAGTATCATTAAACAACTATGATTGACCAATTGATATAAAATTTTCACATTGAATGCTGGAAAATGTCTATCAGTTACTAGTTACAGCCTAGACCTAGAGGTCCACTCCCAAGAGCATCAACTATGATAACTTCAGAATTCAGTTGGCAATTTTATATTGCGACCCTTTTTGGATTTTTATATTTTAGGTACAAACACTATCATCGTATCTATAACAAATAATGATTCAGAATTTAACTCAATTTGATTAATACAATTAATTTCGGTTGATTCTGAGACAGAATTCACATGTTTGAGGTGACCTAAAAATGGTAGAATTCAATCGATCTACAGTGGATGAATTGAATTTTTATGTAATTTCCTATACTACCCCTATTTCTATAATAATAAATTGCTTTTAAGCATATTTTCTATTTCTCTGAGGTATTCCAACACTACTAAAACAAATGAGTACCAAACTTGCTCCACTTTCAGGGTGATTTCCAAACATACTGTACAACATATTTGAAATAGAAGATAGAAATTGCAAAAGAAGGGATTACATAATGGAAGGAATTAGGTATGCCTAACCTTCACCATGCGTTGCTCATAGTTTGCTTTTGAAGGTCCAACACACTCCTGTTCGAAACTTTGGTTGCATTGCAGAAAGCCAGCATTGAACTTTGCCATGGAAGGAAGTCTAAGAACTTGAAGCTGGTCCATTTTGTCTTCACATCTAGTATACAATGCCTCACAGAGTTTTGCTGAACGATATTCATTCACCAGAACGACATTCTTATAAGCCTAGAGAGAATTTCCCACAGTAAAAATCTGCATAGGATCAGAATATGTTCCAGAATCTGAAGTCCTATAGTTTAAACTACTGCAAATTTTGTACTCCTAGGAAAGGTGCCACAAAAATATAAATAGATAGGGTGTTAAACTTCCAGCTCTATATATGCATGTTACAAATGGCACAAAGCACATGCCACATTCAGCACTGCCAAACAGTCGTGGAACTTGGATTATATCTTTGGGCGACCAAATTAAAAACACACATGCAAGCATCATGCCAATTTTTATTCTGAATATTATTCTTATTATTGTTATGAAACAATAATCTACTGCACTGAGTAAGTTTAAAAATTAGAGTGCCAAAACACTTACAAATTAGCAAACCAAATAAACTTTTAGATTTGAACATCTGAGCTTCTCCTAATGAAGCTACATAGGAGTTCAAAAATTTAGTCAAGATCTTCAAGGAAACCAATGTGATAGCCATACAAGTAGACTCATTTATATACTTTTTTATTTGACACCTGCCAATTGGTAAATTATTTTGCAGAAACTGAAAGTCTAAGTCTTCTGCATATCAAATAAAAAGAAATCTATATAGATTCATAATCTGTTTAATGAGAAGAGAATCATATATCAATACCTTCTCTATTTCCTCCTCGAGTTGCATAAGAGATTTCTTTGCATGGGTACGACCAAAATGCTGTTCATCAAAAGTTTTCATTGCTCTCTTTCTAGACCTTTCATGGTTATCTAGCAGAGATAGCTCTGGAAGAGGTAAACTTAATTTTGCCATTGATTCACTGTAAAGCTTTACACACCGCTCAAGAATACCCTTATTGAAAACCTCCACAAGAGAGCCTGTTGATGGAATCTCCCCTTTATTCAAGGCATCAAGTATCTGAAAAGTTTAAGAGGAAAAGCTGAGGGAATGTTCATGAGCAGCAATACTAAAGCGAAGATTACATATATACACTTTTCTGTTCTTTTGTTTCCTACTTTAGCCCTTCCATTTCCTAAATCCTAACGCAATTAAATTTAACAGAAAGTAAAATAAGGTCATTATTATCCCACAGTTATCAGAAAATGCTATAAAATTATGCTTAGGACTTGATGCCATTATTTCAAGGACATCATCCAATTGCCACCATTAAGCACATTTTTACATAGGCTGGGCCAAAATTAGTCGAATTTTCGGGTGCCCAAGCCACTTGTTTGTATCATGACATTCATGACCTTTTTTTTTTTCCCTGGGAGAAGTGAATTGTTTACATTTCTATCATAAATCAGCATATGGATAGACCTAAAAGCCAAAAACTGCTATCCACACAATAAATAAAGACCACACCAACCCCCACCCCCCAAAAAAAAAAAAAAAAAAAAAAACCCAACCAAAGGGAAGGAGTACATTTTCTATTCATAAAATTCAGCATTCATGGATAGAACCTAAAAGCCAAAAACTGCTATCCACACAATAAATAAAGACCACACAAACCCCCACCCCCCAAAAAAAAAAAGAAAAAGAAAAACCCAACCAAAGGGAAGGAGAGGGGGGGGGGGGGGGTTTTTTGGTAATGTAACAAGTCAGAGACGGCCCTCAACAAAAAGAAAAGGGGGGGGGGGGGGGGGTTTGGTAATGTAACAAGTCAAAGAGGCCCTCAACAAAAGAAAGGCAATGGATTGATGAGTTAAGTGCTAAACGATGGAAAAGACCTTAAAATGGACCTTAAGTTTGAGATAAACAATTTTCACATCTCCAGGACAAGAATTAACTTTCGTGTAAATTCCACCTGAGATGACACAGAAGGTTGGTTTAAACAAATTTACCTGCTCCAGGAAGGCCACAAACTCTTGTCCATTTAGTAGTTTGCCCTGCACAAGCTTTGGGCGAATAATGCTGGCAACAAGTTCCTTCAGTTGCTCCCTCTTTTTAACATACAAGGGATCTAATTCACCATCCTTCATGTCGCAAAGCTTTGTTCGCTGGAGATGAGGCTGTCCAAATTCAAAGCATAATTAAATTGGCCCATGTAACTAAAGCATTTGAATATACAGAATGTCAATATATATGAATATATGTGCATCTTATCTCTCATTCTATTTATGTTTTCGTTTTCCTTTTCTGATATTTATTTGGTGTTGCCAGGTTTAAGGCTAAGGACCTCCTCTATCGTGCAATGAATGGTGACAACCTTGATACTGCAAAATGTAGTGCCCAAAGTATGAAAAGGATTTGTTCCATCGACATATTAAATTGCCCGTGTTGACTCTGACTGATGCCAATATTTTTATCCAGTAGCAAAAAATCCTAAATCGAAGTTACAAAGCCAATGATCTAGGGCAATTAAAAGAGTGCTTATATGTGAATTGGTCAGGTGACGTAATATGCGCAATATTTTGCTCAACATCTTCTGAAACAAATTTCAAAGTGCATGATCTCTTTAAATTAAATAAGAATTCTGCACATTGCCTTCATGAACTTCAGGTAATCTGCCATGCATAAATTTTAGGTAAGAGAACATCAAATTTCAAACAAAAGTTAGCAAATGCTCCATAAATCTATGCATAATAAAGATTGCATGTGCTGGAGGGACCAACTGTTAACAGGAAGGGGACTGACAAAAAGGAAAAAAATCAAAATGTACTCTAGCCTAGAGTAATAAGAATCATGCAAACAAGATCATAGGAGCAGGAGAAGAGAGGATTGCAGATGCATTAGTCTATTTGTTGCAAGACAGAACAAAAAGCGCCTAATCTTGAATGCAACAACAAAAATAGGCACTTTAAATATATTGTGCATGTGGAACTATCTAAGTGTTGACTGCCATAAGACCAACTTGGCAATGGAAAGCAACAGAAAGAGGGGAAGGACTTAAACACAATATTACATAATGGTAAACCCTTACCTGCGGCAAGCTAAAAGCTGTGCTGTTATTGCCCATCATAGCTAGTGATTCTCGAATCTGATTAACCTATAAGAAGTTCCAAAAAAGAAGTGTGATATTCTACCAAAATTATGACATTTCAATAGCAGCAGTGGAATTGAAATCACTGAGAGAAATACCTGATCAATATTTTTATTGCCTGCAAACAGACAAGCACCCAGTATTAAACCTCTGGTTAAAATACAGAGTAATGGCGCAGATAATACTCATCTCTGCTAAATGTTATGGCTTGGATGGGGGAAAACACTAACCATCATTGTTAGGGACACGTTGAAGGGCTTCATTCACCATTTCTTCCACTGATTTCCCTTCTGTGTAACCCAAGAAGAAAACATTAGTTACCTTCCAAGTACTCACGATGTCGCAACATGCCTTAGTTTGACAATACAACCCACCAATTATATCTAGCAAATTAGAGACCTATGATCATCTATTCTAGAGCATTTAATTGAGAGTTTGGAGAAACGCTGAACAGTCTCATAATAAGAAAACTTAGGTGGAGGAAAAGAAAAAACTTGCAAGAACAAATCTGAGAAGCACCAAACTAGATGTTGAAGGATATGAGTACATTAAACCTAGATTGCCATTGATAGAAGGAAAGCAGCTATTTCAACAAATAATACAAGAAGAAAGCAGTAGTGAGCTCACGCAAAAAATCACGCTGAATAAGCCACAGTAGTTTTGCAGGTTCAAAAGCAACATCTTGGCCCTATAAAAAATTCAAAATATCCATCAGCTTCTGATTCAAAGAAAACATACAAGAGGAATCTCATTGTAACCGCTTGTAAGGAGATACCTTGACTCTATTTCCCGTGAAGTGGTTGTCAATCAATCCATAAAACAGCTAGTGTTAGTAACGTAAATAGTGTTGCTAAAAAGAGATACCCACAATTAACTTTTCCAATTTTATTGTTGATGAATAATATATTGAACTCATAACAAAGAAGCTTAACCTTCCATAAAATTCTTCAGCGAGCTCGACAGCAAATGAAAGGCGGGATATGTCAGCTTCTCTTATCTAAACACGTGATTGGACAAACATGTAAGTATTGCCAGAACAGTAATAAAAATGAGACAAGCTTGATGAAAAATGGCAAAAAAAAAAAACTAATAGATAAGCCATAACTTCATATTAGGCAGTAAAATCATTAATATTTCAGATATGTATGTTCCATCAACTCCAAAAAGTGGTTGATTGTCATGTTTTTTTATATAGAAAGTTTAATTCTCAAAAAAATAAAAAAATAAAAAAAAAGGGAGAGAGAGAGAGAGAGAGAGAGAGAGAGAGAGAGCTAGAATTCTCATATGTAAGTAGTCTATTTAGGGGCAGATCCAACATATAATTTGAAAAAAGAAAGGGATAAGGGGGAAAGAAAGAGGGGGGCAAACTTGCACATCCTGTTTAATTCAAAACCAATAATTGATGTTCAGGTACAAACTGAACAGATACTTATAAAACGTCCTAGTGCACACTATGAGCTTTGGCCTTGTTCAATGTACACAGCCTTTCCTTTTGCATTTGTTGAAAAGGTTGTTTCCACTATTTGAACCCATGACCTGCGCATCAAAATGGTTCTACCAAAGCTTGGGGCCCTCTAAAAGGTCCAAACTGAACAGATACTTATAAAACGTCCTAGTGCACACTATGAGCTTTGGCCTTGTTCAATGTACACAGCCTTTCCTTTTGCATTTGTTGAAAAGGTTGTTTCCACTATTTGAACCCATGACCTGCGCATCAAAATGGTTCTACCAAAGCTTGGGGCCCTCTAAAAGGTCCCTATAAGTATCTGTTCAGTTCTATCAAACTGAACAGATACTTATAAAACGTCCTAGTGCACACTATGAGCTTTGGCCTTGTTCAATGTACACAGCCTTTCCTTTTGCATTTGTTGAAAAGGTTGTTTCCACTATTTGAACCCATGACCTGCGCATCAAAATGGTTCTACCAAAGCTTGGGGCCCTCTAAAAGGTCCCTATAAAATAATTTTCAAATTGACTGGCATTTCCAAAACCACAAAGGAATCCAAAAGGCTCAATAGGCAATTGGTTTTCTAGTTGGAAGCATGAATAACTTAAATAATTAATTTGGGATAGGAAGTTTAGAACTTAACTGAATTGAGTTGGGTCTACAAGTAGATCTTTGAGAATTCCTTCAAAATCAAAAGGGACCATTTGGACCATTTTCTAGCCATTTCACTCCGATATATTTGTTTTTGAACTTATTTGGATATTTTATATCAATACATGATGCTTATCCATAACACAATCTTGCACTCTAGAGGGACACTTCATATTCTCTTTTTTCTTTCTTGGTAATGTATGGTTTTGAAATTAAAAGAATCAAATTTTATTCCGTATCCTCTTTTCCTTTCTTGGTAACATATAGTTTTGAAATTAAATGAATCAAATTTTATTTTATACAGGTAGCTAATCTTTCCATCTTTTATAATAAGGTTACTTTATCCTAAAATCCACCAAATACCCAGTATTAAAAATCCAAAGAAAGCTCAAACATAACACAATTAACATGTCTAATGAGCCGGACTTTCACAGAACAGATCCTCACAGTCTCACATCTAGCAAAAGGTATATTGAAAGCTAAAAGTCACAGATAAATAACCAACCGTCTCGGGCAGATTGTAGATGAGCACAGAACTCAAAACAGTTGCCAGAGCAAAAATCCTGCAGAAGCAAATATGGGAAAGTAAAAGATATATCAATCATCTATTTCCAAGGAAAGTAAAATATTATGTGACTTATAACTTACCTGTCATCATAAACATTTGACTTCCCAACACTTTCAAATCCCTCCGTATCAAGATAAAAGACAGCAGTTTTAACTCCGTTGATATCCAATTCTAATGGAGTTCCCCAAACCCAAATCCCTATAGCAAACAAAAGACATTATAGATGATTCCAAACAAACCATACCACTTTCTTCTAACTTCAATTCACATTACCTTTAGTCTTTGTGTCACGCATATGTCCAACTCCAAAACCTGCAGAAGAAAAATTGAACTCAAGCTTCATTGACATTTAAGATCAATTAACCATAACAAGTTTCCGTACGAGCGTGCATGTGTCTAACAGGTAATAAAAACAAAGCAAGGATGGAACCTTCATAACAAGAAAGGGAAAGAAGCTGATTGAGCAGAAATGATTTTCCGGAGCGGTATGGACCAATCACCTGATTATGCAATCATGAATGTAACAGTCAAAAGGGTGAGGTAAAAGAGAGAGTTGCCCTTGACATGTTTATACATATCACAAATATTATTAATACAAGAACAAAATTTTAGCTGCACATGTTAGCTACAAGCAATGACCAATGCTAGACATGGTAAAGGAATAATTTATGAAAACCTGTTGTACACAAAGCAGCAAGAAAATTGTTATGCTTCTTCAAAAAAAAAAATGTTATGTGAATTGCAGAATAATAAGCTTTGTAAAGAGGTGAGACTTGCTAGAAAAACTGATGAACTTGGGAGTTGTCTCAAGTACACATTGCCCCAACATCCAAAATTTTCAAATATCAGAATTTCGCAGTCCACAGGAGTTTTTGACATCCCATGTCATAAGAAAAAGTAGACATCCCACAATAATTAATTGCATTGACTTCTGTCTGGATCTAGATTCAGTTTTCATTTTATGACTCCATATCTCCATTTCACTAGACAATGCTATAAATTTTTATCATAAAACAAAAAAGTTAAAATATATCAAATAGATATAAGGATGAGCATGCAAGATCCAACTAACTACGAAAAGGTTGTTCCTTTGTGACAATAGCATGTAACTTCATTATTCAGTGATCCATATTCATATGACTCTGCCAATCAAGTCACTTCAAAACAAAACTCAAAAAAGGCTCACAAGTTTATCTGTTGCAAGTTATAATTATAGTTCAAATATATATATTCACAAGTTTATCTGTTGGCAAAGTTATAATTATAGTTCAAATATATATTATATATATATATATATATATATATATAATAAAATTAGGTGGCAAGTATAATCATAAATATATATATAATAAAATTAGGTGGCAAGTATATCATAATTCTTAAAAAGCTCAACGAGATGTATCTCATGCATACAGCAACAGCTGCAATTGGTGTTGTTATTCGTCTGATGGCTTCCAAGCCATCGGTTGCAAGACGAAGCTTCGTATGACCAGGATCAGGTTCAACAATAGGAAACCTGCATATGCATAAAGGGAGACAAGTGCCATGAGATAATATATTATTATCTTCTCAAGAAAACCTGAAAATAAACAGTTACAAAGGCCGGGCAGCAAATGTCAGATCAGTTAGAGTCAAACTCATGTCAAGCATATTGACAAATGTATAGGGAATGAGTAGAGAGAAAAAGAACAGCTGAATTACTAAAATTAAGCAAGAATATAATTCATAAGACAGGAAAAGTGTACCCACACAACAGAAAGAGTTACAAGGTGACGGACATGTGATTATCATTGGCAGAGTGCTATCTATTGGAAATTTACATCCGACACCAAATTTCCACAATAAAGAAAAAAATACCAAAGCTTCTGCTCATAGTAATACACAGATTCAGCATCTGCCATTCCCATATTAAAGCACATTTGCATGGCCTACAAGAAAGATAACCTAATAAAGCATGTTGCTTCGCACCTATTATCCAATATCCATATCCAAGATAATGAGTCTCTATACATCACAGATCAGGCCCTAAAAGCAATTGTCCATTTAACAGAAACACTTCCCATTTCCCACAAATAATAAACTTTAAATCCTATTATCCACAAATAATAAATTTTCACGACTACACCTTACTTTCTAAATTTGATCTTAGGAAGTATTATTCACGCATCCTCAAGCTTGCACTTTGTCTTTCACTATATTTCACTATCTTTTGACAGAAAAATTGCTGCCCCAATATACGCCATACAAGGATGAAGTTGCCAATTTCAATGGTCAGCATTTCTTGTCAACAGCACTCCATATAAACAAAGTGATCGAGCTAAGTTTGGCTCAAGTTTATAGTTCCATACAAGATTGTAGTTTTAAGGTGACACATTTATTATAATGTTGCCTTGAAGAGAAAATATACATAATCAATCCATGAAACATCAGAGAAACTACAACTTCGTAAATCAAACTAAATTGGCATCAGTAAGAGCCAATGCTATGTGATACATTACCAAAGATCTTAAAAGCATACACTAAAAGACTGTAACTTTATAGAAAAATAAAGCAGGGAAATTGCAAAAACCAACTTTATACTAATTCTCGAACTAAATAACTACAAATTCATTCAAATAGATTCAAATCCATAAATTAAGAAAAAGGGCGAAAGCGATATCACAATTTGGCAGCACTTACGCCTGGTGGAAACTGTCAATTGAAAGAGCCCCAGATGCGACAAGGCAGAAAAGAAGCGAAACAACCAAAGTCCAACATGGAATCTTCATAATTGAGAGTTTACGGATTAGCAAAGACCGAGAATCGTTCTGGCTTTTATTTCCCAAATGCAGCAACGTCACGATAAGCAACGTATATAAATGTACGGTGAAGGCGGTTATTCATTAGAAGAGAAGCCAAAGTGAATTACTTTTAATAAATGGCAACAATAGGAGTGGGATCTCGGGAGACCATGAAGAAAGGTGTACGTTAAGAATCGCACAACCATGTGGAGGTGGAGCTGGTCTTTGCATCTAAAGAAGAGAAGTCCAGAGAACTAGGTCTGCAGCGGAAAGCAGAGGATCATTACCCATATAGGATCACAAAATTGGTCTTTGAATCCAATAACCTTTAAGGGCACAACTTTTGTGGGAACTTGAAGTTTTAGGGTTATTATTGTAAATTATCAATTAACGTGATAATAACATTATTGCAAGGGTAAAATCTAATGGGAATACCTAAATATGCTTGAATTAATATTTATATTCCTCCACGAGAGAAATAATTATGGCATCTTTAATTTATACTTTATTTCATTATTAGGTCCTTTTATAAAAAATGTGAGCGCTTTAATAACAATTAGATACATTTTGAATGGAATATATTTACTTTCGTCTAATAGAATATGTTAATTATTAGAGAAAGTATTGACAGTGAGATAAATAAAAATAAAGAATAATATTTATTTCTTAAACATTGAGAAATATTAATTTACACATAATTTAGAGACCTAATTATATTTATAATAATGTATTTTATTAATTTAAAAAAAAATATCATTTGAATTAAAAGTATTATTCATAAGTAGTTTGATATGTGGTGGATCTGTACACTAAATATAAGAAATATAAATAAATTTATCTTTTTCATTCGAAAATATAAGATTTTCCATTTTTAAAACATAAATTAGTTATTTGTGCTTGCACTTATCACCAAACAATGTGCAAATAGTTTACTAGTAAAGTAATATTTTAAATATATTGTTATTGAAGTGATTTAAATAAAAGTCTTATGGATTTTTTTAAAATAGGCCTTCAATAAAATAAAATAAAAAAAAAAAGATGAATATATTAATTTTATGAAGTAAGAAAGCTACTTGATTATAATATCTAACTTCATGGATTTTATTCATAATATCATTACCTATCACAAATCACTTCCCACGAATCATATTAAGATTTTGTTTAATTGAGCAATTAGCAACTAAATGTGGGCACTTGGCAGCCGATGGTGAATTGAGAAGAATTAGGCTTTGTTTGAAAAGAAAATGTTAGAGAAAGGAGAGAAAAGAAAAATAATAAAAGAATGAAATAATGGAATTTCTTTCACATAAATTGTGCAATTTTCTCCATTTATTTATTATTTTTATTTTTATTGTGGAGAGATTATAATTTTACAGACCAAAAAAATTTATAGTTTCTTCCATTTATATTTTCCTCGATCTTTTTTTTTTTAATGAAAAAACAACTAGTTTTCCTCGCTCTTTTTAAATAAGGAGAAATTGTTTTTTCCTTTTATATATCTTGTTTCCTAAAAAAAATACTCATTCTCAAATAAGGATTAGAAATCATAAAATTATTATTTTTTAGTTACTTAAGTTATACATCTCAAAAACTAACTCATTACCGATAACTTGAATGATAAGACGCATTTAAATTTTAGCGGACGAAGGACAGAGATCCAATTTGTAAAAAGGAAAAATTATAAGCCAAAACTTTGAAATAAGACTATTCTTATGTCCAAATGATGTAAACTTGTGGGAATAAAAGAAAATTAATCTTTTAGTTATATTTATGAAATACCTTGTTTTAATTATTGACTAACTCTTGTTTGGAATAAATGAATTTTACAAAAATTTATAAAATTCATTTATAAAGCTAAAATTTCCGTGTTTGATATAAAAAAATATGAAGAACTAAATTTTACGAACTCCATTATACGAATTTAAATATAAATAAACTAAATTCTACCAAAAGAATATGAAATTTTCAAATAAATTTTACAAATTTAAATAATCCAAAGTTTTAAAATAAAATTATTCATCATCCTAATCTTCTAAAATTATCATGTCAATTGTATATTAAAAAAATAAAAGCGAATAAATTTTAAAATTTAAAGTTATTCCAAATACGAAAAAGTTAATTGATATCAAAGGAAGCGTAAAAGTTAAAACCTCACTAAACTCGACCCTATTCCATCTCAAAAATACTAAAAATAAATAAATTTACTTACGCCAAAACTAAAAAAAAAAAAAAAAAAAAAAAAAAATAAATTTACTTAGCCAAAAACTAAAAAAAAAAAAAAAAAAAAAAAAAAAGAAACTGATATATCAAAACTTTAATATAGTAATGAAGAATAAATGCAAGCGTTGTCCCATCGTGTCAACTCGTAGACTTAAATGTTATGCAAACTTCACTAACATCAAGTGATGCTGGTGGAAATCCAACAGCTTCAAATTGTGTATTAATGCACTTTCTTCTCTGGTTTTAGGACATTATCCATTCCTGTCCTAAAAACGTGAATAAGCTGAACTGAAAGTCAAGGTCTTTGTCCTTGATCGTGGATCAGGATTACCATTTTGGCTTCCAAACAGGCCCAACGGGCCAACGCTTACTTGTTCATAGCCCAAATTAGTGAATCACGCAACAGCAAAGAGAATAGTAAGAAACAAATTTCCACAAAGCATATATATCATGCAGACCAATTTACAGATATTAGCGAATTTAGTTTAATAATGAAAAATTACAAGCCTATAAAGACTGAGTAAATTAAATTAAATTAATGTGATTTTATGACTTTTAACAGATGATTGCGAAGAATAGAATCTACTGATATATATTAATCATATTTTGTGGAGACTTCCATAGCTATTATCCTTTATCTTTTTTTTTTTTTTTTTTTATCTTTTTTTTTTTTTTTTTTTCATAATAATCAATCAATTAAAATAAGCTCTTAATATTCATTGGCCAATAAGTATTAAAAACCCAAATTTAATTAAAAAATTTTTTTTTTTTTTTTTTTTCATAATAATCAATCAATTAAAATAAGCTCTTAATATTCATGGGCCAATAAGTTATTAAAAAGCCCAAATTTAATTAAAAAAAATACGACCCATAAAAATAACAAAATGGACCCCACACATTTGTTATGTATTTCTATGTATAATTTAATTGCCTCCGTTTTATCACGGAGATTGAAACGGAACAAAGGGAACATTTGCCGTCATCCACAGACAATACAGAAATGGTTCTGTCCTATGCATATAAAAAGGAGAAGTTACAGGAGAAACGAAACGACATATGATTAAGGCAAATTAAGTAGCTTTCAATTTTAAGTAGGCTTGCAAATTATTAAGTACCATTAATTTGGTCTCTTACCTTTAAATCTTGGCTTCGCCTCTATTTACGAGCGTAGCTCTATAAGAAAACTGCTCTCTTGCTAAAATCCTAACTTGCTTGATATATGAATCAAAAGGCATTACACCTTCCTCTACTGCCTTATCCAATTCATATATCAAATCCTCAATACATCTATCAGCACTCAAACAATCAATCACCATTTTAGATTCATAATCCACACCTTCAAATGCATCATCTTCACCTCCAATTGCAACAATTGATTTCAAATCATTAACTCTCAACCAATTCATTAACACATCACCTTCTTCCATTAACTTCATTACTCGATCTTTAAGCATCAATTTCTTCTCTTCTAGATCGATAATAGTATTTCTCAATATATCTCCTCTTTTCATCAACTCCGCACTTAATTTACATAATTCTTGCATTTCTTCTTGATTTTTTGCCATTAAATCGATCATATCATAATGAATCATACCCGAAAGGCGATCGAGGGCTTCCATTTTCGATACAAGAAGAGGATTAGTCAAACTTACGCAAGAAAAAGAATTGTGAATGAGAGGATGATCAATATTAAAAATATTGATTATGTTGCGTACGAGACAAGTTAGGTTACAACGAGGGAAATTCCATGTTTGGAGATAAGGTGACGAAGTAAAACCAGAAGAAGAGTCAACAAAAGGGTGGTTTTTATGAATAGGAGACATGGAGTTTGATGATGAGACAAAAACTAAAGGAGGCATATAAGGGTAACTTTCATGAAGCCAGATGGTTAAGGGTACTGGTGGGATGTAATTGGAAATATGGAGGTTTCCGGCGACGTGTAGGAGGTTTGCTGTGGTGCCGTCGTTGTGAGTGAATGTGTTAATGGAAGGTCTGAAAGTTGGGTAATTTTGGATTAGGGAAAGAAGGTGTTTTCGTATAAGCCACTTTTGTTTTGGGTCTGGATAGGAAAGTGAATTTGTGGTTGTGCAAGAAAGTGCAGTTTCAATGAAGTTGATTGAAGAAGATGATGCCATTAAAGCTAAAGAAGCTAGGTTCAAGTTTAAGCAGTTAGTTAATTTTCTTTCGGTATCCATATGTATGCAGTAATTAAGATACGTACATTCATTAACTTCCTATTAAAAAAGACCAAGAAAATTAATTAATGAAGTCAATGTTTGAATGGATTTTATTTTCTAATCTATTAAAAATATTACTCTTGGTTTATATGACTCAGCAACTACCAGCTTCATTTATATCTATTAGAGAATAAACGGGCTTATTATTTGTTTTAAGCCTCTTAATTATAATTTAAATTTGTAACCCATTATAATTTTATTTATTTTTTTTAAATCACCGGTATCTGGATTCTGTTATCAGAAACATACTAAATTGGACTCGGAGCTTATTCATAGTTAAAATTCTTCACCTCTCTCTGTAAATATATTTAATGAAATTGAACCGAGAGCTCTTCTCACAAAATCTGTACCTAATTTTTTTTTTTTTTCAAATCACGGGGTGAAATCGGTTCCCTCCGTTAATAGAGTATAAGGTTTTCTTGTCCTCGTATCTATTGGGCCAAACAGACACAGAAAGAAAGACATATGGATCTTTCTAACCTAATATACAGAGATGAGTCTAGCTTTTGGAATGTATGTTACAACTTCATATTTTATGGGCATAACGCCTGGCCCAAACAGAATACGTGAGATCTTCCAATTTGAAAGTCAAATCAAGGGAAAGACCTTAAAAACTATGAAGGAAAAAAAAAAAAAAAAACGATTTTGTCCCTCAAATTTGATTATAATTATAATTTCATCCTTGAGGTTTAATTAGTACTTGAGGTTTAGCCTGATTAAAAACAATTTAATCTTTTTATTTAAAACCATATATTTAGAGGTTAAATACACTGTAATATAATTTTCAAATCAAGGCAATCAAAGTCATAGAATTAGCTAATGTATGTAGCATTAAAGGTCCATTTTTTAATTAGTTTTTTATTCAAGATTTGATTAATAGCAACAGTAGTGACGCATATCAAATAGAAATAAAAATATAGAATAAGAAACTGCAAATAATGTTCTCTTCTAAAAACATTAATATTATAATTTGATATTATTGAGAAAAATGAATTTATTTTTATGGAACAGAGAAATTAATATAATAATACATAATGAACTTTTAATATTTAATGATAGTAATATAGTTAGATTTCCAATTTTAAGATTGTTATAAAATAAATATTAATTTTAAATATCAAAATAATTCAATAATTAAAATTTTAAAGACACAGCAAAAGTAATGAGAAAAATAGACCAACCCACCAAAAATTGGGCCAGAAGATCCTCAGAAATCCCAAGCACTTTAAAAGCTTGAACCAATTACCACGACCTTTTTTGAAAAATTGGAGTAAGATGTGAAATAACTTTTCAAATGATTTAACTTTCTCAGAATTAGGCAAAAAGGAATCGGAGTTTCATAATTCACAAGGACTGTCATACTGGCAATGACCAAAATTTCCAATTTGGATGAAATAATAATTATTCGCCCTTTGAACAAAATTGCCATGGTTAATTGATCTTTGAAGAAAACGAAAAACCACAAAAAAAAAAAAAAGGGTAAAAAAAATAGTAAAAAGAGAGGATAATGGACGGTTGGAGAGTGGGTATAAGGTCAATGATTTGGTTTCTTTTTTAAAATGATTCAAAACCAACTTTTGCCTAACACATATAATCTCCTATTTCTTTTTCTTTCTTTTCTTCAACCTTGGCGTGTTATTTAGGGCTTGTCGTACCTTTCTGCGATATCCTCCTCTCTTTCAAGTACCCTTTTTTTTTTTTTTTCTTGAGTTTTGGTATATGTATATTGGAAATTTTCTTTTTCTGATCAATTGATTTTTTTTTAATTAAAGAAATAAACAAAAGTAAGAATTCCAATCATAGTTAATAAAGTATGATCTTAAAAAAATGAAAATATTTAAATATTTAAATATTTAAACAACTGATCTCTTTATTACAAGACAGATATGGAACATTAAATTTTAGTGAATGAGATGAGGATAGCGAAAAAGCTGGACCATGCCAATAAAGGGAGTTGCCTGATTGGGCTAAAGGTCTGGCCCATAAGGCCATTTTCGGTCCTTCCAAGCGAATTGGTAATTAGTATTCGCCGTTACAGAGTGTACAGTAGAAATCTATTTGTCTCAAAAGTGGAAGCAATAGCCCCACAATGACAGTGGCATCATATACCCTTTGTTCAAAGATAAGTAAAAGAAATGATAGCATGGATAAAACAAACATAAAATAAAAGCAATACATGAAAATTATTTATCTTCTTCAAAATATTTAAATTCTAATTCATAATTGAAACAGAAGCGGGGATGGTTGAATCATCTAATCAGAAGTGAAATGAGATTCTCGTGTCTTTTACGGTTTTACCACCGACACTAACCAATTATATTTTTATTTGTTACAGATAGCAAAAAAGTAATTAAAAAAAAAAGAGTCACACAAATCACGAGAAGGAATCATCTTTCTTCTGCTTATGTTTCTGTTTTCTGTTCTCTGCTTCTGCTTCTGATTTTTTTCCTCTTTTACTTATTTACTTATTCTCAGAAAGCACAATTAACATTAATTTTGCTTCCAGAACAGGTCCCTGTCTCGCAATGTCAGGAATTGGTCCACTTTATTTTTTACTCTCCCAAAAGTTGTGTTAAGTTTGAAATCAAAAATTATATTTTTAATGAACATAACTATAGTATTGAAGGCAGCTTCTTTTCTTTCTTAAATTTCAGTAATTAATGTAAAATAATTTGAATTTGAAAGTTCAAAATATAACCATAATAATAGTTCACGGACAATAAGATAAAAGTTAAGGTGAAAACTCAATTTTGTATTCTCACAAGGTAAATCAACCTTTAACTTATCGGTAATTTTTCAAGGTAAAGATTAGTTTAACCGTAGTAAGTAAATAGTGGTTAGTGGAATGAGACAACATTATTGACTTTATGAAAATGGGGCAGTAGCTTTTATTATAAATGTGTAAAAATGGAAAGCATATACTAACTTTATAAAAGTATATGAATTGAATTGCATTTTCTCGTGTTTTTTAATTGCCCTTTTAAGTTAGGAGAATTATTTATTGTTTGTTTTAGGTTTTCTCGAACTCTATTTTATATATATTAGAACATGTGACATATCACACATTTTAAGACAAACATCATGAGAAAAACAGCCACGTTAAAGCTTTTGCCCAATTTGTTTGTAAGGTTTTGAAAAATTTCCTCTGTTTGATTTAATGTTTATGGACTATTGGAACACTTTCAAACTCGTGGATAGCAGATAGCCAGAGGATACCTGTGAACATTTAAAAAAGAGAGAGAGCAAAGCTTTAACATGATTTGTTTGAACTGAAGAATTCTAGACATTAATTTTGAATCCGCTCTATTAATTGATATGAAGAGTGTATTCAGTAAAATTAATTATTTTGGTAGCTGTTAGCCGTTTTTAGTAATATTTAACTGTTAGTTCTTTGAGTAGTTTTATATGAAATGTTAAAAACACAATAAAAAATAACATTTACTTAAAAAATTATTGCCAAATATAGTTTAAAGATTAATATTAAATAATTAAAAAATAATATACAGAGTTAATTTATAATTATTTAAGTTATATAGATTATTGAATTAGCTCTATAAAGAAGGTTTTTTAATTTAGAAAAAAAAAAATTTGACTTGTAAATTTAAATAAGCTAACTTATTCAACAAACCATTTTGAAGTTTTGAATCTTTACAAGTTAAATTAGCCGAAAAAAGCAATTCGTTCCTTCGAATCCAATTAAAAGATCTATATTCTTGAGATAATTTCACTATTATTTAGGTAAGACTCATTGCTTTCAACGGAATAAGAAGTAAATTTAACATGGTACACCACATTAATCTAATCCGTGATGCACTAAAAACAGAGATAGAGAGAATAAATTATCTGAAGCGCAAATTAGGGGTAACTGAAGAAATGGACCAGAAAGTAGGTATGATAAGTAATAATTAGTTCTTAGAAGGGAAATTTGGGTAAAAGAATTCAAAATTACCATAAATTAAGAAACAAGTTACCTTACAAACTCAACAAAATTAATTTCCTGAATAAATGATTAAAAAATGAAGGATGAAATTGAAATGTTTATCCTATGTTACCCCAACAAACAAGAACAAGAAGATAAGGATGGATTAATTAACGGATAGAGATTAGAGAGGGAGGGTCTAAGAGAGTTGGTAAGATGTTCCTATCTAGGAAAGTGATACATTCATGTCAAGCTAAGAACTTTGGTAGGTTTTCTGTATATATATTTATTAAGAGAAAACTGGGGGAGAAGGTGACCTCACTTAACCTTATAAAACAGATTCTGGCGCATCAGATTCAATCAGGGGTTTTAATTGATATCCATGCACAAATGTTTACAAAATGTAATGATTCATCTCTGGTTTACAAAACAAAACATAGAAAACAAATTAAATATCAGTTCAATAACTGCTTACTACTACTGCTATTTTAAAAATATACTATAGCTTCCTTTTGCAATTTCCCAGATCCTATGTGGTCCCGGTCTATTTTGCCCAACACAAATACCAGTATAAATTAAGAACATGTTAATAAAAAACATATATGAAAGGAAGATGATGCGCGGGATGTAGATTAGCATAAAAAATAAGACTGAAGTATTTTTGAATAAAAAAAAAGAAATAAGGATATATAGATTTATTTTGATGGACAGATTTATGTAATTTTTTTTATCTTTTTCTTTCTCCAAACAACTGAAAATATTAATTTCACTTTCTTTTATACACAAATGTTGTACAACCAATAAAACTAGATTAAGATAAATTTTAATTTAATAAAACTAGAATCCACTTGCCTGAAATAGTCTACGTCAAGAAATGATCCATTTGGATTTTAATAATTATAGATTATTGTCAGGGAAATCTTTTTATATTATTATTATTTTTTGCAAACTTCATTTTCAATTTCATATTCTGTAATATTAGAAATTATCGAAAAATTATGAGCAAATGATACCAATGGGTATTGCTATCGAAAATTTGACCGCTAGATCCAGCAAGTCTAAAGAAATTGTGGACACACCACTGGCGTCGTGTTTAAAATAGCATTTAACTAGCATTCGTGCAATTCTGAAATCGTTAAATCATTCCGCAAGTCACGTTATCCTTTTTGTCAATCCAACCACAAATATTTAAATGGATAAGGACAGGATATATTTACATCCAAATTTGTCGCTTGAAAATTTGAAGTGCATAAAAATTATTCAACACGCTTCGAATCGCTTCAGTTCTGCCCCAACCAACTCTCGCCCGCGTCACAAGTAAAGAGATTTCAATTGCACTTCTTAACCACCAACATCTAGTACACATACTAATTATCGCATATTCATTTCTTCTCTAATGAAGATCTCATTGCAGCCTTTACTTTGAACAAACGGCAAATTCCAACTAATTTATGGATTATATAATGCTCTCTATCCCAATTATTATGCTAGTTATACAAACCTAAACTCGGAATTATGCCACGGAGTATTTATTAAGATAATTATTTGAAACAGAATATAAACAAACTAATCTTCATTCTCTCCTGTACCAGCATTAAAAAAGTAGTCTTCACATGTATTGTGATTGAGGATATAATTTGCAATTTATACAGAACAACATAAATCAAAGGTTGCTTCAAATGGAGGAGAGATTCAAAAAAATGACGATAGGGATAGATGAGTCATCAGTCATGTGGATGAGTGTATTAAAAATGGTTTTATGCTCACAGTATCGGTCCTCACCTCACGGCGCTCGAGATTGCACCAGTCTCTTCTGTCCTTTCTTCATCATCAAATTCTGTTCTTCTCCACACCTAAGATACGTAATAAAAATTATCATCAACCGATCTGAGCGAGTATATGACACAAGACTGATTGAATATGAAATAAAGAAATAAATATAAGAAACGGAGATTAAAGAAATAAATATGAGTAATGGAGATTGGAAAATTACCAATTTATTGTTGATTTTCTTGAATCCGCTTATCCAAATATCCTTCTCTGTAAACTGTAACAGATTCAATTATGAAAGGGGAGGGAAAATAAAAAGGAAAAGAAACAATTGAAAACAGATGGAATAAATGACTAAAATCTATTATTTGATTCAGAAAATTATAGATGGAGATGGAGACATGAAATTAATCCAAAAAGAAAAGGGAAAAAAAATGTTATCCGTATAGTATTCTTACAGTAAGAGTTTATTTGATATTAGTAAAATCAGACCCTTACACAAAAAGCAGAAGGGGATTTTTGATTAGTTAATATCTCACATGATATCTGATCTCCAAAATTTAAAAAGAGGAAAAAAAAAAAAATTAAGACCAAAATTTTATGGCTCATCCTCAATAACTGAAGCCAAGCCAGTCACGATCTTAACCCCAATCGGAAAACTCTTGGGCTTAATTTCAGGCGGTTTCCATTCTTTCACCATCACGTCGTTCTTTTCATCCACAGAACTTTCAGATGACAAAGCAAATACAGGGTCGCCCAATTCAGTATCCTCCACTGAATTATTCTCTTCATCAACGGTTCCAAACTCGCTGACGGCTCTTGGAACCGAAGGTTGCTTCTTTTCAGGTTTGGCTCGCGTATAAGGAGAAAGCCATTTGGCTTTGACGTACTCGGCTTTTCTCCATGGTGGAATGTGCATGTCCTTCTTTTTCAGGCTTTGTTTCGCTGCATCCGATACGACGGAGATGATCTTCTGGAGACGATCGGGTTTGCCCACAAAGATATGGGGCAGAGTTTGAAGAAGAGATTTATAAGCCTTGGTTGATCGAGCGATTTCAAATTCCGATCTGAAATCAATGTCGATTAGCAGTCTCTCATCTGAGATTATCACGTCTATGAACTCATATTCGCCTGCATTTGCAACGCAATCAAACATTTCTCATGATCTGTTATATGTATAGCTTGAATTATAACTTCAGATTGTCATGTAATAATTACATCTCATACAAGTACGCTGGGAAAATAACTATATATTATCCAAGGAAGGGTTTCAAAAAAGTTTGCGTCTTAAGCGGCAGAAGGAAGGAAGAGCGGTTTGCTTCTGTTTTCTACTATATTAAAAGAGTTCTATCTTTTGCAGTTATTTGCCTATTCCCAGCTAACGAACAGAAAATTTAGATATTTTTGCAACTTAAAAGAGAGAAGCTGCTTAAGCTAGAGAAAATACCGGCGGGATGGGTGGGGGCTTTTTCCCAGCGAGACTTGCAGATGGAAGCGTCGTATCCAAGAGCTACCAATCCATCAGTAACGATTTTCTTGCAAAAATCGTCTTTACGCTTGCAGATCTTGTTCTTATCAACAATTCTCGCAGTGTCCGCTAGTAAATTTCTCTCAGAAACACTTGCACAAGGGACCAAACTCTGTTCATAAATGAAAATTAAGCTATTACAGAACAGGCCCCAAGTTTGAGAAAATAAAAAAGTAGAATAAAGTAATTCACAAGGACACAAAACTTTGGCAAATCAGATCATCTACCTTTAGAATTTCAATTGCTTCGCCAGAGGAAACATGATTAGAGTCTCCCAAACCACCAAATGTATCTAATTCGTCCTCCGAGCCGTCATTGCAATTACCGTTGAAGCAGTTGCAGCGGTTGCGGCTGCACCTCACTGCGGCGGATGATTGCTTCTCGTTGTTCTCCTCTATGAAATTCTGTACCATATTTGCCAAGCACACAGAACTCGGCTCAAACTCAGCCGCGACATTACAGCCTTCCTTGTTAAAATGCGGTTCATCAACCACGCCTACCTTTTCAGCCGTGGAATTTCTCAGGAACTGTAGTTCAAAGAGCCGCTTGAAACGCGATTTCACCACCGGCTTTACTGCCTCCAACCGAGTCGGAGCATCGAGAGTATGTGAATCAATTGGCTGGATCTTCATTTGAAAAGGCATGATCAGCGTGATCAAAGACAAAAGAAACTCCTCGCCGTACCACCGGCGTCGACAGATTTCTACAAAAATTTCTCCTCCATTTTCAAAAAGCTTAATCGCGATACTAATTAGTTCCTAAAACTACCAAACTTCAGAGCTTTTATTTACTTTTCTTCATTCTCTGCCTTCAGTACAAATATTGAGATGGAAGAAATGTAATTTCGCAAAAGAAAATCCCAAAACACATGGATCGAAACAATCACAAAGGATGCACCAGACTCATTGATAAGTCCACAGGATGATATCAGCAGATCGAATCGACACGGAAATCCAGAATTTCGCCAAAGATGAATGCGTTAACAAAATTCGAGACTCCTTAACTCTACTCCGACGATATTATTATATAGTATCTTGCCTCTGATTTGACGGACAAAGCATGGAATAACTTCTAAACTCTGCTAAGTAAAGTCGCTTTTGCTTATTTCTACATACGGTTAAAGTTCCCGAACTACGCGACGGCACGATAACGTCACGCCTTCATTTTGGTTAATTAAAGCACAATCTATCGCCGAAGCCTCCATTTTCCGGTCAATTTCTTGAAATTTCCGGCTGTGAAATAGCCGGCGTCGATTAAGAAGTAAAAAATGAAACAGAGAAGAGGAGGAGGGATGAAGGTTACTCGTGTGTATATTTTGGCGTTTGTGAGAGGACGATAAAGAGGAGATGAAGAGGGCGTGGGCACTTTAAAGAGAACTGAGGATGAGACCGCGCTGACTGGGAATGAACTGCCACGTGTTAATCCAGCGTGGCATTGGATGTGTAATCTGCACCTTGAGGGTACGTGTACGAGAACAAACCCGTTTCGTGTTCTTGTGCTTGTAACTTAACGCCACGTTATGGCATAGTGACGATGATGGCCCCACTTTATTTCCCAATATACCCTTGTACTTTTGTTGAAAGGGCATGGTGAGCCTGGTGGTTATACAGTGACTTTGGGAATCGTCTTATTGTCTTGGCATGGGTAACTTTGAGAAACCAACTCTCTAACTAAATTTAGCATGCCAATTTCGGCTTTACGATGAAGCCCCTGCTGAAGGAGGAATTAAGTAACTAATAGTAGCCAAAATATAGACAAGGGGAGTAGATGACAAAAGAACTGAATAGTCATTTCTATCATACCATCTTGGTTAAATGCTTGTTCTTTTCTGTGGAAAATGGAAATTGCGCTGTCTTAAACTGAAAAATCTAGACATATGGTTTGACTAAACTACCCCCAAAAGCAGAATTGGATAAGGAGTCAGTGTCGACGTCACGCGAGTAATATAAAGAGGATACGATGGTCATTTGAGTCAATTGCGTTATGGTAATTTAGTGAAAAGTAAGGAGTGTTTAAGTAAGAGAGGGTGGGTGGTGGGGTCCCCATAGTAGATGACTGTTGCTTGATGCTTGGACCAGAGAGCTTGGGGTGGGAGCTAATCTGGAGTGAGCAATCGAAGCTTTTTTGTTTCCTTTGAGAGACGTCGTTTAGCTGGTGGACACGCGTCACCAATTTTCGGGAGATTTTATACATTTGGATTAAGTTGGTCAAGCCACGTACACTGTCAAATGTGGAAGCCGTTGGATCGCGTGTGATCCATCGAAATTTGAATTCATTGTCGTCTTTCATGCAATTGGTACCTGGGGTGTCGCGGTGTCAGTGTACACGCTGCCACAGTTCGGTTTGAATTGAAACCGGACCAAGATTTACTTGCTATAACTCCGAATTAAAATCGACCGGGATATTTCAGCTCTGAACCAAACTAGAACTAGAAGAGTACCGAGTAGGCCATAATTCTAATCTTTGGAAAACTGGCTGAAAACGACGAAATTAGCCGGAATTGAATGTTCCAATTGATACAAGTTTGATGAAATCAGAACAATGAACTCTTGGCTGGGTGAACTTAGAGTGAGGTGGAAATCCAATCGAAGTTATGAATGTTGGCCTTATTGTTACCTGGTTTTCCTCAACCAAAACAAGTCATTTCAGCGTTTGCCTTTTCTTTTTAACAGCCAATTGTTACATTTCAGGAAAGGATTGAGCTTGTAACAGAGAATACCTTTGTATTTCGTCTTGCGAAATTGAATTGCAAAACTTTTTTTTTAGAAAAACTTGTAAGTAGCGAACATCATAATATCTTGAAAGAAATAAAAGAATATATATATAATTTTTTTATTGGAGATAATTTTAGCTGAAGAAATTAATTTTTCGGATAAAAATCAGTCCAATTTTAAATGCAACCAAAAAATAAACTTTCCGCAGTATTATCTCATTTTGTTTTTTTAAACCAAAAAGTGAAAACACCATAGTTATTATTAACTATTAAATATTTAAGTGACTAAATGTGAATTTTGTTTCAAATGAAGAAAACAATGAAAATGGATAAAAATGAATCACCACCGACCAATTAAAAAACAAAATCGAAAAAACATCCAAGAGAGAGAGTCAGAAAGACTTCCAGATTTCTTCTTTTTGGATCTATTCGGTAAAATTAACTGTTTTCATAGTTGTTAACTGTTTTTATAGTGTTTAATTGTTAGTTGTTTGAGTAATTTTTCATAAAACGATAAATGTTATATAAGTTAACTTTTATATAAAACGCTATTTTGATAGCTAAATCTAGTTTAAACGTTATGTTAACGAATACTATAAAAAATAGCGGTTAATATTTTGACTAGTTAAAATCCTAAAAGTTACTTAAAAAAAACTATTCCTAAATCCCATGATATATCAAATTGTAAAGTTTATCTAAATTGAGAAAAGGCTTCTCCATTATAATCTGCATACTTGGGATCTCTCATTGAGACCATTAAGAAGAATAAAAGAGAGAAAAAAAAAAAAAAAAATCGCTTCTTCGTTGTCAAGTTTTACAGCTCTCATATCGTGATACATGTTTGATGAATGAGAACAATGAATTCCCTTGACTTAGTGAACTTGAAGCTAGTTATAAATCCAGTCAGCCTACAATACCAATTAAAGAAAAAATGCTAAAAAAAGATCAAAATTAGTTAAAAACTTTGTTGAAATTGAAACTGATACGAAATTAATAGATCCAAATATATTTTAATTTGAAGTTATTAAGTTCCAAAATCTTTGATTCAAATGCATATATTACATTGCGACCTCTGCAAACTGTCCACTCAAAATATCTTTTCACGTTTGTTGATGATAAAGTTGTCCACGAGCCTGGGCATCTGCTCAACCCTCACCATAAAAATACCAGATTTAAACAATATGTTTTTAGTCTAAACCTAGTTCGATTTTGACTGAATTTGAACAAATTGATTTGAGCAATTTGAGTTATATCTGTAATAGCTCATTTTGACTTGGATGGCGTTGGAAGTGCAGTACTCGCTAATGCTACGTTTTTAGTGAAAACTTTAGTAATTATTTCGATTCTTTCTAGATTATTATTTACTAAATTCACTTTTTAAAAATTCATCATAGATAATGATGAATTAAAAAATAAAAATTTGAGAGTTGAATTTATAACAATAAAGATAAGAAGGCTCGATAAAAATGATAATTTTAAATATTATTTTCTCAATAAATCATATATATAGAGAAATTAATTTTTGTGTCGATCGAATGACCAAATTTAGTTCTTCTTTACGTATATGTTCTCCTTTTTTTTTTCTTTTTTTTTTTTTTTTTAGTTACTTCTTTACCAAGTATATGGGTTCTCCTTTTTTTTTTCTTTTTTTTTTTTTTTATGATCTTGTTTCTGGTGTTCTTCCTTTGATATGCAAGATATTAGGAAATTGCTTTTTTTGGATTAAGCCCTAGTTTAGTTTTCTTCTTTTTCCCTTTTATTCTTTTTTTTTTCTTTTTTTTTTTTTTTATGATCTTGTTTCTGGTGTTCTTCCTTTGATACTGCAAGATATTAGGAAATTGCTTTTTTGGATTATGCCCTAGTTAGTTTCTTCTTTTTTCCCTTTTATTTACCAAAAACATGATAATTAAGTTTAGGGGACTCGTGATGGCTTTCTAATCCACCAAATTAGCTTTTTCTTTTTTTTGTAAAAAAGAATATAAAATTAGCTATTATCCATAATAATTGAATAGCAATAATATTCATCTTTAAAAAATATAAAAAAATATAAACAAAAAACAAAAATCTATCTTGAAATTTATCTGATGTTAGGTGGCTATGGCTAATGATTATGATGCAACAACTGTAAGTCCATTGTCGAGCATTTAGCAAAGAAGCAAATTAGTTATTAAGGGACCACCAAAGTGGGACCCTAATACAAAAATAAAATATTTGGGAACCAACAATTTTCTTATTCTGTATTATTTATTATGGATTTTAGCAATGATTGATACTAGAAGTTTAAAAGTATTATCATCTAGTTAATTTGTAGGGTTCAACTTTACATCTAGATAATAATATAATATATTCTCAAATATATTAGTAAAATTAAAATTTTATTTTAGCTGCAAAAATGACTTAAATAGTAAAGCATGATTGAATTTATAATCCCAGAATAAAATTAATCTTTTCCTCAAAGAGCATGAGATATTTACGAGAAAACCTTATATATTAATACAACATGTTCACTTTGTTTTTTTCTTTTTTTTTTTTTCAAAATGATATATGTTATTAAAAACTTATGTGTACTGATAGTAAATTCTAAAGTTTGGAGATTGAAGACTGACCAAGTTCAACTGCCAATCTTAATTTATCATTTGATGTCAGGTTGCAAATACTTACTTTGGATCACACATTCGGTGAAAATACAATTTGTGAGGATTTGACCTCACACCAAACCAACGGTAATTTTCTTAAACATTCATTTTGACAATTTAAATACATTAATTTTACTCGTATTTACTATCATCCGTTACTGTAAAATGTAATTTTTTATTATTTATTTATTTTATGGAATAAACAGGGTAATAAATTTCAAAATGAGATTAGCTTTATATTGAAAAGATTGTGGAAAAAATTCGGAAATAAATATATAGAAAAAATCATATTTTTTTTTTCCGAATTTAAATTCCAAAGTCGTTCTTCTTTTCAATTTTAATACAAAGTATGTGCATATGATTAATAACTCAAAAACTACAAAAGTAGTTGGATATTTCATGTGAAGTTTGTCTATTATTGAATTGGTATTGTCTATCTACAACACCACAAAACAGTGTTTTTGCTGAGATCGTAAATTGAGTGAAGGAAAACAAGTAATACAAAAGAGTACAATACCAAAAATCAATTAGACAATAGCTTGGATATGATTGTGAAAATGGCTTCTTTGAACCCTAATTTATTAATGATAGCTAAGGTCTTGTATGAAACATACAAAACAGTACTATCTGCATTGCAGTTACTTGTCACAATTTAATACAAAATAGTACCTTCCTCTATTCATGTTGATGTTCATAGCAACTTCCTTAACTTCCATTTTTGGAGTTAAGTGGTAAGGAATAGTTTGTTTCTGTGCAAAGTATCCTATGCATGCATATTAACCTCTACTTTGTTTTTCGAAGGATTTGTAGTTACATTGTTTTGATGTAAAAAAAAAAATTGTAGATGAATAATTTTGTACTTATCTCACAATATACAAAATTGAAATTTTATATGAAAAGAAAAGGTGATTTTTATTAAATTGATATTCAAAAATTTTAGCAAGTCCTATTAAGTTTTCTTTCTAAAAACTTAAATAATTTGATAACTTTTGTTATCACTTCATAAATTCTTAAAAGGAAGAAAAATGGAGATATAATATCTCTCGGACCGTAAAATATAAATGTTTTTTGCCCTTATAATAAAATGTGTTGTTTTGAAGATCGAATTTATATTTTTACTCTTACTGAGATTAATGTCGCTTATCACCCTAACCAACACCTTATTGGTGCAGAGGTCAGGTTTAAATCTTTTGCAATCTACTGCTGCATCGCTAAATTAATACTATCAATTAAAGTTTTGCAATTTTAAGAGCTTATTTCGCTGTACTTTCTATTTTATTGATTAGAGTATAATTATTGAGATAAGGTTATAAATGAATATAAATATTTTTTTTTTCTGAATCAAATAATTAAAATATTCATTAATCACTCTATTTTCCTTACACTGGACACATTTATAAGCCAAACCATTCAAATAAAAACAATTGGAATAAATGAGAATATTATTATTATTATTTTTAAAATGAATAAAATAATAATAATAATGACGGATAACTATTGACATTTGGTTCATACAGTAGCTTTAGACAGGTGTCAATGTTGCCAACACTTAAAAAAGAAAAAAGAAAAATGAAATGCACCAAAACCACTAGTTTTAATTCCAAATTGGGCCTAATAATTGATTTGGGCTTTAATAATGAAGGACAGCCATGTGTGTGACATTGAAGATGGGCCGTACTGAAATATGCTGTCTGGCGTCTGTCCCAATTCCTATTCAATGATTTGTATTTACCAAGGCAATTGGGATTTTTTTTTATATGGCAGTTAAGCAGGAAATTACCATAGCACATTAACATTTTGTATCCCTTGAAAGAGACCATGCATCTATTTGTCCTTCTTAATACAAGAAACCCACCAATAATGTCTACACTATATATAAGACCAAATTTAGGGTCAAAATCATTGCAGCTGAGGAAGTTGATATATGAGACCTAATGTGGGTCTGTGTCCTTCCGATTTCATGATGCAAATTTGAGAGGAGAAGGTAGTTCCGGTGTCATTTGTCAGATCTATTTCATGTACAGGATCCACTCCTCTCTATTGCAACCAAAATTATGCAATTTTGTGCCTATTATTATTAATTTGGTGCCACTCTATTTCTACTCAGGCTATATTCATAAATAGCTTTTCAAATAGTTTTTAGCATTTTGACTTAAAAGCTATTTTTTATAGTTTTCGACAACATAACGTTTGAACTAGTTTTTAGATGTTAGTGTAACATTCAATAAAAAGTTAATTTATATAACGTTTAACTTTTAGCGTTTTATGAAAAGTTATATAAATAGTTAATAGTTAAACGCTACTAAAATATCTAACACATATTAATACAGCTAATTTTGCAGGCTCGTGATCACATTCTTACAAACTTTTAAAGGCAAAACAGTAAAACCTACGACGAAGGGTAAAAAAGTTAGGCTAGGGGGCACTTTTTTTTTCCCCTTATAATTTAGGCTACCGCTAAGTCAATGTGTGTGAGAGTGATATTTGTCTAGTGAAAAATAAAAAACCATAATTTATATAAGTTGAAATACACAGAAAAGTAATCATAATAATAAAAATATATTATATTAAAAATATGAGGAAAACTTATTAATGTCTTTTTTCCCTAAGAAAAGCAATTAATATATTTTCTTCTTTTTGTTCGTCTTCGACAATGGGATTGAGTTTTTATTTTTAATTTATGATTCTTTAAAAGTACAATGCATAATATTTTATTATTTTTTTACTAAAAAATGGTGTAAATTGATGATGGACTTAAAAGTTTTGTCTCAAAATGACATAAAAATTAATTTTAAAGCAAACAGGATATTTTATAAAAATCTAAGGGTCAAAATGAATATTTATGCAGTGTGTGTATCATATTTCGATCTCACGCGTAACTGACCAGTTCTTTAACAGTGAATATTCTGTTTTCCTGCCATGTTCGCATTTCCTTTTGGAATAATGTGTTTTCGTACATAGTTTTTTTTTTTTTTTTCTGCCATGTTCGCATTTTCCTTTTGGAATAATGTGTTTTCGTACATTAGTTTTTTTTTTTTTTTTTTTCCTTCCCCCCCCCCCCCATTATACGTGTCATACACGATAAGTCAGAATCAGCATATTCCTTGGTGCACCATTTTTTTCCCCCCCCCCCCCCCCCATTTTATACGTGTCATTACACGATAAGTCAGAATCAGCATTTCCTTGTGCACCAAAAAAAACCCACTCTGACTATGCATTTCAAGCCCCCTGGTTTTGGATTTCTGTTGGCCAAGTGATAATGTTTCGTTTTCATGTCTATACGACATATAATAGAAGAGATTTTTGCTCACCTAATATGGAATCGAATGGAACCCTTGTAAAAACCAAAATTTGACAACAAGATAGATAAAATCGTTTTCTGTTATTTAATATTATTTTAATTTACAATTTTATTACAATTGAAAAAAAAACGTAAATGATGCATAGCTCAAGTGATAAGACCGATACCTTGAAATCGTCTCGGTTCGATCCTGAACTATACTGTCTATACATATATCAAATGCAAATAAAATCCAATGAAAAATGAATAATTATTGACTTTTGTGGAAGGTAATGGCGTGCTTGAAGGGGCTACCCTAAGCCTAGTCTTCTATGGGATGCCTTTCTATTTAGACCATTGATTGCCCTTCAATTACTTGATAAATTTGTTTGCTTTTGCATCTTTAGTGAATTTCTGTTTCCGTGTGAGAACACAGTACAATCTCCTCATTTTCCCAATCTCCACTTACCATTTTTTAAGCCCTTCCTTATATTCTTGTCTACTTTTTCATCAACACATCTCAAGAGATTTTCCATTTTCTACTCCACCGTCAATCTTCTTTTTTCTTCAGTGCATCTCTTACAAGTGGCAAACCATGGAGGCATGACGCGTTGGTCATTGCTTGGTACCTTAGCTTTAAAAAATGTTTGCATATCATTACATAATGAAAATTTTCATATTAAAAATAAAAAATAAAAATAGTAATATGAAATAAACTTTTAACATTCATTGAAAAATAATTAATATGATTAAATTTTCAATTTAATAATTTTTATGAATAAATATTAAGTCGCGTTTGAGTTTGAGGCTTTTAAGCCAAAAATTTAACCCAGCCTTGGGATTTTTGGAGTGGGCTTGAACATTGTCATTACAATTGATCTCATATCTTGGCCTAATGGGCCGAAATGGAATAAACATGTTGGCCCAGGCGTAGCTATACACCATTTAAAACCCAACTACTAGAAACCCTGGTCTAGGCGCAGTTTGGTCAGGCTTCGTTCAATTTATTCAGAAACAAAAGGCCCGTTTGATTGCGTCACGTGTCGGTACACTGTGGCATTCTTGTAATTAACTAGAAGAGAAAGGACAAATGGATAAAGTTAAATTTTCGATTCTGAAAATTTGAGGCTTTCCCACCCAGATTCACCCGCTCTTTCTCGTTCACCAAAGATTTAAAATCCCGCCCCCATAAATTTCAAAAAAAAAAAGACTAAAACAAAGCTCAAATCCAAAAATCACATCTCTCATTTTCAATCTCCAGTCTCCTCTCTTCACACCTACTTTGACCTCGCATCTTCAACGCATACCTCAGGTCTCTCTCTCTGTCTCTGTCCCTTATAGTTTTCGTTCTGTAGAATTTTGATTCCTTTTCTTACAAGTTTCCTTTTTAGATCTGATATTTGTTCTGTACTGAATGCTTAGATCTGCAAAATAAAGTTCTGCCCTTCCTTTTTTTTTTTTTTTTTGGTTATTTAGAATTATGATGATGTCGTTTATGCTTGGTTTGATTTTGTATGTAATTTCGAACTTCATTCTGCTAACTGTGTTCTAAGGAATTATGCTCTTCATGCGTCGAAATTTTGATTTCATGAGATTTGTTTGGCTCTAACATTGTAAATTTGGAAAAAAAAGAGTAGGTGAAAAATGGCTGGTAAAGGAGGGAAAGGGCTTTTGGCAGCTAAAACCACTGCAGCAAACAAGGATAAGGAAAAAGATAAGGACAAGAAAAGGCCTATTTCCCGGTCTTCTCGTGCCGGTATCCAGGTAACCTTCACCAGCAATTTTCTGCTTAGAAAATTACATATTTCTATTTTTTTTTTCTTCAAATATAGTTTTGTTGCTTGATCTGCTTTATTTTATTTTATTTTATTTTATTTTTTTTCGAGTTTTGCTTGAAAATTTTTAATGGTTGCGTTTAAATTTCTAGTGTTTTGTTCGGAATTCTGGGTGATTCACGCTACATTTAACGTGCAATATTTCTTTGTGAGTGCTGAATCTGAGTTTTCTGCTAGCAAGAAACGTAATGGCTACTTTGATATTTAGTTTATTTGGGTATGACAAAACGTTGACCTCGTTTATGGCTCGTTATTTATAGGATTTGTGGCCATGTTCTTGCAAGTTGGATGTGAGGAAGTTCTAAGTAATTTAATTCTCATTCCCCGATGTTTCTAGCAAAAAAAGGCTGTCAGTGATGTTATGAAGTTGTATTAAGGATTTTGGACTTGAATTTTCTCCTTCAACAAAATTGAGTGTTAATTGTTGATCCAATAGGGAAACTGCACGAGGACCATGGTTATTAGAATCACAATTTAGGTCTGCGATAATTTTAACTATTAGATTGGATCTTATGTAGAATCTTTTCTCTACTAGTGAATCTTAGAAGGATTTATTCATAATCGTTAGAAGTGTACAGAATGGAATTATTTAAGAATTGAGATTCCAATTAAGAATTTATCAATTTTACCAAATACTAGAATAAAATATTATTGCACTAATTGTTTAAGAATTAATTATTTTAAATAACTAGAAAAAAATATTTTAGGCCGTCAAAGAAGTTCATAAAGTTTACTAAAAAATGAAAAAAAAAAAAGAGATTTGGTAAAATCAAATTTTGAAGGAAGAAAATATAGTGAATATAAAAGATAAAGACAAGACAATGAAATTCTAGTTATAGAAATTGAGGCAAAAATGATTTAGAATTTGGTTTATATTACTAAAGTTAGTATTTTTCGTTATTTACAATTTATAGAATCCTAGGATATTTTATCCTGTCATCTGAACCTGTATACCTCAAAATGGTCGAATGTGGATCCTGATTTTAGCAACCGTTGACAAGGACCTGTATTATTATTATTATAAGCTGATATTCTGACATATTTATGAGTGTAGTTTCCTGTTGGTCGGATTCATCGGCATCTGAAGCAAAGGACTTCTGCAAATGGGCGCGTTGGGGCCACAGCTGCTGTGTACTTGGCTTCAATTCTTGAATATCTGACTGCAGAAGTTCTTGAGCTGGCCGGAAACGCAAGCAAAGATCTGAAGGTGAAGAGAATCACCCCAAGGCATCTGCAGCTGGCCATTAGAGGAGATGAAGAACTCGACACACTCATCAAAGGAACCATTGCTGGTGGTGGAGTCATCCCTCACATTCACAAGTCTCTTATCAACAAGACAACTAAAGACTGATCTAATGTCGTTTTTAACTCAACTCAACTGAACATTTGTGTTTAATGTGACTCATGATTAGGGTAATGTAGGTTTGATTGGTATTATGTTTGTGTTTGTTTATGAACTGTTGGTTAGTATATATAATCTCTTGGCACGTAGGACGGTTTTCTAGAACCTTTATCTTTGTTGGATTGTTAATCTAAATTTCTTAGCTTTCATGATTCATACTACATTGTTCCTATTATTCATTAATTCTTGATTATGAATGAACTCAGGTGTAAAAATACGTTAACCCTTGTCATATTACTTTACATTAAATTATTAATCCAAACAAAATAAGTGCTGAACAATTTTTAAAAAAATAGAAAAGCTGGTTGTTTAATTCTTGTTACTAAATCAGTTTATCCACTTGGAGGATTCAAGTTATTTCTATGCAATTTGTTTTTCCCTCTAAATTCACGTTTAGTAACCAAAAAAAAAAAACCACTTTCTCTTTCTTGCTTCACGGTTATCAATGTTTTTTTTTTTTTTTTTTTTTTCTAAATTTTCACGTTAGTAACCAAAAAAAAAAAAACCACTCCTTTCTTGCTTCAACGGGTTAATCCAATGTTTTTTTTTTTTTTTTTTTTTTTTTTTTTTTTAATTTTTTTTATTGTTCGCAATTGAATCTGCCTCTGTTATTAGCGAACTTGCAAGCAAAACATTTTTATAAGAGCGGCAAAATTTACATTAACCCTTTATTTTTTTTTCCCTCAAAAATCTCTCCCTAATTTTTACCTCAATTTGGAAAATAGTGTTGAATAATATTAAATTAGAAAATAGTTTTTGAAAATTACATTATCTTATTCGTAAACCCCTTGAAAATTCCATGTTTATGTTTGGGCTTAGGCCGAAATCCAATTCGTTGAAGGTCTAGAGCCGCTTCATCTTCTGCCGTCAATTCCATGGGTAGTTCTTTTAACGGGTCCACCAGCTTCACCCTAGGATGATTACGATAGCATTTGTAATGGTCCGTCAGGTTGAAAAAAAAAAAAAAAAAAAACTAGGATGATTACGTATAGGCAGTTCTGTATGGGTCCGTCAGGTTGAATAAAAAAAAAAAAAAAAACAAAGTTGCGGCAATGCGGTACGTGTCCAGAAGCTGATTTAAAGCCCCGTAAGAAGCAACAAATCTAATTACATGCGCGGACATGTCAAAAGGACTGTGAGGGTGTAATAGCTGGCAGGATGAGAAATAGAAGCATGAAAAATGTCGGGCAGCTGAGCTTTACAAATTATTTGTTCACCTTTTGTTTTTCTTTTTTATACTATTTGGGTGTTCCATTTCAGTAATTCATAGTGCCATTCGCGATGATAAGTGAAATATTCCTCTTCAGGAGCAAACAGAAAAAACATAGTATATTTTTGAAACTATTATTGGAGAATTAACACATCGTTGTCATTATTTTTAGCTCATTCCTCTAAAGCACCTGGGGTTGTTTATATTTGAAAGTTCAGAGAGCATTTTCATCATTCCTACATAGCAAAAATTTTCTTCTCAACCCCGATAATTTTTTGAAAAATGACTATACAAAAGAGAATGAGACTTTCAGCCCTGTTCTCGTTAATGAATCTAAACTACTATATCACAATGGAAGGTGATTTTCGATAATTTTTATAACGGTTCTTAGATCAACCTTTTGTATTTCCATTTAGGTTAATCCTTTTTTAAAAAAAAAAAAAAAAAACAAAGTGGGCAACGGTACGTTCCAGAACTGATTAAGCCCTAAAACAACAAATTATACAGGGACAATTTCAGACTGTGAGGGTGTTATACTGCAGGAATGAGAATAGAAGCATAAAAATTTACGGCAGCTAGCTTTACAATTATTTTGTTCACCTTTTGTTTTCTTTTTATACTATTTTGGTGTCCAATTTCATAATATATGCCATGCATAATAATGTAAATATCCTCTTCAGACAAACAGAAAAAAACATAGTATATTTTTGAAACTATTTTTGGAGAATTAACACATCGTTGTCTTATTTTTAGCTCATTCTTCTACACCTGGTTTGTTATATTTGAAAGTTCAGAGAGCATTTAGTCATTCTACTACTAACAAAAATTTTCTTCTCACATAATTTTTTTGAAAAATAATATACAAAAGAGAATGAACTTTACCTGTTTGTTAATGAATCTAAACTATATATACAATGGAAGGTGATATTTCGATAATTTTATATAACGGGTTTAGATCAACCTTTGATTTCCATTTAGGTTAACCTTTTTTTTCCCCTTCGCAACTCACCATCAGCATATTTATTAAACTGTTTATGAGAAGATGTAATCGCATCATCGGTTCCAATGTCAGGCTCTAAAATTAAAGGAGCGAAAAAAAAAAGTTTAAAAATTTAAAATTTTAAAAATCAAAAGAAAAAAAATTTTTTACACTATTTTAACAAAATAAAATTTAAAAAAATTTCTGAAGCCTCAGAAGTCAGAACGCCTTCCCTTTGCCCGAATCCTCCGTGAAATGAATTTTAACAATCTCTTAATTACATGCTGAGATCATACTGTCCGTTTAGATGATGGATAAGGAAAGCTTAGTTGACATTGAACCGGTGTACACTAGTTGGATAGCTAGCTTTTGTTGTTTCAAGTAGGACTATTTTTTGGTCACAAATTCCAGTTAAAGAAATAGAATAGACAAAAGACTAGCATATGCATTAGTTCATGATGAGTCGAATCTATTACATAACTTGTAAGGAGAGATGAAGGCCAATTTGCTTATTATAATAATAATAATAATAATAATAAAAACACTAAAATGTTCAAATAAAATTCTATTTTATTGAACTTAATTATATAGTTTATATAAAACTATTTTGCAGCATACTCCAATGAAATATTAATATGGACAAACTAGTGCTATAGACAAACAAGCATCTCTAGGCCGGATGAGGAATATGTTCTTTCGAGTATTACAAGATTATAAAATTAATACACACTTCGTTCTGTTTCTATATGTTTGTTGTTATAGATGCAATTATAAAACTGTCCGTCTCTCTCCATTTTATACTGTATCAATACAAACTTTGTTTCTTCCTTTCTCTCTATCAAACATGGAAGCTAGTTTTCTTTCACAAAACAAGAGTCCTACTCCACATCTGCCTTTGACGAGACATCATCTCAAGCAGAATCCTTTCCCTATTCTTGCAGTTTTGGATTCGCCACCGGCGAATTTTAGAGGACTAAAGGAAAAGAAAGGTTCACAGCCGGCCTGTAACTTAATGGAGCTACCGCAAAAGGCTGTCTATAATGATAACTGGTTTGATCAACTAGCAATAAACCATCTTTCCCGTAGTGTCCAAGCTGCAACAGGTTATTAGTTTTCTGTTCTTTTTTTTTTTTTTCCTTTTTTCATTTCAAGGATTATTTTTGCAGTTTTAAGGAAAAAAATCACAGAGCGGAAACTTACGTATGCAGGATTGAGAAACAAGAAGACTGGTTATGAAAGCTTGGTGCAGGCAGCTATGGATGCTTCACAAAAGTTCAACCTCCTTCAACAGCGTGACCTCGTGCTTCAAGCTCTTGAAAACACCATTCCTAGAATAGTCCTTGACCTGGTAAGTTCACAGCTACATATACAAATATGAGCATGCTAAATTAAAGACTAGATATTTCTAAGAATACTTCCATTTTCACTCACCTGCAGAGACAACTATATGCTGATAATTATCATGTTATCAATTAAACTATATTACCAGAAATAATTATTCCATTTATTACCAGTTTTCAAGTTTATTTTTCAGAATATTATATATATATATATATATATACACACACAAACACATACACGCACAAAACATATTAAACCAGTGATGTTAATATTGCAGATAAAGACAGTGTTGCCCCAGTGTAAATTTACAAGAGAATATTTTGCTGCTTTCACCACCTTGTTTTTTGTTTGGCTAATCGGACCATGTGAGGTATGCAAATATTCCAAATACAAGCTGTAATATAAATTCTTAAATGTATATGTAAGGCTAAATTATGTTATGTTTCTCCGAACTATATGATTTCTTGGTTCCAAATATTATCCTTGCCGTTAACCGTGTCTGCAGATATTTAACTCGCTACATAAATATTATAATTTGTGCAGGCACATCCATATAAACATATTTGACAAAACAATATATTATTCAACCCTACTCATTTTTGTCGTAAATTTACACAGAAGTAGATGTTAATAAGCATATTAATTAGGAACAAAGATCTTGTTATGATATGATTGAACCTTATTTATTTGTTTTTACAAACAAGGTGCGGGAGTCTGAGTTCAATGGGAGAAAAGAAAAGAATGTAGTCCGTATAAAAAAGTGCAGGTAATTTTAATTTCTTCCTTCATGTTCAAATTAGAAAAATGACTATCCTATTTCATGGGTCCCATATCACCAACCTAAGACACTTTTCATTTCACAAACCAATATGCTCCGATTAGTGTGTTGCTAAACTAGACTATTTTCTCCATAAACATCATGGACATCATAATGGCAATCACCACCGTCATTATCCAATTAATCATTCATATTTTTAATACAACTAGCTATAATCCATGGATTTGACAGCTTTCTTTATTTTATTTTTATTTTATTATTTTTCAGGTTTTTAGAAGAGTCTAATTGTGTTGGGATGTGTACTAATCTCTGTAAGATTCCGACTCAAACCTTTATTAAGCACTCCCTGGGAATGCCAGTCAACATGGTTCCCAGTAAGTATCATTATTTGGTAAACAGTTATATATGCTTACTTCCATATTAGAAGATTAAACCTCGATTTAGCCCTTTAGACTTCTCCAGCAGGCCATAATACCAACTGCCTTTTTTTTTTATATGATCCTAGGGCATAGCAGATTAATGGGGAATAAAATACTGAATACTGCTTTATTAATCTCTAAAACTCCCATTATTGCACAGAGAAAAGGTTTACAATGTGCCCTAACAGTAAAACAAAATCAATTTATTTTGAATTTCCTCTTATAGTAACTGACAAATAAAAGAATAGGAAAAGGCAAAGAGTAATAGTAGCTGCACTAGGGAATGTGGAGACCATGCTCATCATGTCAATATAGGGCCCCAAGCATATCCCACTTAGGGCACATAACTGAAGGTAGACCGAAAAATTCTCAGGTGAGAATTCCAGAATAGAGATTAATACTAAAAGTATAAATTGCATTTTCAGAAAAAGATTCCACTGTAAATTAACCTACATGATTCCACAGTCAATGCAAGCTAGTCCACCATGTTAAATGCAAGACCCTGATTCTCAACTGTTTCCCATTAAACCAATCATTACTCTGTAACCTATATAATTAACATGATTACAAGCGCCCAAGTTCGAATTTTAGTCCTATTTGCCAGTGTCAATCATAGTTGAGCACCGAAGCACAATATTATGCAATTAACATATGATGATATGAGTTGTTACTTGCCGTCTGAATGCAGATTTTGATGATATGAGTTGCGAGATGATATTTGGTCAGGATCCTCCTATGTTAACTGAAGATCCAGCATTCAACCAACCATGCTATAAACTATGTAATACTTCAACTCATCCCATCAGTCCTCTACACGCACACACACACACAGACTTATATCTAATTATGCAAAGAAATCATCCATATAACACTTAAGGAGTGCCTAAAGAAGACCTAAACAATTTTTTACATTAGTATCGAATTCTAAAATTTCAGTTGAAAACTGCTTCTGACTCACATTATTCTTGTGTTTGTAAATTCACAGGTAAATCAAAAAGAAAGCATGTAATGAAATGCTCCAGTTAACATGAACACAATTGAGGAAGCTGTTCATATGAGAATCTTCTATCTAGACAACTAATTGTCCGATATTTGTTCTCATTGTTTAGTTTTAGTCTTAACTTCTCATAAACATTTTCCTAGAAAGTCCAAAGAAATGCCACTCCAAGCTAAAGCAATTATATTCAGGGGTAACTGAATGGAGGATACTGAAATTTATAGCAAGTAGGAATACATCACAATGTTTCAGTAATATTATTCATTTGTTACAAAACTTCAGCACCAAGCAAGGATAATTGTTCATCACCGGCAATACAACAGGTTATCTGATATATGTCGTGTCATTTTCTTCTGTTCAATGTGTGAATATCTTTTTCTTCCATTTTCAATAACATCCCCAGAAGTCCTTCGCTTTAACTTCTTAATAATTATAATAGTTAAGCAATGATATATTTGGATAGTATGAAATGATATTTGCCATGATAAAAAAGTTCCGAAGAAAGGATGAACTTTAAATAAGCTTAAGATGTTTAGTGAAATTGATCAGTCATTTCATCAAAGTTCCAACAATTGGCTTTGGATTCTGAACGTAATTTGCAGATAACAAGACGGTAACACGGCCACCCATATTCCAGGAAGGATGAACAAAAGAGACCACCATTATATTCGGCCAAAGAAATAATCAAGTTATGGTAAAGATTCGACAGACCCTCAAACAACGATCAGTCATTAAAATATCTTTCTTTCCCTCAAAGCAAAACTATTTGGTGAAAATGTACTGCAGAAGAATTAATGCTTAGAGTTTTCTTCTGAGTCATTGATGAGGCTTAGACTAAGATGATATGTCTCTAATTTCTCATCATGCTAACTACGAAAGCCATTAGAATTTCATAATGAAAAGTGCTTTGATTGAATATCTAATGTAGGGTTTAAACACAGCAGGGTGGACCAACATTGTCTCCCACCTTTTTTGTGGTCTTAGTGGAGACACAGGGCATATCCAAGGGCTACAAACGTGACCAATTCTCATAAATACTAATTTCCTATTTCCTAAGGCCATGTTTGGATCTCAATAAGCATAAAACATTGAAACACAAATAGACAAGCACAAATTAACAAAATAGAAGCATATGCTTGAACAAATTACAAATTTCAGTCAATATGAATCATCATCCAACTTTCACTGGAAAACGGCGCCGTTGCACCGGTCGAATAACAAACTAAATAAATTTGACAAAAAAAAAATCTAAAACTTCCAATTTCATGAAATATACAAGGCTACGCGATATAACACAAAAGGCATAAGCATCGATCGTTCGCAATGTTCAATAGCTGAACATTAAAGCAACATATAGCGAGTGACTCGAAGATGAGCAATGGAAACAAAATTACCATTCATTGCAAGCGCTGAAAAAGAATCAATGGCGAGAATGCAAGACGCCCTTCGCGCACCAAACTTTCCTGTATGTAAAATGTAGCAGACTAGCAGCTGAACAAAGCCTGTAGACAATGATAGCACACTGATACAGTAAAGAAAATAACGAGTAATGGTCATTTGATGGAAATGACACTGCGATTTTCCGGCTATCCAAACATGCAGTTGAAGCCCATGAACCTGGATTAAATCCCGCTGTTGATTTGGTTTATTCAGATGGGCCTTTATATGGGTCTGGCTCTGGTCCAATAATTCTTAAAGGTGGGCTGTTGTTTCGTTTTGATTAGTGGACGTCTGGACTGCGGGCTAGCAGCTCAGAGGGAAAAGTTAAGTCTCGTATGACATGAGTACTTGACTATGAAAGTACTTGAATTTTGGGTCTATAGTTCGAAAGTACTTAACTATAAATGTAGTCAAGTTAATTAATTAAATCACTCACAGTAAATTATAAGATTCTCGAATAAAATTGATTTTTTTTATAGTTATTATCAGTAAAATAAATCTTAATCTTAATATGAAATTAATTAAGATAGACTATATAAATCCTTTATTTTCATTTTATACTGTAATTAACAGAAAGTCAAAAGAGTATTTAAGAGCATTTATTTTGTAACTGGATCAACTCTATGTTTATTTATTTGGCTGTAAGACAAAAAGAGCCTCAACTAGTACTGTAGCAAAATAATGAGTGCTGAAGAATGCATAAGTGAAGTTATCACCTGGCAATGGCAAAGGTCCCGAGAGGGGAGACAAAGGCCAGAATGACAACGACAACCAGCCATGATAAGGATTGGACAGCATTGCACAGTGTCTTTTAATTTTCCTGCAAACTGAGGTAACAAATTTTTATCAATACGTACCATTCAAATACAAAGTTATAAATTCTATTGACAGTGTCATGTGGCCATGCCAGTGCAGCATCTACATCTCTTATACAAAGATGAGCTTGTGTGCTTTTTGGGTGACAAGGTCCCCATCTTTTTCCCTATTTCAGAATTTCTTCAATTTACCTTCTTTTTCGCTTTTAAACACTTCTTCCTCAGAAAATTATTATTGGATCGGTCTTATGCTAAAAATTAATTACACGATCTTTTTTTTTTTATTATTGGACAGATCAACGATTGGGGAAATCGGCTGCGCCTAGTGGCTAAGAGAGCGCCCAGTCAAATTACGTATGGGCCATGAGCCGTATAATAGCAAAGTCAATTTGAAAATGTCATCGAGGCCCCCAATTTTTCCTCATTATCACTTTGAAACCCCGCCACATTTGAATCTTTCCTTTAATTATCCTCAGACCCGTTTGTATGTCAATAAGCGAATTTTCTCTATACACAAAACTCGAATTTAATGCAGAATTCTTATTTAAGATGACCAAGCTCTTTCTGTTCAGACCAACTCACGTGGGTAATAAACGTACCTTAATTGCATGATAAAAATGATAGGAAACCAAAAATTAAAATGACCGCAAATGGTACTGTCATGAGAAAATTAGTACACCTGAAAGTGATTTTCAGACTAAACAAAAGTATATTATGAAATAGTGATTTCTGTCGGGTATAAGGAACAGGACAAAAAGCAAAACTCTAGAATTTCCGAAGGGGCAAAAATGTGACAGGATAAAGACTATTGGTATAAAGATGGTAAAGGAAAAGGTTTTGAGGAGGTTTTTTGGGAAAACAATAAATAGGCACATGGCATGCTCGACAGTATTGTGTGACCCGAGCCCAAGTACATGAAAGGCAACTTCCACTACTAGTAAATTAGTAAATTCTTCATCAATAAAGATATTAACTATGGGGCCTAATGGGCCCCCAACTCTACTACTTGTTAATTGTGATGGTGTTCTTTTACATTTCCCAACAGGACAAAGAGCTTCTGGGCTACTGCCATGGTGGCCCCTGAGAAAGAGTATTATTTTCTACTTTCTAATTCTCCCACTTTTCCGGCAATGTTAAGAAGCTGTCCTGCTGCTTTCTGGTTTGCTTCTAAACAGAAAAAAAAAAAAGATATTTCCTTCCTTTTTTTTCAAACCATTATTTGAGAAGTAAATTACAGATACATAGGCTGAATGTGGAAAGTGAACTCTTTTGCCTGTCTATGAGAGAATTTAATTTCTGTAGATATGTAAAATGACTTGAAAATATTGATGAGCCAATAATAAATAAATGGAGAGGTCTTTTTTTACTATTTTTTGTCATTTTTGTATTTACATTGGCAATATTGGAAGGTTTATTATCTCTGTTTCTGCTCTAGCGGTTGGTTCTCCAGCTGCCGCCCAAGACAGGAAATGAATTTAAGGGGCAAATCCTGTGACAGGATTTGGTGAATTTTCGAAAACTGAACTTCCCAATCAAATTAAAGCTGAGGACAGTGTATAGTACAACCCGCATCAGGCGTTCATCTGCTTGCCAATGCCAGTTGATTACATAATCCACTCATGGTCTATAAGCCAAGTCCTTGCCCATACGATAATGCCCTATTTATAGCAAGGCAGCGCAACCTCTGCGTTGTGCCGTATTTGAAACCACATTGATAGAGTTGCCAACCACGTTAAGTTTTGAAAATTACTTTTTTTTTTTTTAATTAAATCGTCCTATTTGAAACCAAACATTAGTTGGATTAATTTGGATCTAGTTAGACAGGGTAATAATAAGGTAAAACATCTTTCTAAATATTAAAAAGAATTATATACCCAAAAGTCGAACTCGAGACATCTTCTTACCATCGTATTTCCCTCTCGAGGATGAAATTACTTTTTATTATTTAGTTAATTAGAAAAAAAATAAGATATCCCGTTTACATTATTCAAAAAAATATATATCATTTGGATTTTTTTTAAAAGAAAATTAAAATGACTATCAAAATTAGAAAATCAAAATTTCACCTGCCTTTGTATATCCCTCCATCTATAAAACTGAGAACTACCAAACTAGCTTATATTCTATTTGCCCTCTTTCAAAACCCCAATCACATGGTCAATAAATTATGTCAACTTTTGGAATTGGAGCTGAAAGCAAGTCCTGATATGATGACCTCAAAAACACTGCTTTGTGCTTAGCTATGCAAATACTATTGACCATAATTTTCAGAGCAAACCAAATGCCATGATTATTTATCACTTGGAGACAAATCCCTGCACCTAATCTCTGCTTTCATGCTAGAAATCTTGCTTTTCTCCGTAAGCTTTTTTATTTTATATTAGAAAACGTGAAATGGCACTCAAAAACTTTTGCTAATATATATATTTATATACACAAGTATGTCATGTTCACTAATTACAAATAAATTAAATAACGTATAGTGAAAAAAAAAATCTAATTAAAAAGTAAAATAATGTGGTACTAAAAGTAAATCCAAATTCATTATAAACTGCTACTAAGATCTAGATCTAACACTTTTTTTTTTTTATCATGGCTTGCCACTATTTTTACAGATTGCAAAACGAACGTTAGATTTTCCCTGGTTTTAAGGTAAACTAAAATTAAGAATTACACGGTACCCACATTTGTCAAAACCCATAAATATAGGAAAATAAAAGAAGATCAGAAAGCAAGAAAGCGCGCGAAAAGAACACTTCTGTAGAAATAATAATTATAGTCCTCATAATAATAACAAAACAAAGGCTTCTGCTTCTCGCTTTTAGAAAACCAACTTCCTCCTAGGCAATGAGGCAGCCTGCAGTTTACATTTCCCAGTAAAGGTAGCGAGATCTCGGATTGTTTCGCCGATCAAGTCCTTAAAAATTAGCCTTTCAATGTCTAAAACAGCTTCAGACATCTCAATTGGGCAGTCTCCCCATCCATTGATTGCATCCCCTGCTAGATCCTTCTTTAGCAGACCACAAATCACCTCCAACAAATTATCCGCCGCATCCCTTTCCCGAATTCTTTGAAATTCAGACCAAATTTGCTGCAATGAAGTGTTGACACTATTACTGGCCTTCTTCCAGGGGGGCAATTGCCTATTCCGCTTGAGAATTTCTTCTATTGTGTCAAAAATAAGCTTCCTTTGTAATGTTGAGACTTTGGATGTGTCCTTTCCTTGTAAATACTGTTGTTTTTCTAGTAAAAGGAAAACATCAGAGTCTTCTGGTAAATAATTGGAAGCCCTCAGGATATCAGAAATGTAGATAAAATCAGAGTCATCTGAATTCTCTTCTGATTTTAACTGTATTGGAGAAATTGCCGGGCTCCAAATATCTACTTCCAATTCAGCAAATCGATCTGATGTTTCAGCAAACAAATATAAATTGTTACTCGACTAAATTGAGAAAACGACAGCATTTCATATTCAGGAATGCATTTACAAAAAGTGTTGTCCCCCTTTGGTAAATAAGGAAACAGTGCCTATACCAGTATGGGCCACGACAGTAACAAAGGCTTAATGAGTTGACAGAGAAAGAAAAGAAAAGAAAATGGGTAATTATTTTAAAAAAAAAAAAAACAAAAACAAAAACAAAAAGGAACCATATCCAGCTAGCTCTCTAAGAACTTTGTTAAGATGGAAAATGGTGGTGGCCCAATTCTGAAAAGCAGAAAATCGCAGGCAAAAGCGTTTTAATCTGTCATGGCCTTAAACGGACACCTCTCAGTCAAGTTCAGGAGGCATATTCCTTTCCAAGTAGCAGATAAAGGGGCGTACAATTGGTGTTAGATTTTCTCACACCTTGTAATTTATACAAAAGAACAAGAAGCTTTGTTTTTCCATTTGAAGTCCATAAATAAACATCGCTCCATAATGCGCCGTCGTTATCACAGATATCCGATGATCACCATTACTGATTAAGATCTAACCCACATGACTGCACCACCGGCCTGTACGCTTCGGATTATTAGAATTTTAAATAGAATTCCCATTTCCTAATCCTTTTGCTCACATAAACCCGCCCCAAATAGTTGCTTTTAACTCCAGTAATTCAGGGGCTAAGAAAACAAAACCGTTTATGAACTAAGCCATCTTCATCTAATCTAAACACTTAAATCTAATCCAAGATATTTTAGGCTTATTATACTGAGATGGCAAGTAATTAATGGATAATAATTACGGACTACTGTGCCACCTATAATTAGTAGGCCTAGATTTATTAACCCTGAAAACAGACCTAAAAGACTAGAGAAGACGTCACCGTAGCGAAAATGCAAAAAATCCAGTAATCAAAGTCGCTCTGACTCTGGATTTGACCAACTGAACATATTAAACAGAGTAGCAGGTTTTTTCCATACCTTTGAAATCAACGCTCCGTTTCATAATAGGCGAAGGAGAAGATTCCTCCTTGTAAAATGACGAGTCAAGAACTGATACTGGACTCGGTTGCAACTCGGTGGCAGTCATCTCTGCTATGCTGTTAAGTAGCTTATCGCACCTCTCTAGCAGACTCCTACCTTCTTTGTAATCCTCCATTTTCGATCTCTATGATCACAATGGCAGGAGGTTTTATAAGATAAACTATATTTAATCATTAAAGCAAAAACAAATCAATAATATATTAATCAGGAAATTTGATTTACCTCTGTATCAGTCTGAGAAGATGTGCTGATACTACCGTCAGAAATGGAGGATGATTCATCTTCTGCTAGAACAAATACTTTCTCCTCCTTCTGGTAAATGTCAACCATTTGTTTCCGGTTTCTCGGTGATCGATTTAGGGTCTGATCTGGTAAGGTTCTCCTAGAACTGACTTTAGGAGATTGAACCGGAGAGACTCGTCTCTGTTCAGTTGAATTATTGCATATTCTCCTCTGCGTTTCAACAGTTAAACGTGTTCTTCTATTGGGACTCTTCACGCTGGTCTCACTTCGAGTAGGTGAAATCGAACTCCTACCTCTGTTTTGGTTCCGTACATTTGGTTCAATCTCAGGTCGCTCACGTCTAGGGCTCATTGCAGGTAATGTTTCGCCGGCAATAATAGAATCCCGTCGAACTGCCGGCCTAGCTCTAAAACTAGAAGGAGAAGAATCATTACCTATTCTTCCAGGCCTGTTCATTGGAGAATTTTTCCATACCTTTGAAATCAACGCTCCGTTTCATAATAGGCGAAGGAGAAGATTCCTCCTTGTAAAATGACGAGTCAAGAACTGATACTGGACTCGGTTGCAACTCGGTGGCAGTCATCTCTGCTATGCTGTTAAGTAGCTTATCGCACCTCTCTAGCAGACTCCTACCTTCTTTGTAATCCTCCATTTTCGATCTCTATGATCACAATGGCAGGAGGTTTTATAAGATAAACTATATTTAATCATTAAAGCAAAAACAAATCAATAATATATTAATCAGGAAATTTGATTTACCTCTGTATCAGTCTGAGAAGATGTGCTGATACTACCGTCAGAAATGGAGGATGATTCATCTTCTGCTAGAACAAATACTTTCTCCTCCTTCTGGTAAATGTCAACCATTTGTTTCCGGTTTCTCGGTGATCGATTTAGGGTCTGATCTGGTAAGGTTCTCCTAGAACTGACTTTAGGAGATTGAACCGGAGAGACTCGTCTCTGTTCAGTTGAATTATTGCATATTCTCCTCTGCGTTTCAACAGTTAAACGTGTTCTTCTATTGGGACTCTTCACGCTGGTCTCACTTCGAGTAGGTGAAATCGAACTCCTACCTCTGTTTTGGTTCCGTACATTTGGTTCAATCTCAGGTCGCTCACGTCTAGGGCTCATTGCAGGTAATGTTTCGCCGGCAATAATAGAATCCCGTCGAACTGCCGGCCTAGCTCTAAAACTAGAAGGAGAAGAATCATTACCTATTCTTCCAGGCCTGTTCATTGGAGAAGAAGAAGCCGTTGATCTTGCGGGCCTCATTACCACAATCGGAGATTCATCATGTGACAAACTTCTGTCGTACACAACATTTCTTTGATTGGTTTGATTTGATGGCGTTTTGGAATGTAAAAGGCCTTTGAGTTGCAGAGCCTCAAGAATTTGCTTGAGAGTCTCGAGATTCTTCGATGGCTCATCGATTCCTCTCATTTTCAGCCTCCTCCCAATCTCACCGTAAATAGAAACAGTTTCTTTTGGCTCAGGAAAGAAATCAGCTGAATCAAAGAAGCTCTTTCTCAGTCCTATGCCTCTACGAGGGGCCTTAGCTGGCTCAACTCTACAATTTCTCACAATATTGTACTCCTTTGGATCTGCTGCTCTGCCATTATTCATTTGATCTTTAACGGAACCGTCTCTGATCACATTATTTGAAACATTGCTCTGTGCATTCTGCTGCTGTGACTGCTTTAACTGGAAATTGACGCCGTCAATAAATCGATACTGCAGGAGATCTCTGGAGGCTCGGGATTCTGAAGCAGATCTTCTTAGTTCTGGTTTCTTCTCCTGTTCAGTTTCCCATTCTGGTAATTGCTCTAGTCCCATCAACCTCGCGATCACGCTAGGCGATCGGCGTTGCTTATCATTATCATCTGCTTCTTCCCCATTCTTCTCGCAACGGTTTGCTGATAAAATTGCAGCGTTTGTACGGATCTCTTTCGGTTTAAGGCTTCCTTTGGCGTCGAAGGTTGCTCTGCTATCAAGAGAAAGTCTAGGAGCTTCTTTACAGAATTTCCACGATGACTTGGTGCCTTCTTTTAGCTCGAACACCGGAAGAGGAAGAGGCAACTTGGCCTGAGACTCCGGCGCCGGAGTTCGGAGCTCCGTCACCGGAGAGTTCTGCTGCTTGGAGTGGCCTGGAGAAGGCATTGGTATTGTTTGCTGCTGCTTCTCCTCCAATTCTCTCGACATTGCTGGAGACGCCATGGTCTTCTCCGACTCTGGACTAGAATCATCCATCTGATTGATATGATATAAACAGAATTAGCATCTGCTGCATTTTCAGAACAATCTAAAATATAAAACAGATGAAAAAAACTAACCGTTGAAGGAGGGAGACGCTTGGTGGCGTAAAGGCGTTTTCCGGTGAGAACCTGGTGGCGATCAAAGATCTGAAGGAACCCTGCCATGCACCCCATTTGCTTCTCTATCTGCTTTTCCAAATTCTGTTCTTGCACAATGCCTGTCATTTTTATCACTATAGTTTTTCACTTTATTGCCGTGAACTCACTCTCTCACTCTCTCACTCCAAAAGAGGGAAAAGCTCTCTCTCGCGAACTATCACTCTCCAATCTCCATTCCTTACCCTTCTCTCTCTCGCTCTCTGTGACTGCGCCTATATTAACGTCTCCCGCTTTTCCGGTCTTTTAAAGGGTGGGCGGAGTTAAATGGAATAGAAAAAATGACGACTATTGCCCTTTAATATTTGGAAATGCCAAACAAGTCTTCTTGACAGTTTGGGCCCTTTAGGGAAATGGCGCTTGGGTCCTGGAAACAGGGCGGGCTTCGAATGGATTTGTGAATTTTTGAGGGCAAGCGCACAGACCTGCACCTGCAGATGAGCCTCCGTGGGTAATGCTATCTACGTGTCAGATACCCATTTTTCTTGAGTTTCGCGAGTTTGAACGATGACCAAGACTTTCTCTGTGTACTGTACTCAGAGCAACACGTATTATTTTGTTTACTTGCAATTTTTTTTGGGAAAAAAAAAATAATGCCAATAATTCTCAGCATTTTCTTGTTTTTGGCCCATGGCAATTACTTTCCTTTTTTCTATTTTTTCATCTTTTTTTTTTTTTGTCGTGTTTAAATCAAGTTGTAATTCTTACTATTATTTTGATCTGAGTTTGACATTTAAGCTTTCAATTTTGACATTACACGCTTGTGTTATTGTCAATCATTGCATAAGTTATGATGCTGAATGTAATAGAGTATAAAGAGAGTACTATTCAACTTAAATCAACTTTAAAAAGAAATTTTTATTTCAAAATTGATTCAGCTTTGTTTTGTATATTTGAATATTTAAATTCAACTCAGTAGAGTATTTAACCTAATCTAATTTCTAATGGCTAATTAATTCTTTAAAGAAATTAAAAATTCTCCAACCCAAACTCAATAAAATGTGAGATTGACTTGCATGGACTCTATCTATGATCTCATCCATAGATCAAATCTATTAAAAGGCGGTGTTTATAACCATATATCGAGAAAAAAAAAATATGAATAATCTTTAAAAAATTTATATTTTAATTAGTTTAGTCTATTGTTGAAGTCATGGATCCGATTTGATAATGTGTAATCTATAAACTGTAATAGGATGTCAAAGATAATACGCATTAAAATAAAGAGGAATATATGCTATGAGAAGCAACATAAGGATTATGTTTAGATTATTTTATTAACAAATTTATTAAACTATATAAGTCGATTGAGGTATGTACAAATTGGAATATAAAATCATCCATTTTATGTGATTAATGTTCCGTTTATTTTCGTAAAATATCTTATAGGAAAATAATTTGTTGATAAATATTTTCTATGAAAAACATTTTCTTTGAAAAATAATTTTCAAATAATTTATTTTTCACTGTTTGGTTGTAATATTGAGAATTAGTTAAAAATATTAAAGTTTTTATCTCATAAGACTGTAAAAAATATTAATAATAATAGAAATTTCATAATTTATAAATTTTATTGTTAAATATGAGAGGCATGCAAAAAAAATATATAAATTATGAAAGCCGCTGATGGCCGTTGGTGATAACTAGTGCTAATGATCGGTGGTAAATGGTAATTGTTGGTAGGGACTATGATGATTAATAAAGGTTTTTCAATATTCGAAAAATGTTTTACTTTATCGAAAATGATAAGTTATTTTCCTTTGACTAGGAAAATATTTTTTGATTTATTTTTCTAAACATCCTCAACAATTAAAAATCGTGAAAAATATTTTATTGCAAGTTATTTACGGAAACAATCGGAGCTTACGATAATGTTTTAGAGACTATATATCAATGATTAAATGTTGATTGTTGGGGATTGATTGTTGAAAATTAGACATATAGATTTTAAGAATTTTCAATTATTAATGATTAAAACTTGAAATATTATTCTTCTCAAAAAAAAAAATATTCGAGCAATATATATTTAGTCTTCTACTAATTACTTTAAACTAATCATCAGAAATCTAAATGCTAAGAAAATTGAGTCGCAATCATTCACGTAAATACATATTATGGATTTATATGTGCTACTGCCTCTATTTCTTTTTGCACATAAAAAAGAAATCAACCTTTTGTAGTTTTTTTTTTTTAATTTTGAAAGTATAAACCTTTATCGTTTATAGTTAATACTAATAAATTTTAAAATAAAACAGAAAAAGATGGCATTTGCTGAACCATGAAATGCAAGTCGACAACCAATCCGTCACACTGTGACACTGATTTATGTTTGATGTACGAGCAATTGCATTGGTTGAGTTAAACCCAATGGGTTAAGACCAGAGCTCTTTAGCATTAAGCAACCTAAACGCTCCACTTGGCAAAAGCATACTCTTTTTTGATCAATGATCAGGTGGAGCGCACGTGCACACTAGTCTTTTTCCTTTTTTTTTTTTTTTTTAAATTTGGGTACGAACCCAGAAGCTCTTTAGCATTAAGCAACCTAAACGCTCCACTTGGAAAATGCAACTCTTTTTTGATAACTGATGCAGGTGGAGCTGCAACGTGCACACTAGTCTTTTCCTTTTTTTTTTTTTTTAAATATTTGCCTTTTTTTTTTTTTTTTTAAATTTGTTTTCTTTTTCCATCAAACTGACACATATGAGCCAAATTAAAGCCGTCGTCCTGGGACGAAGAGAGAGTGAGTAACGTTAACACGAATCGCGAGATAGCAATGTGTTTGCTATTCACGACGGGGTGATTGGTTGGTGAAGATGGTGTGAAGGATAGATTTGGGCAAGAGTCGGTTTCGGAATGAAATCGGATAGGAAACTTCGGGTGAAAACCAGTTTAATGATTCTGGTTTTGTATTGGACTAAAATGAAGGACATAGAAAATTTTAGTTTGGAATCCCCAAGCCTTTTGCCCTAAGAAAAGACCAGAGTTTATGCGTACAAAGAGCAGAGTTTCAGTTAGACAAGAAAAGAAAAACAAATGTTCACTCATTGTGCTATGATGCGATGCACTACAAGACGCAAGACTAACGAATCACTTTCTTTGTATTAACGAGTGCATGTGCAGGAATTAAGAAACACTGTTACTGTTGATCCTATAACCCAGCGGGTTATAAACTGAAAATCAATTAGTGAAAATTTTTTATGTATAGAAGAAACACTTAGGTTTATAGCATAGGACTGAAGTAAAGGCTTTGATCATGTGGACATGGCTTTTTGCAACTTATAGGGTGTTTGTTTGCAGAAAAATAAGCTATAATTTGATGGGTATCAAAAAGTTTCTTAGAATCCTTCCTTATTCAAACAATAATAATTGGTTATACCATTTTCTTGATTTATGGATACCATATCATGTGTTTCTAGACTCCGGTCTTCTGCATGTGATAACTGACGTGCCTTTCAGGAGGCCAAATTAAAAATATCATGTATATCATCGCCTAAAAATTAGAAAAACTTTCCCCCAAAACGAAAAAATAAGTCCTACGCAATAGGAAGTTGGTGATCCAACTAAATGCAATTATGTGTTTGGTTAATTCATATTAATTTTGTTATTTTCATTATTAATTTGCAAGTTCTCCGGGAGTATGAAAATATAAATTTGACATCCAGGAAGTGAACTTTACTTAGAGGACAAATAATCTATATACTGATTCGAGAGAATTACACCTCTTGGTTACACAATATATATCATGTTTAATTGCTGAACCGCTTAAAATTGAGAGAGCAAATGGAACCAGAAACAATTTAATATATGTATAGCTGGGGAAACCAAAATAGTATATCCAAATCTAAAATGATCCAACATAGTTCTAGCTCCGGCAAGATGTATCTTTTTGGGGCTTATATATTTGTTGCTAATTTCATAAATTTTGCACCTTCTGTAATCGGCATTTATTCTCCCAAGATATGTAAAGACTTGCTTTCTAGAGTAAAATCTGAAGTTCAGGCTTCTTTGCTTGCAGCTTCAACTAACAATAAACAATTATATTATGCATACATCAAAGTGTGCCTTAGGTCTGTGTATCTTGGTCTTCACAATCTGTAGAACAATTTCTTAAGTTAGAAACTTAGAAAGTTACTAACTTGCATGATTTTCTACATATAATTTGTTTAGAGTATCCTCATTGGGTTTGAAGCTGCAATTTGCTTTTGAGGCCTAATTTAAATTTAACCAATTGGAGACTATTGTAATTAATATTAACCCTCCTGAATTAACTTCTAAGCTTTTCGAGTGCTCAATTCCCAAGTCCTTGATATGTTGAAATTGCATTTTATTATTATTATTATAGAAATTAGGATGTTACGAAACTTATATGATTAGGACATGTAAATTTTATTTTAAAAATAAGTATTTATAGTATTTTCAACATAATATTTTTCTCGATCTTAATTCAAACAATGATCGGATTGCAAAGCATATCATTCAACAATAAAATTCTATGAAATTTCAACTAAAATAAAATTTGGATGAGTTTGGATTTCGAAATTTACTATTTGTGATTGAATTATAGAGAGTCGATTTTCATGAATTAAGAAATTGTTAATTATACTTATCCATATACTACCTCTATTCCTTAATATTTGTCACATTTGAGAAAATAGTTTATTTCAAAATACTTATCAAAATTGTGGTTTCAATGAGTAATAAATATTTTTTTTCATATTTACCCTTTGGATGTGACCAATAATTATTACTTTAATTTAATAATTTTTTTAGAGAATTAGTAGTGTGACCCAATAATTTAGTTTCAATGAGTAATAAATATTTTTTTTCATATTTACCCTTTGGATGTGACCAATAATTATTACTTTAATTTAATAATTTTTTTAGAGAATTAGTATTCAATTAAGGGTAATATAGTCAATTTGATCAATAATTTATTTTAGTTTAGACAAATTTAATGAATGTTTTAAAAGACGTGAAATTTCAAATGTAACAAATATTATGGAATAAAAATAGTAAATACAAATAATTTATTTTACCTGAAAATGAAAAGAAAAAAATGATTTTAGATAAACAAGAAAAACCCATTAATAGCATTAAATAATCTATAGATGAAAAGACTAAAGATGTTGGTATGATTATATATCATGCATATTGTTTATGTCCCTTCACAATAAGTAAACAAAAACTCTTATTGGCAACTACCATTGACTTCTATTTTCTTTCCACAATTTTTTAGTTGAAAAAGGGCAAACAGCCTCAAATATGGATTTGAAAGATGAAGAA